GAGAGAAAATGTAAATTCACATTGCTAAGTGAAAGAAATCAGTGTGAGAAGGCCCCGTACACACCGCATGAGTCCAGCACTCCGACATACTAGAAAGGGTAACACTATGAAAATAACAAAAAGGTTAGTGGTTGTCACAGGTTTGGGGGAAGAGGGACACAGATGGAGTATAAGGGGGATAAACAGATGATGGTTTATCAACTGCACCAAACGTACCTCACTTAGAGAAGAGGTAAATGGTAAGGATCCTGAGTGCTTTGGGGAGAAGACGGTAGTTACATGCGAACTCTCTGTACTTTCTACAATTTGGCTGTGAACCTAAAACTCCTCTAAAAAATGAAGTCCAACTATGAAATACTACCAGGCCATACAAAGAAGATTTTACCCTTTGCAACAGAATGAATGGACCTAGGAAGCATTATGCTAAGTGAAATAAACCAGTCGGAGAAAGACAATTAGCTTTCATCCATATGTGGAATTGACTGAACAAACCAAACTAATAAGCAAACGAGAGACAGACTCATGGATGGAGAGAGGGGCGGGGGAGGGGGGATCAAGCAAAAAAGGAAAAGAACTCATGGATATGGACACCAGTGTGGTCATTGTTGGGGGGCCAGTGGAGGTGGAAAAGGGTATAAGAGGGATACGTGGTGATGGGGAAAACAACACAATACAAAATAAACTATTAAAGAAATGAACTCTATTGAGAAATGTGTGAATCAGTCATCACCCAAGCACTCTTTAGCCTCAGGCCAGTTCAGCATTCACCAGACAAACAGAGCCCATCCCAGTGGCCCACAGTGTGGAACAAAGAAGGTTACCTTAGAGCAACTCCCCGGAGGCCAGAGGGACTTTCCTCTTTGCTTATTTTTACAGCTTGTGGAAGAAAACATCTAGTTCTTAGGAGGCCCAGGGACAGTCAGCTAGCATCTGGGCCAGTTTCCTGAGAAGCTTTCAGAAGTGTGGCGGGGCCAACTTCTTATTCCCAGGGCTGCCACCAATATAGTCCTGTCGCCATGGGAGCCAGACACAGAGAGTGATCTGCTGTCGCCCAGGGTCACACCCCACCTTGTTGTTTACCTGTCCCGGCCCACTGTTGATGGTTTTCTATTTCCATTTGTATCTCTTAGGCTTTTCCAGAGCGCCCATCGCACAGAACAAGAAAACAAGCGCTAGCTTTCCCTCATCAAAATCCCTCTAAATCAGTGGTTCTCAGCCCCGCCTACACATTGAAATCACCTGGGAAGAATGAAAAAAACAATGCTATCTGGGCCCCACCTGCTGAGATCCTGGTTCGGTTCATCTGAGCATGCGCAGTTGGCCAAGCTTCCCAGGTGATTCTAAGGCCAATGTTGCAAAGCACCGGCCTCGGAGACTCTGAGGCGCCCGGGCTCCAGCCACTCATATGAAGGATGTTGATTCTATATCGTAAAAGAGGGTTTTCGACTCACTTCTCTCTCCCCCACCGCAACCTCGGCACACAGGAAGGTTCTAGGAAACATTCTCTGATTTTTTAAAATTTATTTATTTGCATTGTTGTTCAAGTACAGCTTTCTGTCTTTTACTCCCATCCCAGCCCACCCCGCAAGTGCTCCCCGCCCATTCTTCGATTTTCATAGAAACGTATGGAGCACCTACTCTGTGCAAGCCTCGTGCTGAGAAACTGCAGACCCCTCCCTGGAAGTCTCAGTGCACAAAGCGTTGTCCACCCACACACCTCGAACACAGAGGCCTGAGCCATAGCATCAGCAGAGTCACCATGCGTGTTTTGTGGGTTGGACAGACTCCGTTTGACAAGCCTCTGCCCTGGCTCAGGGGCTGTGTCAGCCAGAACGGGAGGGCGGAGGCATCTCTGTAATTCTCCCAAACGTGCAGCACGTGCCTGAGCTCCTGCAGAACGACTTAAGGAAGGTGGACACAGCGCCATGCCCAGCATATTTGTCTAGTGATAAAAAGGGCTGCACAGGAACGCCCGTAACAGGGGGTTGATTCTGGCGAGGGCGAGGAGGTCCAGCACAACTAGAGAGGTGACAGGTGAGCTGAGCCTGGAGGAATGGCGTGCCCAGAGAAAATACAGGAGACGAGATTCCCGAAAAGCGGGTTGACCTATGGAGTGCAGAGTGGGTGTCTGAGGCATTTATCAGCACCAGCACGCATCTCTCCGCCCCTTCAAGCCGCAAGTTCGGGAAGACTGTACTCAGCTGCTGCCGGGCCGGTGGCTCTGACTCCAGGACCCCTCTCCCGAAGCCCTCACACAGCCTTGTGAGCAGTCGCTCACTGCCAGAATGCACCCGTCTCCCATGTCGTTACCCTGCCTACTCTCTTCCCGCAGCCCAATCAAGCTGGCTCTGTATGTGTGAACTTAGGACAGATCACTGATGCATGTTCATAAATGTTGGTAGAATACGCAGGTTTAGCCCTTAACATGTAAATGTTTCTAAGGGTGAGACTCTTCTCCAACAGATGTGTTCACAGAGCCTTCTGCAGCCAGCACCCATAGGACAGTGCTCATGTTTCCAGCCTCATCTTTCAAACCTCCTCCCCCACTTCGCTGCAGCCGCACTGGCTTTTTTTTTTTCTTTTTTAAGATTTTATTTATTTATTTTTAGAGACAGGGAAGAGAGTGTGAAGAGCAACATGGATGTGAGAGAGATACGTCGATCACTTGCACCCAGGAATGTGCTCTGACCAGGAACTTTCACTTTGCAGGAAGATGCCCCACCAACTGAGTCCTGCGGGTCAGGGGCTTTTTTTGTCCTTGGAACACACCTTCCTCTCTCCCTCTTAATGCACCCGCTTCTTCCTGCCCCAAGGCCATTGGATTCCTCCTAGAAGCTGCCTTGTTCGGTTTAACTCAAATGTCACCTCTTTCTCAGAAGCTGTCCCTGACCAACTTCACATTACTCCCCATGCTCTCCCACACACACACCTCACCCCCCAACCCCAACATCCTGTATCATGGTGATTTTCAACCAGGGATGACATTGCCTCTCAGAAGACAACTGCAGTTGTCACCACTGGAGAAGCACAACTGTCCCCTCGTTGTGTCCCCCCACGGTAGAGGTCAGGGATGCTGCTAAACATCCTACGATGCACAGACAGCCCCAACAACAAATTATCTGGCTCCAAATGCCACAGCTGAGAAACCCAGCTGTCACTATACTCTCATGCCCTGCAGCATTAACTGGTACTGAAATTGCTGGTTTGGGGGTGGGGGTCCCCTACTAAACTGCACCTCCTCAAGAACTGAAGTTCCCCCGCACCTACAGGAGTGCCAGGCACACTCGGCTCCCCAAACTTGTCCCACCTGCTCTTGTCCTGGGGAGCCACGGCACGTGGGAGATGCCGGGCAGAGACTACTGACGAGCCTGAGAAAAACAAGAAGTCAGCTTTCAAAACGAGAACGAAAATCTCTTTGTCAGTGTGAATAGAGTGAAACTAATAAAAGACCCTCACGCTTTCATGTGCTCACAATTACCTTCACCACCATCAGCAAAAGATTGGTTCTGCCACTTCTTAAAGATGTGCCAAATTACCCAAGTTTAAAATATGGTCTTAATTACACTGATATCCTCATGTCCCAAGAAAGATTTTAGAAAATGAAAACTCAACAGTTTTAAAGGATCAAAACCAAAACTCTATACATTCTACAAGGTTAATACATTTATAGAAAAAATGTAATATTAATTAAATACCTTCCCTTCTTACCCTTCCTCTGTTATTGGCAATTATTTTCTAGTTTTAAATCATGGCCAAATTAACTTTTGAAAAAACATTATTTAAAATATATAAAAGGTACTATACAGCAAGAGACTTATGAATGTAACACTATTGAAATTATTTACTAAGTACTAATTCTAGACCTACTCTTACTAAAAGCTCGAACAAAATAAAAACCCTTTGCATTTCTGCAGTGGTGTTCACTTTTCAGACTTCTCACAATTGCCTCTGTGCTCTGACCTAGGTCTGGGAATAATAATCTCTAGTGGATGTGAAAACGAAGGCATTAGGAACAACTTGACCCAGCGTCATCCAGTGTCACTGGTAAGAGGCTGGGACTCAAGTCCTAGTTCTCACTCTGTGTACCACCTGCTGCCCCCACACCCACGTATTGTTTTGCAGGTACTGGCGGGCAGGCCAGCAGCTCACACTGTGCTCATGACCTTCAAACAAGTACTGCAAATGCTGGAATAAACAAAGCTTGCCAGAACCCTGGAGCCTTCGATGTGCCATCAGTAAGGTCATGGAGAATGGAACTGCATCATAATTCAAAGCCCTACAAGTCACAAAGCAGGAAACCAGTGTGACCTGCAGGTTAGGGCAAGGACTAGGGGGTGAGAGGATGGAATGCCACCTACGAGGTCCTGATGGCACAGGAATGACATCCAATGCCACGGGTCTTTCCAGAGAAGCTACAGACCCGGGCTTTAAACTGGAATCTCAGTGTTCCTGCATGTTGTCTTCAATTTAAAAGAAAAACACTGTAGTTTGAACAAACTTTTTCAGACCAGTTTAGGCTGGCCCAATTTGGCAACCCTGATGGACAATGTTTAACAATCTTATTTACCCATATAACCTTCATCCGCAGGTACTTGCTATTAATTTTCTAGAATTCTGCAGAATTGTGTCAAAAACATTGCCTTCAAGTAAAGCATCCTGCCCTCCTGGACCACCCTGGTGTGATTAGCACTGAACCCCAAGGGAGAATTATTTCAGGATTAACTCAAATTGAAATCAATACCCAGCCATGTGAACTATTAATGTAGAAATGTTTCTGGTGATGAAAAATATCCTTATTTTTTGCTTGTTTAACTCTAGCCAAACTCGGAAATTTAATTCAGTTGTGAAAAAAGAAGAGCATTGAAATTGATTTGACATGAAATAAAACCTTCATTTTTCTAAAATAATTTTAATAATCAAAGGGGTTGGGGATGATTTAGAATTTCAGATGAAACTAGTAATATCTCAAACAACACTAGTATACTTTTCTAAGGCAGCAAGCCTTCTTCCCTAATCTCTCCCTTTCTTTTTTCTTTGTAAAAAAAATCTCAGCCCTGCGTCATTCTAAAAATTAGTTCAGATTCCCTGACAGTGGTCAACATAAGTGCCGGAAGCTATGGCACACATATAGCAGAAACAGTGCTCGCATGTTAAGTCAGATGGCAACTGATCTTCCCCTGATATACTTGGTCCATTCGCCACCCTAGCTTCTAACTGCTAGAAACCCCATCCTGGTCCGAGAAAGTACTTAAAACGTTACATTTTCAGCCCTGGCTGGTGTGGTTCAGTGGATTGAGTGCCCACCTGCAAACCAAAGGACCGATTCCCAGTCAGGGCACATGCCTGCTATGCAGGCCAGGTCGCCAGCAGGGGGTGCACAAGAGGCAACCACACACTGATGTTTCTCTCCCTCTCTTTCTCCCTTTTCTCTCTCTCTAAAGTTAAATAAAATCTTTTTAAAAAATGGATGAAATATTTTTTAAAAACTTTACATATTCAGAACCATGAAAAAAAGATCTAAGGTGAAATCACACTGCATTTATTTCCCCATTGAAGAAATAAAAACCTATGCCCCTCCATGATTTGCAGCCCTTGGGTGACTTAAGAAATGCGACATTTGGAGTTAAGAAGATAAAAGAGAAGAGATCATCATGGATGCTTCCAAGTGCGTCATTTAAGTACCAAGTCCTATGTGACCAAGGAGGCAGCTCTTTCCCTGTCTCCCCAGTGAGGATTCTCACAGGACACGGCTTCATAAGGTCTACAGTGTCATTTCATACCTGGGAGAGGGCTCAGCTATGATCAGAAAGACTGAGCCAGTTTCTCATAAAAAATTAGGACCCATCACCACTAAGGTCGACTACACACAGATGAGCTAGACACACTCGAACCAACATCACTGACAGGTTAGAATATGGTGGGAAACTGATAAAGTCATTCTGGATCCTAATAGGATTCTGGCATGGTGAGATCTGGTCCTTGTCTTCTGTGATCAAGGACATAAAGCCTTGGACGGTCTCTGGGTCTTAATTCACATGTGAAGATTGTTCTCAAAGTGGACATTCTCCTCTGCTCGGTAGTGCACTGCAGTGTCATTTGGCGAAGTTCCTCTCAGAAGCTCTATGGATGAAGGCTTACTACAAAAAGAATAACACGAGTAAGTGAAAAGCAGGTACCTTCTACACAATGAGCGGCACGACTGTTCATTTGCAACGCCAGCACCCCACTCACACAAACTATTACATGAGTAGAGAGGCTTCCAGGGCTGTGAATATTAAGTCTTAATAAGCAAGATTAAAAAAAAAAAACCTAGGACATATTCAGACTACCCTCTCTGAAGAGATTCATGTAATAGAATAGAAAAATTGATAATCTAACACAATTACCAGCAATCAGATTGAAGTACTAAAAAATCAAGAGGAGTATTCTCAAGCGTCTAGCAAATGCTTTGGCTGGTGCTTTCCCAACTGTGGGTTGTGTCATTTCGGGGCGAGTTTTTAAATCTGGGGAGTGATGTACATCTTGTGTTTAAGATAAACCAAGAATGATATAAAATACCAGGGCATACCCAACGCACTGAAACAGCAGTTTCACACAAGTGTGCACTGGACGATGGTGTCAAAATCTTCCTGACTTTATGGTCACAACTGCAAAGCCATGAGCTAGATGACTTTTATGACACATGCAAATGTCAGGTGGACTAAGAGGTATGAATAAAGTTTTGGCACAGCTGCTATTTCATAATTCATGTATAGTGATTTTTTAAATTATCTGAGCCTACCCAGAAATGATATGAAATGTACTGAGTCTTCCCTCAGCTCACCTCTAACTGAACCAGTCATACAAGTGTGAGACCGTTTAGGTGTCACTAGCTCGAGATGAGTCAGTGTGGTGGAGCTGCCAAAAAGTGTCATAAGGCTCTTTTTTTTAAGCTTTTTAATATTTTACAACATTGTCTACAACATGTTTTCATTTATAATTAAGTGATAAGAGGTAAACGTAAAGAAAACATTGACACTGAAAGGACAGACACCAACTAAAGGGATGCTATAGTCCATGCTTCTGGCTGTAAGAAGTATTTTCCCTTCTATGGATGGAAGCAGGAGCTCAAAGCTTCCATTAGTATAGGTTTTAAACTCTGAAAGACCTGAGTCTTTTAGCTGCTGTGTGTTGTGAACTTGGACATCACTTAACATTTCAAAACTCGTTCTCTAATGTGTGCAGTGAGAACAGTAGGGCCTATGTCACAGGTGTGGTGATAGGAAGTGAATGACGGCAACAACTGGAGCCCACACTTATGGGCACTTGCAGGGTGGTTGGTGATGCCCAAGGCAAACTCAGTGGATTGGCCCATGTGATGAAGACACAGGGAAGACTGACACCCACCAGTAATGAATGGCAGCCTAATAGGATGGCTTCTGAGTCAAAGGAAGACCTTGCTTAAAGCCCAAACTGGACTGAATGAAGCAGGTGACCTGGAACTGGGAGCAAGTAGTGGTTTCACACCAGTACAGATGTTTGCTCAGATGAACCCAGGGCATGGATGGAAGTAAAGGAGATTTAAGCTTTGAGTGGGCAGCAGAACACATTTACAAAAATTGTCAATCAAATGGCTATGAGGCCAGATAACCAACATGAAGGAGCAGAGCAGGATGAGGATGGAACCGCTGGGTGGGGGGGCTGCAGAGCCCTGGAGGCCCCCGCCCCACCTCAGAGCTTGTGCTCTGCTTGAGCCAGGCATCCTCTCCCTCCAGGTCTCTGCAAGTGGCCTCCTGGTCCATCAGGGCCCCTCACACATCCCCCTACCCGGGTCTGCATTCCCCATGGCATTTGCCTGGAAGCACTTGCAGGACCCTGTCTATTTGCTTTTGTGTTTTGTCTGTTTTGCTCATCTCCTTGGAATATAATAGGCTTTTAGTCAACAAAGCAGTGAATGAAATCCAGGAGAAACCAAACAACTCACTCCAATGTAGTTTCATCAGACACAGTTTGTGACTTAGTTCCATTACTCTGAGAGGGGAGGACGGGGCACTGCTTCTGTAGGAGTTCCTGGCACAATGCCAGGGGAATGGAGACAGCTCAAACTATCACTGGATGCCTTGGGCAGTAATGCAGGCACTCACTACACTGAATTTTTCAGGATCTGGGGGGCAAAATGGGGAGTTCAGGAGAAGGAGGAGAGGGACAGACAGAAATTTTTGTTTATTTTTACTGGGATAGGAGCATCAAAACACAGCGACACAAACCTTTCGAGCTTACCTTATATGCAACACCTTTCCATACATACACAAGTATCCTAAATTGGGGAGCAGTGAAGAGAAAATTAAACAGGTCAGCAAAGAGTTTCATGAGATCTTTTTCCAAACATGTATATTGTTTCTGTTATTATTTAAACTAGACAAAATCTGAACAAAGCCAGAGGCCAAAAAACAAATTAAATTTAGAAGAATGTTTTTTGAAAGGAGGAAATAAACACACTTGGGTTAGTGTATTCACACACATGCCCGGACTTACTTGATGCAATTATAATAATTACACTTCACTTGTAAGAAATGGAATGTATGGTTCTTCACAGAGGCCAGTTACACACACACACACACACACACACACACACACACACACACACACAGCTGGTGGATGGCTACTGAAATCTGTCTCCCTTCCACCGTCTCATTGGCCTCCTCAGTTAAGTGAGTGTCATAGGACATACATTGGGTCTTGAGGGAAGGAGAGGAAGAAGAGTAAACAAATCTTACACAATAAGGTTTGTTGCCTTCCAATCCCAACTTTACCCAAAAAGCTCTTATGTCTTAGTATTTAATTTCTCTATGGAAAATTTAAATTTCATTTTTCTCTTTACAGACAAACATTTTAAAGAAAAAGGACAAGGCTATGAGACAGGGAACTTATGTGAAATCAGAATTATGTGGTGTGTGGAGCTACTTGAAACCGTCTGTCTGTACTAGAAGTACTGTCTGGCTCTAGGACCCTCGTCCTGTCCCCTTCGGCACAATCCTGCGATGACTTACATACTTTTGGCAATTACAGCTGCCAAAACACTGAGCAGTATCAGTGCGGCGGCAGCGAGTCCAATGTAGAGAGCCTTATTGGTGCCCTTCCATGCGTTTTGTTCCACATTCACGTGCTGAGAAAAGATCAACATTGAAAAGGCATCTTGTTAGAATTATGGGCAGAAAACTTTTCCTAAAGTAATGTACTCAGACACATTTATCTTTACTGACCCTTGTCTACTTCTGGGTCATGAGGGGTAAGACCAAAGGATCTGAGGTTGCAACCAGGGTGAAATGATAAAAGACCTTGAAATTCAGTGTGTATTTGGGAATGTGGAAATATTTTATATCATGTTTGGAGTGGGACTTCCATGGGTACATACATTTGTCACAGATCAAACTGTACACTTCATAGGGTGCTATTATAAGTAAATTACCCATATTTTGAAAAAAAATCATGAAGCTATGTCCATAAATATATCCTATGATGATATTAAACAATACAAACAATTTCTTCATATATAAGTGGACTTTGTAAGGCCACGATGATATGTAAGAATTGGTGATGCTATATGATATCATCTGGATATATTTAATTAATGACTTTGGTCATTGATATAGTCCTTATTTTTTAACTATACAAGTAATTCAAGACTCTATCTATGTCTATGTAATGGGCCCGAAAGCAACTGCTCACAGACATGGTGCTGATTAATAGTTAACCTAAAACACTGTGCAATGGGGCAAAAATGCAGAATTTGGTTTGAATCTCCTGGTGCAGTTCATAAGGATCGCCCTCCTAGAATAAGCCTGAAGTATGCCAGGCTCCTTTATAGCTTAGCTCCCATCCTAAACAGATCCCACAGGGTAGACATTTTAACAGAAAGGAAGTGGAAGATCAGAGAGAAGCATCAAACCCTTTGCTGCATAAAAGTTTAATTTCTGGAGTCAGAATCCTGGCCCTTTTAACGGCTTTGGGACCCTCCACAAGTTCGTTCAGCTTCTCTGAGCCTCTGTTTCTGTGTCTGTCAACTACAGATTAAATAGAGTGCTTGGGAAAGGTACACTTAGATATCTCCTGAGAGCACTAAGAGGAATGTGAGGAGGGTAATTCAGCCCTTGAGCCATCCATGTTTAAAGGGGAAGCAGCCACTGTTCCGGAGGGAAAGCTGGGTTGGGATTCCCTGACCTGTCGGGGCTAAAGTGCTAGACGGTACACAAGGCTGCCAAAGGAGACTTTGCATTCCATGTCAAAACGATCATATTACATAAAAGGCGCACATTCTTCTTAAAATGTGCAGCTAAGCATGAAGGGAGGAAAACTAAAATCAACCGTAATCCTAATATCCCAAAACAACCTCGGCTACCATTTTTTATTACACACTCTTAGAATTTTTGTTTCTATTTTTTCTTACCATAAATAATCAGTACATTCAATACGTAATGAGGAATATATATTATTTTAAAAGTCAGTTTTCCATCTAACAATCAGTGGTAACTGCCACCCCAAGGCAGAAACGCAGTGCTGACATGCATAATGGAAACCCATGGGGGTGCTTAGTGAATCGGCCCCTTCCTATTGAGCCTGGCGGTTGTTTATAACATTTTCATGATTATAAACAGCAGCAATGAACATCTTTTCTCATATATCTTCATGTACTTGTGCAATTCTCTGCTTCACATAGTATCCAGGAGATCCACCTGCTGGGTCAAATTATATGCTGCATGTTTTCAAGATACGAGGGAGACATCTTGATATCCTCAGAATCAAGGTACGGAAAGCCCACAGCTTTGCTACTACCTGTCATGAACTTGCTTCTGAACTGCTTCTCCTTGCTGATAAACCTACATGCCCTATAGGGTACTGAGGTCAAGAACAATCTCACCATTCAGAGCATGAGTGTGTGTGAGGGTGTTTTTAATTCAGCATAAATCCAGCCATGTAGCAATACAATAATCGTTTCCATGGTGGCAGTTCTGATATTTAGGAGGTATCTACACATTAAGCCCACATCCATCACATCAATCATGCTGTATAAATTGTTAAAGTAGTTCATGTCACTCCTAACGTAGTATTCTCTTTGTAACTAAGGTTAACAATATAAAGTAATCTGACTCGACACTAAACCTCCCCACTTTGTCTCAGCCTGATCATTCTTACTATTGTGGGTTGTCATTTCTCACCAATTCTGACAGTTAATGCCTTAGTAAGTCATCCCATGGGGAGGTTCGGGTGTAGAAAGACTCCGCAGTGCCCTCAGATTTCCACATAGGAAGATGATAGGGTTGGAAAGGACACTAGGGAGCCCGTGTTGACGCAGTGCCCTTCCTTTCACGGTATTTGCGTTGGGGCGGCCTCCACGCCACCACGGAGACTCCAAGCACGTTACTCCCCTGATGGGGAGGTTGTGTTACCTCACTCTCCTGAAATTAGTTCAGTATTTTTTGTCCAGTTTTTGGCCAGGAGAAAGTCTGTAGTCTGTGAGGATATTGTGTGCATTTGTGAGAGAAAAATATCACTTATTGGGCATCTCTAAAAAGCTGGCCTACCAATATCTATCTGAACTTCACAAATTGATTACATCATCCTTATTTAAGAAACAAATTACTTTCTTCTTTGTCTCTTCACTAGAAAGAATCAACCTGGGAGCAAGCCTTACAACTTGCTTCCAGAGGGACATATAAGGGAAGGTGAATAACATGGGGGATTTGCTTACAGTTCCACAGTCTTGCCAATCACCCTGTGTAGGCAGCATCACAGTGGTGTTACCATCTGCTCAACAAAGAGAAAATTATTTAGAGTGAGGAAAAGTACTGAATTTTCACTACAAACACCAAATATATTCACATTGCTTTCTGATGATGAATAATATGCCCAAAGCAGCAGGCATTGGAGGAATTATACCAAGTTACTAGTGTTTATGAATTTATCCCGTAAGATTGTGTTTCTTAACATATTTGGTTATGGACACTGTGAAAATGGGACCCCATTTTTCTTTTTATATGGAAAAAATACATCGCATAAAGAGTTTTGCCTACAATTTTAGGAGCACAGAGGCCATTCTGGCAACTGGGTTAAGAATGCCACTTATACATAGGTAACACACATAGTGATATGACTTTCCAAACGTCTTGCCTTCTTCAGTCAGCATAAGCATCCAGGGAGGGGTGCAACCCTTCCCCTTGGACCTGCAGCTAGTCCCCAGCAGTGGAATTGGGAGCTGACTCCAAAACACAGCCATAGGGGCCCCCCAGTCTGACAATGGCAACTAGTAAGGCCTGCACTGAAAAAATTAAATGCGAAAGTATGGAGTTTCCTGGCACAGACAACTGGCAAAGGTGGGTGGTGGGCCCTATGACAACCCATATCCCTTCTAGACCTAACATACTTTGCTTCTGTGAAGCCTCTGGCAGCCATGGAAGGCTGACTTGGGCACAGTGAGGGTTTGGCTCTAGAGCCTCAGACACCCGCCAAGATGGAGACACAGCTGCTCCGACGTCTGTGCCACCATGGAAAGCTCTGCCTTCCCCAGGTTAGAGTGACCCGATATTTACAAAATCATTCCCCACTGCTACCTTCTTCCCCCTCACACCCTAAAATGTGGGTGCAGCTGCCTCTACTGCTGTCCCCTTGTGTTCTTATCCACTCTCACTGTGCTCATGTGTCTGGAAAACACCTCGCATGTCAGGGTTCTGCATTCAAAAACAAATGTCACCATTCTGTCACCCCAATGGAGTGGGTCCCTCTGTGACTCTCACTGCAGGCCCATTTTCAATGAACCATCGAATGATTGGCTTCCAGGAATGACTGGCAACAGGCAGGCCATAGGGGGCCCTACAGATTGGCAGCTCCTGAGTCATGCACAGGAGGAGTTTGCAAGGTTTGTCCCTGTTTGGATGCAGCAGAAGCACAGGGCATACAGCCAGCTCTGCATTACCAAGGGGTTCAGCATGTGGCTGAACCACTCTGGGTGGCTCACCACTCTGGGTGACAGAGTTAGCTGGGAAAGATGACCAGCTTCAGGATCACCTTTCTCCACTGTGGGAAAGACAGCTCAGTCTTCCACTGCAAAAGAGGAGAGAGTACGTGGGACCAGCCCAGAAAGGGGATCTGGGGGAGGCTTTCAGAAAGGCAGTAGCAGATTCTCTGTGGGGCAGGCCTCTCTCTTTGGTGCCAGTGCTGGTGGCCTCGAACCCTCTCTAGGACCCCTCTAGGTCCACCTGCAGGCCTCACAAGGCAGCAGGACAGCCTCCTTGATGTACTGAGGCTCTGGTGCTTAGCAAAAGGTCAGCACACGTGGCCAGTTTGGTCTGGATTTAACTAGTTTACAACTCTGGCCCAAGGTAGCAAGCCCAGTAATAAATACATGTGGAGTCGGGACTGGTTCACATGATTTAGAAAAATAAAGAAATGCATGCGGATGTTCCCAAATCATACAAATTCCCTGTGCCAGTCAGGTTTATGTGCCTGGACAGCTAAGTAGTAATCACAGTGGCTACTGTAACTGTGTCCCAAGCTGTTCTTCTCATTTAATCCTCACAAGGGTTCTACATGGTCAGTGATGTTCCATCCATTATACAAATGAAGAAAACAGATTCAGGAAGGGTGAGACGTTTGTTCCAGTCTCACTGCTGATTGGAGGGGCCAGTGTCGACATTCACGTCAGAGCATGTGCTCTTAACAACACGTCAGTGATTGTCAAATTTGAATGCTCTCAGTCTTCAGGGAAGAAAATGAGGTTACCTGTTGAACAAGGGTCCGATGGTGAGCTGGTCGTATTTGTTTCCTGTGTTGTGATAGGTTGGGTGTCTGTCGTCTGCATTGGAGAAGATGATGTGGCTTCTGAAATGGAAAGGATGAAAGAGCTCTGTTCTATTTGTGGAGAATACTTCCCAACCACCTCCAACAACACTAAAATCAGTAAGTACCCTCAACTCTTTCCTAAAAATTTAATCAAAGATAACATTGAGGCTTTGTGCTGCCATCTCAGCTTTTTATTAGTAGTAATAAACCTGGTATTGACAGTGCTCTAGGTTGTTCACCATAGATGGAAACTTTTCACACTCTTCATACCTCTAGGATCCCCTGAGTGCATAATGCCCACAACCGTGCATCTTATGCAGGACACCATTTGTGTGAAGCTTTATTCGTACAAATGACATTCCCTTTGCACGGAACAGGGCCTGGCAGTGTGCACTGATCTGTCCTCCCGTCCTCACCCCAACCCCAATCTGGGTTTTCTGACCTCACTGAAGCTCCCACTTACCCGACCACACACCTTTCCAGGGAGATGCACGTAAGGACCAGCACAGGACACACACTCACAGTACCTAATTTCTGGACGTCTCCTCAAGCTGACTAACCTGCCCCAAGTCCCCATGTGGTAATCATTCACAACCCTCAAAGCAAAGTGGACTCCAAAGAAGGACCTTGGCCCCAGTCCCTCCTTCAGTGGCATTCCAGGCACTACTTTTGTGAGGCACATTTCCTGTACTGTCTGACTCATCCTCCATGTCCCACCGACATGCTTTACTAGTTTCCCCGACGCTCAGCTATGCATCACTTGCCTCTTTACCAGGCCTTTGTATTCCTGCCCCTGAGAGCTCCAGACTCCTAGAGCAAGTGAGTGGTGCTGGCCAAGTAAGGAGTCTCAGACCCGGGCTTTCCCTCATGCCTCTCACTGGTCTTTCTGTTTCCCCTTTGCCACCATCATCTTCATGTCTCAACATCACCCTGCTTTATGTTCTGAACCCATTTCATGTTTTCCTCCAACACTGAACCTGGTATCAGGATGTGGCTCTCTTCAGGACAAAGAACAGGACAGCACAAGAAAGTCAGATGATCAGACTCTGTCCACCTTAGACCTGTGTACACCTCCCGACCTTAACTTCATTCCCCAGTTTGGTTCTTTGTGGGCCTCTTTCTTTCTGATCTGCTCCTATAACCTTACACCCAACCACTGCATGAGTCTCTCAGGAAACCAGCATGTGCAGAGGCACTGGGGACAGGCAGGGGGTGGGTGTAAAGGAAAATGTCTCCGCATTGAATTAGCTCCAGTGTTCACCTCCTTCCTGTCCTGTAAAGCTCACCTCTAAACTCCAACTCCTACAAAACTATCAGGATAAGGAAAAGGTTCAATTCAGTTAACAATACAATTACTATTCCCCAGGAGGTCACTAGTATTTTTTGTCTTCTGACCGTCTGCTTTAAATTAAGTAAAAAAACCCATGTATGTTCTCTAAACCTTGTCCACTAATCTTTACATTTTTCAGGCACACACTAAGTCAAACTAAGTACAAAGAAGCCAAATCAATATTGAGAAAGTCAACAGATTCTCTAGTATGTTCAGCTGCCTTTGTATATACAAAGCTGTTTTCTACAAACTTTTATGACTCTAAAATCCCAGTTTAACCCTAAAGCCCTCTCTTCCAAAGTTAGCTCATAGCCCAATACCTCAGGGTCCTTCCTGGTAAACGTACACATGGTTCAATGGGAGTCAATATGTCCCATCAGAACTCCCCAGAATCTAAACCACCTCAAGGAGTCAGAGAGTTGTGAAGGCTTTGAGACTCTTCACTGAAAGTTATCTTTCTAATCCTACAAATAGAAGGTTTGAAACTAAACTGGCCCAAGTGTGAACCATGTAGTCTAAATTGGAAAAAAGCAATACATTCCAAATTCCTGAAATCCTTAAATCTCATGTCATTATACAAATAGCATTTTTTTCTATTTCTATGCTACATAATAGTAAAGAGTGCTTGAAGCAAAACTGTGTAAGTTCCTGACTGACATGAAAAAACAGGGTAAATTATACAAAGGTTTTTTCAGCAAGGGTGTCAGATCAAGGCAAATTCATCCTAATATAACCTTAGTCAGTGCTCATGTTAGAAGGCATAATGCAGTGGTTATAACTTCAGCCCCAAATTCGAATTAATAGTGACAGAATCCTGACTCAACCACTTTCATGCGTTTAATCAATGAACTTAGACCTTGTGTCCAGGATCCAACCCCTATAACAGAGGATTGAATCACAACTACAATGAATGGGGTTGTCATAAGAATTGAGTAATGTAACACTTGTAAAAAAAAAAAAAACAACCCAAAAACTTAGCAGATGGGGTGGGTGAAGAAGTTGAAGGAATTTAGAATCTCAAATTATTAGTTACAAGAACAGTTATGTGGATGTGAAATACAGAATAGGGAATATAGTCAGTAATGTTGTGATAACTTTACATGGTGTCACATGGGTACTTGATTTATCAGGGTGATCACTTCTTAAGTTATATAAATGTCTAATCATAGGGGTATACAGCTGAAAAACAATGCTATACATTAAGTGTATTTTTAAAAATAAGTAAAGACTTGTAAAGTGAAAAAAGAGAGAGAACTTAGCATGACTCCTGTGGCATAGGAGAGAGAGGCCATTATGACCTCAGTGAAATTTTCTCCTCCAGATGAGACTCCAAGGTCAGAGTGGACTAAAAGATCTCCACACAGAGCTCCATCTGAAGACTGAGCTCATTACTCTGCCCCTTATGTTCTGGCAGTTCCTGAATTCCCTGATAAGCCTGTGCTCCCCTGAGCCAAATCCCCGGGCTGCTTGTTAGATATCAAAGATAAGTGGCCTGGGGATTATTTGGGGGGGGGGGGCAGAAGCAGTGCTACTAATGACTGCCCTTGAAAATCTGATTTTTAAACATGATGAGTCTTCTTACTCTGAAAATACTTATAGGTATAAAAGGTACATGTAATCTGGAATGGAGACTGTCAGGATCTGTGAAACTCACCAATGGAACCCAGGGGAAGAGTGTTAATCCTGGATTGTACTTCTGCCTTAAGATAATACCCTGGGTCATCGGCCTCCTTTTGGTAGAAGGCCTCTGAACTCAAAAGTATATCACTTTACCTCTCAGAATGTCCTGTGTGTGTGCTGGTGCCAAAGCAGCAGAGGTAGAGACATTAGGTGATGTTGGGACACTGGTGACCTTAGGTGGAGCTAGAAACAAATGCGAAAGCAAAGATTAATCAAGCAGCAGGAAGCTAAGAGCCCTGGGCTGCACCTGTACATCGACTCACCCCATGAGACCCACCCCGAGCAGCACTGGGCAGTAATCTCCCTGAGGCACTAGTCTCTCTGAATTTAGAATTCTTCATCCTTGGTCCACTAGAATTGAGAACATGCTCATAGAAAGGAAACAACTGCATTAAAAAGTATTTATTTCAGGATGCTCAGAATATAAAAGTGTTCCCTGGGTTTAGAACTGAAACACTTTGAAAAGACGGGCCATGCATATCAGATTTATATTATCTTTATATACATTGGTGAGGTGGGGAAAATGTATTCAAAAAATAATTTTAAAAAATGTATACTTTTTTCTCCCCAGGTACCATTTTTTCCTTACAAGAAGCTTTCTTTTATCTAAGCCAACTAAGTATAAAAGAGGACACTGGTATAGGAGCCCACTGATTTAAAAGCTCTTTTTTTTGAGAGATCCAGTATCATTTGGAATCAAGCCAATGTTTGCCTTGAGCGGAAAAAAACTTTTTTCAACAAATATCTGTGAGTGCCCATTACATGCCAGGCATTAGTATAAAGCAAGTATCAGCAAACCTTGTGTAACAGGCCAGACAATAAATGTTAGGGTTTGAGGGTCCATGGCCTCAGTGGCTCTCGTTGAACTCTATTGGCGTGAAAGCAGCCACAGACAGGAGAGTGTAATGATGGGATATGGCTGCTCCAGTAAAACCCTCATATAAAACCAGCAGTGGGCTTGTCATCCTTGAGTGGAAGATCTGAGGACAGAGAGGACCAGAGGAACTCCACCAAGATGCACTTGTGAAGACAGCAGCTCATTAGCCTGTCCCTTCTTCTCTGGCACTACCTAGATTTTCCTCATAAACCTGTGCTCAACTGGGCCAAATCCACGCCGTCCTCATTAGATGTCCAATATTAGTGGTCTGGGGTCATTTAGCTAATGACGAATCCCTCTGAGAACCTGATCTGAAACACAGTGGGTCCTCTCACTCTGAAGATACATGTAGGCACAGTAGATGCTACGTAATGTGGGACAAAGTTTCACAAAACACATGACGCCAGATGGAACACAAGGAAAGGACCTTTAGTACAGATTGTAACTCTGACTTAACAGATGCCCTGGGTGGTCTATGTCTTCTCATTTGAAGACCTCTAGCCTCAGAAACACATCAGTTTACCTGTCATGAGGTTCCCTGTGGGTGCCGCAGTTGTAGGAGCAGAAGTGGAGACCTTAGGTGATGTGGGAGCATCGGTGGCCTTAGGTGGAGCTAGAAACCAACAGGAAAGCAAGGATTAATCAAGCAGCACGCAGAAGAGCTCTGTACTGGGCCTGTGCATCAACATAACCAATGAGAGACAGTCCCGGGACAAAACCGGACACTAACTTCTCTCTCCTGAACTCAGAGTTCCTGTCCTGGCTCTACTACCATTGGACAGGGGAGGGGGGGAGGACAAGCCCACAAAAAGGAAACAGCTGCATTGAAAAGTATATATTCCAGGACGTTCAGAGGGGAGAAAGGTTACCCAGGTAATGCACTGAAGCACTTTGAAACACCAAGCGTGCACATTAGATCTACATACCTTTACGCACACTGGGGAGGCGGGGAAATGTCTACAGCCAGGACCTGTGTTTTCCCCCTCTATGGTGAGCGACTAAGATTTAAACAGTAGTTGCCAGACAAAGAATGTTTGCCAAATGCATAGCAGTCATTTCAGTCCGTCCTGAGGACACCCCCCCACAAGGGTCCTGCACCCTCAATGAGGATTAACTCACACCACTTATATGCCAGATCCCAGAGACGATTATATATATACATTTGGCTGAAAGGTGAATGATTCTAACTAAAAGATGATAACAGGTAATAACTTTGACTCTTTCCATGACAGAGCAGATTTAGGATTTCAAAGCATTTACGGAAGCTCTCAGAGCTACCCAGAGAAAGAGCTGACACTGGAATTAAGTCCGAACAGAGTGCTTTGCACAAAAGCTGATCAATGAAGGCCTGATCAAACTTGTACATTTCTTTCTCACCAGACACCTTTTATCCTGTGAGACACTTCGAAAAATCTGAAGTCTACTAACTAGAAACAGGAGACCACCTGGCACAGGAGACCACTGATCTGCAAGATCTTTGAGGGATCCAGTGTATTTAGAATCCAGCCAATGTTTGCCTCGAGAGGAAAAACTTTTTTTCTAGAAACATTTGTGCGTGTCTAATATATGTGTGGCACTAATCTAGATCACAGGTCAGCGAACTTTCTGTAAAGGGCCTGATGGTGCATGTTTAGGATCTGGTGGCCCTGTGGTCCCAGGAGCAGTTGGCTCAACTCTGTCGGTGGGAAAGTAGTCATAGACAAGACAGTGTAGTGAATGGGTATGTCCATTCCAACAAGTCTTTATTCATAGAACAGTTGGTGAGGTTGTTTTGCACATGATCGGGCTCTGGGATATAATTTGTTGACTCTGATCTAGGGAGCAGTCAGAGTCTTCTAAGGAGAGTATAAGTTGATTCCCTCCCTCTAGTTCAAAGTCTACTCTAGAGAAAAAAACAAGCGTGCAAAAAATATGATCAAATGAGTATAAGAAACAATAAAAAGGAGAAAAACCAATCAGAATTGTGTAATGAAATTAACTTCATCAGTGGAAAATGTCTTTCCCAGGAAAAAGCTAGGAAGATACAGAAATAGATGCAGGTGAGGAAAAGCCCTAACAGAAGCTTGAAGAGTTAACATCAGCCTGTGAAAAAGTGCAAGAAAACTTAAGCAAAGACTTAGTTATTGGAAGCTGAAAGTCGCTTGTCTCAGCTTCCCACTGGACCCATTTCACACTGGATAAAGCAGCAGACTTATCTATTAAAGAACTGAGAGACGTCCTGGCTGGTGTGGCTCAGTGGACTGAGCTCAGGCCTGTGAACTGAAGAGTTACTGGTTTGATTCCCAGCTAGGGCACATGCCTGGGTTGTGGGCCAGGTCCCCATCTGGGAACATGTGAGAGTAAAACAATTGATGTATCTCTTGCACACCAATGTTTCTCTCCCTTTCTTTCTCCCTCCCTCCCCTCTCTCTAAAAATAAAGTAAAATTTAAAAAAATAATTGGGAGGCAATTTCAAATCCTCCTACTAATTCCTTTCCATGTTATTTTTAAAAATGCAAGCAGATACAAATTTTACAACTCCACAAAATTGAAACTGTAATTTCTCCTCCAATTTCAGCCACTTCACACCTGTCTCCAATCCACTATCTCACCAGCTTCTTTGGCTTCCCTGAATCACGTTCCAGATATAGTTTTCCCAGATCAGCTGTTTCCCCCATCTCGGTTGACCTTATCTTACCTCTCCTCGGGGGGAAACAAGCCAAGGCCAAGCATGGGAGGTTAAAAAATAAAGTTTCACTCAATTAAAAAAAAAAAAGAGAGAACATAGATTATTATTAAGGCAACCATTATTGGGTTCTACCATCAATTAAAAAAAAAAAACTGGCAGAGATTCATTTAGAAGGAGCATCAGAAACCAGAAAATGCATAGAACCTACTTCTTTAACCAAATAATAAGGCTATTAGGATGTACACATCAAGATGGAATATAAATGTCCCAGATTTTTTGATTCCATAAAATTCTTTTTTTTAAAAAAGATTGTATTTCGGGCAGGGTGGGCTGGGATGGGAGTAATAGAAAACTGTACTTGAAAAATAATTAAATAAAAATGGGGAAAAATATTGTATTTATTTTTAGTGAGAGGAGAAGGAAGGGAGAAAAAGAGGGAAACATCTACATAACAGAGAAATATAGATTGGTTGCCTCTTGCATACCCCCAACTGGGGACCTGGCCGTCAACCCAGGCATGTGCCCTAGCTGGGAATCGAACCAGCAACCCTTCAGTCTGCAGGCTGGTGCTCAATCCACTGAGCCATACCAGCCAGGGCACAGATTTTATGAAATTCTTAAACCAAATGTGAATAGTTATTAGGTTGTGAGTGTTTTCATATTGCAATAATATTTTAAGCATTAAAGTGTTAGTGTTTAAACCAACAACATTGGGATTTGATACGAGATAATACTACAAAAATCCATGGTATTGGGGAGTATAGGTAGAACTATACAGGCTAATATAATGTGTATGCAATAATGTTGAATTTACAATTGTTAATGATGGTGACCCATCTGTCAGTACCCACAACTACGAAATAGGATTGAACTACATCTACAGTGCATAAGGGTGTCATGTGAATTGGGTGAAATAATAAAGGTAAATTAGAATAGCTCCTGGCACATAAAAGACTGAAAAAAAATGTTAACTTCACTAAGTCTTATCCTTATGTGCACGGTCTGAACTCAGAGAAGACTAAAGGATGGACATCCTGAACTCCTTGTCAGCTCAGACTCTCGTTAAACTGACCCTTCTCTAACATTCCTTGTATTTTCCTCAAAAATCTGTGCTCAACTGGGCTAAATCCACACAATCCTCATTAGGTGTCAAAGATCAGGGATCCGCGGTTGGTTGGCTAATAAAGAACAAATTTGACAATTGCTTTAAAGCCTGTGATTGTAACCCTGGGAATAATTCATACCCTAGATTGTCCTTCTGAATTAACACATGTCTGGGAGGTCTCCATTCTCTCCTTAGAAGGCCTCTGGCCTCAGAGACACATCAGTTTACCTGTGTTAAGTTTCAGTGTTGGTGCTGGAGTTGCAGGAGCAGAGGTAGAGACCCCAGGTGATGTTTGAACACTGGTGACTTTGGGTGGATCTAGAAACCAACAGGAAAGCAAGGATTAATCAAGCAGCAGGAGACAAGAGCTTTGTGCTGGGCCTGGGCTTCAACATAACCAGTGAGAGACAGTCCCCAGGCAGATTGGATATGAACCTCCCTTGAAGTCAGAGTTCCTGCCTGGTTCTACTACAGGCTGACAGGGGAGGGCACGAGGACAAGCCCACAAAAAGGAAACAGCTGCACTGAAAAGTATATATTCCGGGAGGTTCAGAGGTGAAAAAGGTTACCCAGAATAAATGTGGAAATACTTTATTATCCATGCCTTCTGATATGTGTGTCTTCATAAATATCTGTGAGGTACAGAATATGTCTCAAACCTGGATGTGTCTTAAGTTTTCTCAATGGCTCATGAGGAAGACTTACTTAAATAGTAGCTCCCAGACCCAAAATGTTTAACAAATAAGTAGCATTAAATTGAGTCAGTCCTGAGGGTACCCTCTTGAGGAAGCTGTACTCTAAAAGAGGATTAACTCATGCCCACTAGCTTGATCACAGGAAGGATTTATACAAGGTAGATTTGAATAGCAGGGGAGTAGACCACAGGTGATGACTTCGACTTTTTCCAGAGTCAGAGGAGGTGTAGGATTTGCAAGTCAATTGCAGAAGGTCCCAGAGACATCTGGAGAGAGCTGAAACTAAAATTAACCCAAATCACAATGCCTGGCTCAGGAGCCTATCAATGAAGGCCTGGTTCAAGAACGTGTAACTTTTTCTCACTGTGTACCTTTTTTTTTTACAAGGAGCTTTCCTAAATCCAAACTCCACTAAGTATAAAAGATAACCCTTGTATAGGAGACCACAGACTTGAAAATTCTTCTTTTGAGAGATCTAGTTTAATTTGGAATTGAGCCAATTGTTTCCTTGAAGAAGAAAAAAATTGCCTTTCAACAAATATTTGTGTCTATGACATGCAGGCATTAATGTAAACCTGAGGTCAACAGACTGGATGGAAAGGGCCAGACAGTAAATGTTCGAGCTGGGTGGTCTCAGTGGCAATTGCTCAGCTATGTCAGTGTGAAAGTTGCCATACAAGAGATAGTATAAATGGGTATGACTGTTGAGATAAAGCTTTATTTATAAAAACAGGGGGTGGGCCTACTTTGAATCTGATCTGGCCCTGGAGCTATTGTTAGCTGACCCTGATCTAAGATGTAGTTAGATACAATCCAGTTTCCTTTCTCTAGTTTTAAATCTAACACAAAGGAAAAGAGCAAGCATGCATAAAACCTATTTAAAGAAACATAGGAAAAATAAAGAGGAGAATAACTAACCAGATTGTCTAGTGACCTTGTCTTCTTTAGGGCTTATGCAAGGTATATGCAACAAGATTGAGTGGACAGTTATTGAAGCTGGTGGTTTGTCTACTTGCCAGTAACTTACAGAATAGATTTGAATCATACCTACAATGCATAGGGTTGTCATAAGAATTAAATGATAATGTCTCCTGCCATAAGAGACAGAGTAAATACTAACCTTGCTACAGTCTTATTCTGTGGAATAGAGTCAAGGAAAGGATTTTTACTCAGAACTCCTTTGGATAACAGAATCCCATTAACATGACCATTTTCCTCTGGCATTTTCTGTATTTGCTTCTTAAACTCATGCTCATTGTGGAAAATCCATGCCATCCTCACTAGATATCAAAGATCAGTATTCTGGGGGTGTTTGGCTAATAATGAATCTTACTATAACAACAAATGGGTCTCCTTATTCTGCAAGTCCTTGAAGTTACAAAAGCTGCATGTGGTATTGATATCACGGACTCTGTGATACCTTCATTTGGAGCCCCTAAGAACCCTTAACCTGGATTGCACATCTGACCTAACAATGCCATGGACGGTCTACATCCTCAGACACACATTGCTTACCGGTCTTGAGGTTCATTGTGTGTGCTGCAGTTGTAGGAGCAGAGGTGGAGACCCTAGGTGATGTCGGAGCACTGGTGGCCTTAGGTGGAGCTAGAAACAAAGTTGAAAACAAGGATTAATCAAGCAGCAGGACACTAAGAGCCTTGTGTTGGGCCTATAACACACAACCAACAGTGACTGCCCGTCCCCAGGCAGAAATCTCCCCTGGACCCAGAGTTCCGATCTTGGTCAATGAAATTCTTGCAGAAGAGGCCTAGAAGAAAAGCCAAACGAACAAACAAAAAACACGGCTGTATTGAAAAGTACATATTTCGGGAAGTTCTGAGGTAGAAAGGATAGAAAGGTAAGAGGTAGAAAAGGATACCTGGGATGAACACTGAAGCACTTTGAGAAGACCAGCCTTGCCTATCAGATTTATGCATCTTCATAAAATCAGTGAGGTGAGGAAAATGTCTAGAACCTGAATCGTCATTGTCCTTTCAGTGGTAAATGACTAACTTAAAAAGTAGTTTCTAGGCCCAGGAAGGTAAAAATAAATAAATCAATAGCATTGAACTTAGTTAGTCTTGAGGATACCCACCCTCCCAAGAGACCTGCACCCTAAATGAGGATTAGCTCACACTCGCTAGCCTATGTTAAATCACACAGATGATGTATACATTTGGCTAGAAGGTGGACTAGACCGTAGGGGCAGAGAGGTGTGGGATTTAAAACCACTTAGGGAAGGTCTCAGAGCTACCCAGACTGAGAGCTGAAACTAGAAGCAAGCTTAAACACAGTGCCTGGCACAAATGTAGATCAAGGAAGGCCTAGCCGGGTTGCTCAGTCGTTTGAGTCTTGTCTTGATGCACCAAGGTTATAGGTTCAAACCCATTAGGGTACATATGTGAAGCAATCAATGAATTCATAAAGAAGTGAATTCATTAATCTCTCTCTCTGTTTCAATAAATTTAAAGAAAGAATATATACATTTTTCTCAATAGGCACTTTTTTTTTTTACAAGAAGATTCTTTAAAACTCAGCTCTATGAACTATAAAAGACACCCCTGGAGAGCAGACAATTGGTTTGAATGCTCTTCTTTTTAGAAAATCAGCTTAATTTGGAATTAAGACAATCTGTGCCTTAGAGAGGAAAAACCTTTTTTCCACATACATTTGTGAGTTTCTATTACTTGCAAGACCTTAGTCCAAAGCAGAGGTCAGCAAACTTTCTGGAAAGGGGCAGACAGTAAATGTGTTAGGCTTTGGGGGTCCTATGAGCTCAGTGGCAGTTGCCCAACTCTGTCAGTGTGAAAGCAGCCACAGACTGGATGGTATAATGAATGGGTCTGGCTGTTCCAATAAAACCCATTTGTAAAACACTCGGGAGGCCTGTTCTGGATTGGATCTGGCCCTGGGCTGTATAGTTGGCTGACCCTCATCTAAGCTGTAGTAGGAGGCTTTTAAGAAGTGTACAATCTAGTCCTTTCCCTCCAGTTTAAAACCTAATCTAGAGGGAAAAGCGAGCGTGAAAAAAATCTCATCAAAGGACCATAAGGAAGAAATAAAGTGCAGGAAACCAAGACAGATGTAGTCATGGAGTTGCCTTTGCCAAAGGGAAATGTCTTCCCCAGGAAGAAGCAAGGAAGATATTTAAGTATAGATGCAGGTGAGGGAAAGCTGTAACAGAAACTTGAAGACCAAGCTGAGCCTGTGAGAAATGCAAGGGAACTTCAGCACAAAATTGGTTACTGGAGCCAGAGAGTCACTATGTCTCAATTATGGACCTACTTCCCACCGGATAGAGCAGTGGCCTCATAAAACCTGCCTATTGAAGATCTGGTAAGCACTGTAAAGGCCTCTTACTAGTTCTTTTCCATGACATTTTCAAAAATTTAACCGGGTCAAAATAATTCACAACTCTCAAAGGTTTGTACTTAGGATCTCTTCTCCACATACTGCCTCCTCACATCTGTCCCTAGAGCTCCATCTCATCAGCTCTCTGGCTTCCCTGAGTTGCCCTCCAGCTGCATGTCCCCCGGAATCAGCTCTTTTTCCATGGGAACTGGCTTTATCTTACTTGCCACTGTAAGAGAAATAACCTAGTCCAAAAGCCAGGAGTATGCAAGTTTTCCCAATTTAATAAAAAAGAAATAGAGATACAGCTTATTAAGGTCACAAATATTGCATTCTATTGTCAATATAAGACTTTACTAGAAGGATATTAAGAGAAAAAAAGGCTTAAGAAGGCTTTTAAGATGCCCACCTCAGGAGAAAAGAAATGTAAACTTGCAGATTGTTGCATTTCAGGAAAATCTTAAAAGCAACTGGTGAACAGTTACTAGGATGCAAATATTTTTATATTGCAGTAAAGTCATTTTCATTTTTAAACATGCAATGTGATAAGATATGAATTATGCTTCATGAAATCCAACGTAGGGCAGAGGTTGGGGCTGAACTACACACAGTTAGACAACACATATGCAACACAACTGAGTTGATATATATATATCATTGTTTTCATATATATATATATGAAAACTAGGTGACAGATCTCCTTGATAGTATTATATAAAATATTGCTTATTTATATTTTTGAAATTTTCCATAATTTTAGAATACTGAGAAGATATTTCATTATTTTTCTAAGACATCAATTCAGAGAAAAAAATAGATGTTTTTAAACTGAATAAATTCAGCTTCATAAACATATTCACTGTATTTCAGAGGAGCAGGGAATGCTTTTTCATGAAGTAACTAACATTTTGGAAGCACTGCTTTAAGAGACTGTGTACTGACCGCAAAGATCCCCTAGCCTATGTTCTTTAATTGAAGTTGTTTTTAACACTTCATTTTACACAATTAAGCAATTCTGTTTCCCAGGAGTTATTAAAACATAGGATTGTAGGAACCTCCTCTTTCTTTAGTAAAGGGAGAGAAAATGACGTCTGCGCAGTAAACACCTCAGTTCACCCACATGCAGTGATCAAAGGAAGAAGCAGACAAGCTCACCTGGCTTTACCTCCAATAATATGTTGACTTTCAAATCATTAAACCACCCTGAGTGTTCAACCCGGCAACAATACGTGCCACTGTCAGACTGGGCTGCATCCTCAATGGTTAAAGACACGTTGCCTTGTGAAATTGCTCCCTGGAGGTTGTAACGCCTGCTTTTCTGAAAGGTGATGTGGTGGCCATCCGTCCAGATGAGCTGATTGGGGCACTGAGAAAGAGCACACGCCCCTCGGCCCCAGCACATGGAGGTGGTCCCGCGAGCTGTGGAGTAGGTGCAGGGGAGCGTGACCGCCTGACCCACCACTCCGTCCACACGTGGCTGAGAAACCGCGGCGTCTGTAGATAAAAAGAACACAGAGCATGAGGCCTCCATATTCGAACTTTGCGTTTATTTCCACCTTTTTCTCTTTACATAGTTTATTTCATTTGTAATCATGTAACTTTACATCTTGAATCGGAAACTTTGTTATAAACATTTTTCTGTTTACATCTTTATCAGCATTTTGTTTTTTTTTATGTTTGTAAATAAAACATAGTTTAAACTTTTTTCTATATTTAGGATTCTTTCCTAATAGGATACATTTCTAAAAAGAGAAATCATCAGAATAAAGACCAGAAATATTTTACATCTTGTTTTCAAATTTCTTTCCAAACTGTTCAAACCAAATGACACTCTAGCAACACAAGGCCATGACTTTCTCTGGGTTTGACAGGATCTGCTTATTAAACAGGAAACACAAGCATGTCACTGTTCCCGTCCCCAAGAGCCAATCACTGCCTCAGTTGACTATGTTTGCAAATTCAATTGCCATTGAAGTTTTAGCTTTTATTGCAATTTTTAAAATATCTATCGCAAATGAGGTCACCTCACTACCCCTCTCTCATAAAAATAAGCAGGGCTAATGTTTTGTTTAAAGTATTGTTGGTTCCAATTCTTTTGTAGTTCATTAGTGTGATGATTGGGTGATCCTACTTTTGTGTGACATGTGTCTCCCACAAACCTTGCTAGGACATCAGCACATTACCCATCTGGCATAAAAAATAAATTAAAAAATGAAAAATAAAGTATTGTTGGCACCCTGGCTGGTGTGGCTCAGTGGATTGAGCACCAGCCTAAGAACCAAAGCATAGCGGGTTCGATTCCGTCAGGGCACATGCCTGGGTTGCAGGCCAGGTCCCCAGTTGGGGGTGCATGAGAGGCAACCACACATTGATGGTTCTCTCCTTCTCTTTCTCCTTGCCTTCCCCTCTTTCGAAAAATAAATAAATAAAAAATTTAAAAGAAGTATTGTTGGCTTAAGAGCAGAAGTCTATTAAACTCTTTAGAAATCAATTTTTGAAAAATGGGTTTCTAATACTTCCAGGAAGAGGGAAGGCTTATCATGTGCTTTAGGATTGTTCTAAAAAATGCAGATAGGTCCCTGTTCTCATGAGTGGATGACAGCCAGCACCAGAGCACAGCCCACCTCCCCTGGTGAAGCCAGAGGACTGGGGAATGTTCAATCACGTGCTGAATTACGCCATGAGGAACAAAAACTCTCTCCTGTGCTAGTGGTACTAAAACCCCTTATCGTCTTCATAAGAATCAAACTGCACAGTGTGCAGTGAAAGACTGGTCGCTTTCCCATCCCACCCCCATTTCTTCTTTCCATCCCCTCCCACCCCATGATAACACTGATACTATTTCTCACATACATACACATGCATGCATACCCAACTATCCACCCATCGCCTCTTTTGTTAAAACACAAATGGCAGCATATGACAGTTATACTTAGCCACAGATTTGGATATTCAGAGCATTTAAACAATTTCTTTGGAGGAAAATTGCAGCCTGGTTCTTTGCTCGCTAGTTGACCCATTACCTTCCAACAGAGCCCAAGAACACCCATCTTCCTCCACCACACCCACACACTCAGGGCTTCCAGACCCCAGCCCCTCTGTTCACTTACCTGTCCAAAGTAATACGAGGCCTGTGAAGGCTACCCAAGAATGCATGATGGTATCAACCTAAAGGGGAGAAAAAAACAGACTGTTTGGTGTGCCCCCCACCAGATGGAATGGGGACAAGTCTTAATTCTCAGATGGCAACTTTTGCTTTCACCCTGACTGGGTGAATCACAGGAGCCTGCCCTGTTACGGATTGGTGACCACGTACAATGGCTTCAGGTCTCTGTTTGCTCAGTGTGGCTGAGGGCTCTGCACCTCCAACAGACAGGCAAAGCTGTCCTTGGAAGCAGACCCTTATTTCTCAGCTCCTTTGTTCTTGTATACAGTGTGAGAAGGTAACCTCGTTTCATTATTTTCCATATGCCCATCCAGTTTTCCCAACATCATTTACTGAAGAGACTGCCTTTAACCTTTTCTATATTTTGTTTATTTTTCATAGATTAATTAACTGTAATAGGTGTGAGATTATTTCTGGCTTTTCTATTCTGTTCCACTGAACTGGCTTTATGCCAGTACCATGCTGTTTTTATTAGTATAGCCTTTTGGTATAGTTTGACATCAGAGAGCATGGTACCTCCAACTCAAGATTGGTTTGGCTCTTCAGGCTCTTTTGCAGTTCCATACACATTTTGAGGATTATTTGTTTTTTTCAGTGAAAAATGGCATCGGTGTTTTAATAGGGATTTCACTGAATCTGTAGATTGCTTTGGGTAGTACAGACATTTTAACAACCTTATTTTTTCCTGTCGGTGAGCATGGTATATCCTTCCATTCATTTGTATCATCCTCAGTTTCTTTTCTCAATGTCTTATAGCTATGTGGCTTATTTCCTCCCACATTATTTTTTTTTTGGAAGGTATGCATTTCTGTGCTAGCGGAAATATTTATATTAACACCTTTTGACACCCACCTATATCCTATGAGGCATTCATTATTTTAGCTGCCCACCAGGTGTGTCAGTTTTAGAGCTGCTTAGGTGGGATTCTTGTGGCAGCTGAGGCCATTTGCTACTTGGGCTGGTCCCGGAGCCACTTGGTCGGAACTATTTTGAAGGAAGCCCAGGCCAGTCACTACTTGTACCAGGCTGGGGGCACTTGCAAAAGGCTACAATACGAGCTGAGGCTGGCGCCATTTGTGCTAAGACAGGGGCTACACTGGTAGCTGAGGCTAGCCGCTACTTATGAGGTTAAGGGCTTTTAGGAGAGTCTAGGGGAGGGTGAGGGTGGGGGAGTGGCTTGCAGAGCACAGCCATTGCTCATCCAGAGCTTGAGGACATTTGGGAGGGCCAGTAGAGTGTGTCCAGCCCAGCTGCTGCTCTTACAGAGCTGGAGGGTATTTGGAAGAGATTGTAAGGAAAGCCAGAAGCAACCCAGTACTCCTATAGTGCTAGAGGGCATCTAGAAGAGATAACAAGGGCCCCAAGGCTCTGGGGAAGGGTCTGGAGCTGCTGGAACTGGCCCCGTAGGCTGAGTGGGTTGGGAGTAAGGGGGGCCGGGTCTCAGGGGAAAGCCAGAGCGGGGCAGTGTTAGCCCGGTTGATGGAAAGAGAAATTTCACGCCTGCCGGCTCAGGGAAAGCTAGACGGGAGGAGAGCGCAGCAAAGGATCAATAACACCCACCAGAGCTTCTGTGCCCTGAAATAGCTCCGACCAACAACCCTTGTCCCCCCAGTCTTTGCCCTCAGGTTAGTCAATTTAGTTCCTCCCCTACGTCCCAGGCAATTCTGGCACTGCCGCCTCTGTGCTGGAGCCGAGAGTGAGTGAATTTGTGCTGAACCCTCTAAGCACAGAGCCTTGGTCTTCCGCAAACCTCCTCCTATCTCACACATAATCCCCACTGGTGTTCCAAGCTGATCGTTACAGGGACTCACCTTCCCGGCATAGGTGCCCCATGCAAGGGAGGCTGGTGTGGTGCTCGGACCTCTGGCTCATCAGTGGGGACCTCTGCGGCCCAGCTGTCCCTCCCATTCATTAACCACCACAGGGGGGTGTGGGAATTGCCCCGACCGCATATCCATCCTTCCTACCTGTCTCTCTGGAGCTGCTTCTTTATAATCGTAGAGGACCTTCTGTTCAGTTAGTCTTCAGGTGGTTACCAGCGATGGCTATGCTACAATTTAGAATTAATTCTGATGTGCTTCCGGGAAGAAGTTAGTTCAAGATTTACCAGCTCAGCTACAGAGACTCCGCCCCCTCCAGATTTCCCCTAATTCCTATTGGCTCAGTCATCACTGTCTTTTTTTAAAGATTTAATTTAATTATGTTTAGAGGGAGGGGAAGGGGAGAGAAAGTGAGAGGGCAAGGAACATCAATGTGTGGTTGCTTCTCATGCACCCCCAAATGGGGATCTGGCCTGCAACCCAGGCATATGCCCTGACTGGGAATCGAACCAGTGACCCCTTGGTTCCCAGGCCAGTGTTCGATCCACTGAACCACACCAGCCAGGGCATCATTGTCTTAATATGCCCTATAATACTCAGAAAGTTCAAGCAACAAAGTTCTGATTTTTTCCTTGGCATAAATTTCTAGAAGGTTCTACTTACCAGTGAGTCAGGAGGCTTCCAGCTCCTCTGGTGGTTGTCGCTGACCTTCCCCCAAAGGTTTTATGGGTAAAGACAACTATCTCCCAGAATTCCACTCCTTATCTCTTCACCACGCCCTTGCATAGGAACCTTTGGAAGTATCTTTGAAATCAAACTTCTCCAGTCTGCCACAGTGTTCCTGCTGAATTTATCCCCACTTACTCACTTAAACAGATTACAAGGAGGTATCAGTGGGCTGGAACTGTATTTGTTCTCTGCTAGGTTGTCTTTAAAAGATTTGGCACAGAGTTTGATTTTAGGTCAGACTCTAAGCCTGAAAAGTCATGTAGATTTTGAGAATGTTTATATACAGTAGTTTAAAGAGACCTTAAACTACTTGGGGCAGCTGTTCAACTTATAGTGACTACACTGAGGACCAAAAGGAGGCCTAGCAGATGGGGCCCATAGAAGACATTCTGTGGGGCAGATGCGGACATGAAAGCCTGGTCTGCCCACTCCCACTACTTGTTCTTATCACTCAGTGAACACTATTTCACCAACTACTCGCTGAGCAACCCATGCTAAGCAAGGGAACATCCTATCCCAAAACAAGAAAAAGAGGAAAGCAAACCTATAGTCTCTACCCTAAAAAAGTTTAGGAAAACAAGTTGCTACCATTACTAAAAATGAACTAGACCCCAATATAATTGATACCCATCTTTCAGGTGTTAATAGCATGTCCCCTGACACTCAGGGCATTGAACTTGTGTATGACAGAGGTGTCAGAAAGCTGAGTGAGCTGAACTCCTGCCCACACAGCGAGAGGCAACTGTAACAAGGGAATATTATAATAGGGAATTTTAACCTACCCCCCTATTCTTTTTACATTCTATCTGTAAGTGCTGACTCTGATTAATATGTAGCTTGTAGATAAATAGCATGTTTGTGTAAGAATCCTAGGAACCAACTTCAAAAGATACAATCTCCAACCTTCAGGTATCCCAGCTCCAGGGGATTTGAGACCTCCATCCATGGAGCCAGGATGACTCAAACCAGGATGACACACACCGGACCCGAAATGAAAGCAATGGTGTCATCCACTTGGAAACATGGACAAAGTCACAGATTTGCCTTTGGATCCACACTTTCACTGGTAACCAGTGTGCCTTGCTGCATTGTCACGTGAGTGTAAGACATTTCCTTCGCATCAGCTTTAGGGAAGATGGCTGGGTCAGAGAGACTTAGTAGCATTGGGCTTTTCCAAGATTTGTTATTTATTACTATGTACAATATTATAAAATATATTCTAAAGGTGATACACCCCCAAAACAACTATATTAAAATAATATGCATAGTTGAAAAAATAGCCCACCATCACCACCACCCATGAATATCTTAAATAATCATTAAAAAAATCTTGCCCTGGCTGGTGCAGCTCAGTGGATTGAATGCCAGCCTGAGAACTGAAAGATGCCTGCGTCCCGGGCCAAGTCCCCAGCTGGAGGCGCGCAAGAGGCAATAGTTGATCGATGTATTTCTTGCTGAGCAATGTTTCTCTCCCTTTTTTTCTCCCTCCTTCACCTCTCTAAAAGTAAATAAAGTTTTTTTTTTTAATCTCACTGTTTTCTCTGGGAAAAGAGATTCACAAGAAGCAAAAGGAATTTGAACAAGAAATCAGAAAAAGAAATCACCACTATGAGGAAATGAGTCACTTGGAATGTCCTTTATAATTGTAGTCAGCTTAACTAAGAAAAGGTACAAAGGAGCTTAAAGCCGGAAAGTAACATTTCTGACTCATACTGATCTTTGCACAGATTTCCAGTGAAAACCAGCCAAAATCTGAGCCCAGCTTAAGCTCGAGAACCTTTCACTCAAATGGTCCCCCAGCTGCCCCACTCCTTTCCCCCTCTTTCCAACTGAGTCCCAGAAAACACTGATGGAAATCTTGAAAATTACAGCTCTAGGGCATCTCTACTTATCTCTGGAAGGACCCACACTTTCTCACTAGAAAGCTGGAGACAAACTAATGTGGTTTAGTTTAAGTTTTTTATAATGTAAATTTATTAAACTTAAATTTAAATAAGAATAAGCTCAAGGGATGCCCCAAAATTAATTGCAGTAACAACTTGGAGATTTTGTGAGTTCAGTCCCAGATCACCCACAATAAACCCAGTAGGAGTCTTTTTGCTGGTAAAGGACCCTGCCTTCCATATGTAAAAATAACTCCAAACCGGTGCAGCACGATAAAGGGAAGTACAAATGAGGAACCACCTGGAATTTCTGCTTCAGGAATGTTAAGCCTAGAAAAAGTAACAGACAGATAAAACATAGTAAGCCCTTACTTTTTCATTCTGAAAAGAAAATGTGAGTCTCTTAAGGCAAAGCTCTATGAGCAAACCATATATCCAATACTGTTGCACTGTTTTTAAGTTACCTCTTGTCACCTCCAGGGCATTTGAAGCAGCTTTTTGGTCCCCTTTCTGCTACCTTTCCATTCCAAATAATTGATGGAATGTGTGTCCTACTCTGAAAACCAGGGTTACAGTCCTAAATTGCTGCCACACTCTACTGCCAGCCTTGACCTCTAACTTAGTTAACTTGTCTTACTCTTTTCTCTTTTTTTCTTCTCTTCTTTTCTCTTCCTCTCCTTTCCTTCTATTTTTTTATTAGTGTAAGAGAGTTTATTAATGAAGCAGTGAGAGAGAGGGAAGGGCTACTCCTCGGACAGAGCAGCCTTCATTTCTTACGAGGAAGAGGAGGGCAAACAAGACAAATTGCTATAATGCTTCAAACTTCTCTTTTGATTACAAAGAAAATGAAGATCATCAAACAGTTACAGAGCATGTGAAAAAAAGTGGAAGTCTATATTTTGACCATTTCCCCCTGTGGGGTAAACATATTAATTTGTTTATGTCTTCCAGATTTTTTTTTTTTTTTTACCAGTTTCCCAGCCCCGGAGGATAGAACCGGCAGACTGGTAGAAGGTGCCAGAGACATTATTCTCTGCCTCCATATATTACAGACACCAGGACCGCAGGCCTTACTGCTGCCAAGAAGAGAAGGGTCTTCCAGACTTTTTCAAGGCAAAGAGAAAATTTTACATTAACTATATATATCTATTCTGAAGGTTTTCATTTTTTTGGACGCGGCAATATAGCATTCTCCCTGACAAGTAACATGAGCTTGGTCAGAGGAGGGGTTTTATCTGCTCCCTCACTGTTCTGCTCCTGGGACTAACCCAGTGCCTGACAGATCAGACCACAGTGAACGTTCACAGCCTGAGTGGATGGAGCCGGGACTCCTGCCAGTCAGACTGGGAGCTCTGGGGGTCGGGGACACGTCTGTTCGGTCTGTCTCTCTGGTCTCGGCACCAGAGACCTGGCACAGAGTAAGTATTAATAAACTTCTGTTCAATTAGCAAAACAGCTCAGTGATGAAGACCACCTAGTTCTGCCTGTACCCGTGTGCTCATGGATCACACTGATCAGCTAGCTACTCCCCTGTTGAGGGAAGAGGTCTCTTGCAAACGTCTTTGCCATGGTAAGTCGTGTGCACACACACTTGTCTGCAGATTTTGTAGGGTGCGCACCTCCTTCGGAGGGGCCACTGAGCTGCTCCAGTGTGTGCTGAAGTCCCTTCCCTCCACAACTTCATAACATTCACGATTAACTTTTCAACCTGTGTGAGAGCCACTGCCTGGGACTTTGCAAAACTATCTCCTTCCCGTAGCTCCCTAGAAAGAGCCACTGCTTCCCCAAACTGCAGAGATGCAGCCAGAACAGAAAATTCATACAAGAGTTCAGACTGCCAGGAAGCCTCCTAGCAACAACCCAACAGGCTGCCTGTGCCTTTGGGGACAAGCGTCCATGGCCTGAGGCACAGCAGCAGTTTAGTCACCACCTGGGAGGGGCAGTCCTCAGGCAGTGGCAGGTGTGAGTTGTTGATTAGGTCCTGGGGTGCTGAGGAGGGCCCAGCAGGAAGGGGGAAACAGATGGGGGGTAACAGACTTCCAAGCACCTGACATAGGAGATGACGCTGAGAGACAGCAGCCACTTTGCCTGCATAAGAGCACACGTGGAGCTTGTGGGTATTCGTGAGTTCTCCAAGAAGTGAGGTCACAGAGCTGTGTCTGTGAACTTCTATGACGTGTGAGAGCAGTGACAGGCACTGGGGAGACAATAAGTAAGGCAGACCTAGTGTCCACAATCCTGGGAGGGAAGCTTGGGGACCACTGTCTTTCCACCAAGGGGCTTAGTGCTGACAAGTCTGGACTGCTGGAGCCCTTCGCCTTCTTTCCACCAAGAAACAGACACTGCATCCCAGGCACTGCTTCTTCTTCTGTGAACAATACAGCTCCAGTTCCCCCCGTGAATGGAGAAGTTGGTCAGAGACATTTCCCTTTGCATGCACCCCGAGCAGAACTTGACAACATACACCGAGCACGCTTCCCTTTTCCCCAGGTGCTCCTGCCCCAACACCGGCTCGCTGGGCTGTCTCCTTGACTGGGGCAGGAGAGCTGTGCAGGGGCAGCTGCTGCTGGAGCCTTCACTCAAAGCAGCACAAACCCTGAGTCTCAAGGGAGACCTTCAAGACCACCTAGTCCTGCTCCAGTAGGTTCTTGACCTTCTATGAGTCACCATGCTCCTTGAAAATCAGTGGCCCTTAGACTTTCTGGACCAAACAGACACGCACACATCCCAGCACACAACTTTCCCTACAGTTTCAGGAGCTTCCTGGACACATCATGGGACTGAAATCCCTGGAACTCTAGGACCCCACAGTAAGAATTCCCACTTCACACAGAAGCTCACGTGAGTTCTGATGCCCCAGTGAGCAGTCTCCGGGCTGAGTAGCCTTGTTGGTGGGAGGCAGAGGCAATGCTGTGACAGGCCTGAGTGTTGCGCAGGTCCGGGTCCAGTCCTCGGTGAGCTCACTGTCTTGGACAATGGAAGAGGGTGCTCGGTAGCCGTGGCAAGCACTGAACGCCACTCAGCTGACACACTTCAGAGTTTCCAGAGAGGACAACCTAAGCCCCAACCCAGACGTTGTCAGGATCGCTACCGGCAGCTGACGTAGCTGTGGTACTCTGATGGGTCTTCTATCTCGTAGACGTTCTCCTCTATCGTATAGATGTTTTCCTTTGAGCGCATTCCCTCTGATACTGTGTTTTCTAACCCTACGGGAGGGAGGTTGGCCAACGTGAGGAGCCTGTGGAAATAAAATGTTGCAGTTGAGGGAGGCATTTCCCGGGCATCACAGACTAAGGAGAACAGGCTTTGCTGAACAGACACCGACCAAACGCAGTACATGATGCTCAACTGGGTCCTGAGTGGAGGGGAAAACATAAAACAGAACAAAATAATGTGAGGAACACTGAGAAAATTTGTATCACTCTCCATTTACTTAGGTATAAAAATGGCCTTGTGTGATCTCAGAGAATATCCTTTTCTTAGGAGGTACAGGTGGAAGTTGAGTGATGTGTGAAGATATCTGAAACATCCTTAAAATGATTCAGAAGAAAAAAGTGTGTAAAAATAGAAAAATATATAAGGTAAATGTATCAAAATGTTATCGGATTTAGGTAAATGATTGTATTGTTTATTGTCCTACTATTTCAATTGTCTAATGCACTGGAATAATTTTACAAAACAGTAAAAGAGCCCTGGCTAGGTAGCTCAGTTGACTAGAGTATCACCCCCTGGGTAGCAGGTTTGATTCCTGGTCAGGGCACATGTAAGAATCAATCAATGAATGCATAAATAGTGGAACAATAAAGTGTTGTTTCAATCTGTTTTTCTTTTCCATCCTCTCTCTCTAGAAATCTACAATAAATAAGAACAGACTCACAGATACAGAGAACAGACTGACAATTGCGAGAGGGAAGGTGGCTTAGGGGACTAAGTGACAAGGTGAAGGGACGAAGCATGAAACAAAATATAAAGAAACAAATTATTTTATGTGCCAAGCAAATGTGAGTTTGAATTCTGTCTCTGCTATATGACCTTAGGGAAGCTGGATTTTGCTTTTTCATTCATTTACTCAGGAAATATTTAGTGTGCTACACACTGCTCTGGGCAGCAAGAGATACAGCAGCAAATAAAACACACAAATCTCACAAAGGCTTCATATCAGTAAACTTTGTGTCTCAGGGTCCTCATCTGCAAAATGGGAATAATTAGCACTCCACCTCACCAGGTTGCTGTAAGGAGCATTCAGGTATCAAATATTTATCAAATATTTAATAAATATCAGCCTGCTAAATATCAGTCACTGTGCTAGGGGATCCAGTTGTTAACATGGCAGACAAGTTCCTCCTTTTCTGTGCAGTTTGCCTTTATAGGTAGAGATGAACATTGACCAAATTATACCACAAATAATGATTTAATGCATGTCACTGACATTTATGAATGTTATCACACTTCAGGTTTCAGCCCTAAGAAAGAATAGTGACACAGATCATTTAAAACTACTCTAGTACTACCGGCCCCTTTTTCGGACGGGGGTGGCTTCTGATAATGAAATACTTTACTTGACCTTTTAGCCTTCTTTACTGCAGACTATTTTGTCATCATGAATATATTGTCTCTACTTGGTCTAAAATTATTAGTGGTTTAGATAGCACCCAGTAGACAGAGTTTTGTTTTGTTTTTCTTGAAACAGACCGTGTTGAACCCACATACCAGATGCCACTGAAATCTAGTCAAAGGTAAGTGAGCTGCATGCATTTGGAACTGGGGTGTCTGCATGTGTGTGTACGAATAGGTGTGAATATAGTCAGGAATGGAGACTAAGGCTGCAATGTAATGAACCCTGTCTGCACATCGGAATCACTCAGAAAGCTTTGAAAATAATACCTGTGCTCAGGCCTCATCCCGAAAGAGTCTGTAGTATTTGCTCTGGGGTTGACAACACATCTTGTAAGTGCCATAAGGGATCCCAGGAGGTTATCTGAGTTTAGGACACTGGACGGGGCTACAACAGCCCTGAGAGAGGATTCTGGGTTTCTCGTTCACTTCTGCAACCCAGTGCCTACCCAAAGCCTGGATATAGTAAATGCTCAACCAGTTGAAGGGGCAGTTCAAGAAAATAATCTGTTGTTACAGAAATAAGTATTTCCTATCAATGCGGAGATAATTCTGTTCCTTAACTTTAGGACTAAAGAAGCTACAATGATCAGAAAGTAAACAGAGCAGTGTGTTTGCATTTCATAAATTCAGGCCTAAAGCAAAAGGCAATTATAAGATTAGATCCCCAAGTCCCAGGGCAAGACTTCTGAGAGCAAGATCAAAGCTGTATTAATGTAGTGACCGCCAAGATTCCTGCTTCCCCCTGCCTCACCCCTTATTCTTACCTTGAATTCTGTAACTTCTGTTTCCTATGAGAATACCCTGGGTAAAAAAGGCAAGAAAAGTTTATTAAAATTACTTTCATAAATAAATAGAGTGGACCCACTGGGAGAAATGAGGGAGGTTTGAATGGCAGTGAGGTCCGGAGGCTCATCTAAGAGAGGGCACTAGAAACACTCAGGAGAGCTGCTGAGCACTGCAGAGTGCCGGTGTATGGATCTGATGTCGCAACTTGAACGCTTGTCTCTGTGGTTGTAAGATTTCCTTGAGCAACTTCTAGGGAAAAGTTTGCACTTTTCACAGGACTTCCCCATCTGTTCTTCTAAGTAGTTGTGATTTTGAAGAAATATATACAGTGTGTGTGTGCAAAATGTCAGACTCTTTCCAGTCCTCATTAACCTCCCTTCAAACCATAGGAAGGGTCCTTAATATCCAGGCCTTTGCAAAACTCAAACAGGTAGTGAGTGACATCATTTGTTCTAATCCACCCATCAGCCACATTCCTGTGATCAGGTCACAAACTCCACTGCTATCACTAGTGTTGGCCCCGAGTCAAGCTGTGACTAATCCAGAATCCTAGCCTGGAGCTTTTTTTCCCCTAGCACAGGTTTATCTCAACAACTTTCTTCTCCTCAAATACTATTTTAGGCATACAGAAAGATTTATACCTTAGTTCTTAAACCGTTTCCTCATTTTTCTTTCTTTTTTTAATTTCTTGCACAAGTATATGTTTTGATTTTTAGAGACAGAGGGAGGGAGAGAGGGACAGAGAAAGGGAGGGGGATGGGGAGAGTGAAAGGGGGAGGGAAAGAAAGAGACATCCCTGTGATAGAGAAATATGCTCCCTGACCAGGAATAGAACTAGGAACCTTTTGGTACACAGGGCAGTGCTCCAACCAACTGAGCCACACCAGCCAGGACCTCATTTTCCCCCATATTCAAAATCCTTTGAACTCAAAACCACCCAAAGGCTTCCTCCTAGGTTCCAGACATAATCACCTGAGCTGTGTCCCTCGGTGGTGGGCATCCTTGGAAAGGCTGTGGTGATGTCTCTCCACTGGGTCCAGGCAGGGGTGACCTCGGCTAAAGTGAGAAAGCAATGCAAGGATGGGTCTTCTCTGAGAGTGGGAAGCTCGTGTCAGGACTCAAAGGGGCAGCAGACAAAACAAGAAACACACAAATAAAGAGGAACACATGCTCAACTCTCAAACCTGGACACCTTCCTTGAGAGGATGTCGCATATCTAAAATGTTTGTCATGCACCTGAAGAGCTGTGTTACCGTCATCATTGTCACAGTCTAATTGTTAAGAACAGAACTAATAGCCACACAAACAGCCACACTGATGCTCTTCATAAAACATCTCCTAAAACGTTCCAGTGGCCTATATGGTAGGGATCACCATATTTCACAGAGGAGAAAGTCACCAAGTTTAAGTAACTTGTCCCAGGATCACACAGCTAGGAAGAGGCCCAGTTGGAGCAGAACTCAGCTTCAGCAGCCACGAAGCACATGCTCTGTAAACCCCAAACCTCCAAGCACATGCACCTCCCCGCACACGCACAGCTCAGAGGGGCTCAATTATGGCTGCACCAGGGGGAGAACCACCCAGGGAAGACTTTGAAAAATCCCAGGGTTTAGGTTCTACCTCCAGAGACACTGCTTTCTCTGGCTTGTGGGTGGGGCTCAAGCATCCTTAGGTGTTAAAAGGTCCGCAGGTAAATCGAGTGGGCAGTCAGGCTCCCAACCCCTGATCTGGGCCTTTCCTCCCATAGTCGTGAGGATGAAAAGTACAGCATAGGAAATACAGTCAATAACACAGCAATAGCCATGCATGGTGCCAGGAAATGTCGAGGGAACACTTTTTAAAGTGTATGATTGTCTAACCACTGTGCTGTATACCCAATACCAATACAAAATTATATTGAAAGTAAAGTGTAATTGAAAAATAGAAGGTAAACCAAAACAGAATAAAGTGGCTCTTAATCCTAAAAAAAGATAAAATGAGAAATGTTCTCTTAGGTTTGTTTAAGTCCAGACCCAAATAGGTTCCTACTTTGCATTTTCACTGATATGTCCCCTAGAGCAAGGGACATAAATAAAAGAATAAACAAATGGGATTGCATCAAAATAAAAAGATTCTGCACAGTTAAAGAAAACAACATTAAAATGAAAAGAGAGCAAACCGCATGGGAAAACATATTTGCCAATGATACCTCAGACAAGGGTTTGATCTCCAAAATATATAAAGAACTCACAGGACTCCACTCTACGGAGACAAGCAACCCAATTAAAAAATGGACAAAGGACTTGAACAGACACTTCTCCAAGAAGGACATAGAAATGATCTAGAGACATAAGAAAAGATGCTCAGTATTGCTAGCCATCAGAGAGGTGCAAATTAAAACCACAATGATATACCACTTCGTACCAGGGAGAATGGCCATCATAAACAAATCAACAAACAAGTGTTGGAGAGGATGTGATGAAAAGGGAACCCTAGTGCACTGTGGTGGGAATGCAGACTGGTACAGGCACTATGGAAAATAGTGTGGAATTTCCTCAGAAAACAAACAATGGACCTGCCTTTTGACCCTGAAATTCCACTGCTGGGATTATATACTAAGAACCCTGAAACACCAATCCAAAAGAACCTATGCACCCCAATGTTCATAGCAGCACAATTTACAATAGCCAAGTGCCGGAAGCAACTTAAATGCCCATCAGTCAATGAATGGATCAAAAAACTATGGTACATTTACACGATGGAATACTATGCAGCAGAAAGAAAGAAGGAGCTCCTACTATTTTCGACAGCATGGGTGGAACTAGAGAGCATTATGCCAAGGGAAATAAGCCAGGTGGTGCAGGACAAATACCATACGATCTCACCTTTAAGTAGAACCTAGTCAACAAAACAAATAAGCAAGCAAAATATAACCAGAGACACTGAAATTAAGAACAATCTGACAGTAACAAGAAAGGAGGTGGGAAAGGATAATGGGGGGAAGAGAAGGGTTTTCAGGAACAACTGTAAAGGACACATGGACAAAAACGAGGAGGTGTGAAATCAGGGGAGGGAGCTGGGGACGGCTGGGATTGGAGGGAGAAGGCAGACAACTTTAGTTGAACAGCAATTAAAAAATAAAGAAACAGCACTTTAATGACGACACTTACATTTTTTACAAAAATATTGAAATTGGGTCTAGTCAAACATACAGCTCTTTCACCTCATAAGAAATCAAACACACTGAGAATCCATATACAAGACATTTTACAGAATAACTGATCTAGCTTTTCAAGAAGTCAGTGGCATGAAAACAAAAAGGAAGGAGTCACTGTTCTTGATGAAAAGAAACTTAACAGACATACCAACCAAATGTAATCTATGAGTTTGCTTAAATACCGATTTGGATTGATGAATTATAAACAGAGATTTTTGGGGAGAAATCAGAAAAAATTGAATATGAATTGGTACGAGAGGTATCACTAGTTTTGTTAGAATATGGGTCATTACATATAAATTTTATTTTATATTTCACAGATTTCATTTGTTTACTGTTAGAGGGGAAGGGAAGGAGAAAGAGAAGGAGAGAAACATCAGTTTGCGTGAGACAGGGAATCCCTAAGGGAACTTGATGATTAGATCCCCAGGCATCCTAAGGTTCCAAGGTCCCCAGGTGAGTAGTCAAGGCTGATAAGGTCCCACCTTACTTTTCAATGGCTATCACCACCTTTTCACTGGGCGGAGCAATGCTTTTTGTTTCTTCTTTCTCTGATAATCTGATGTGATCAAGAGTCAAAGAACAGTCTTGGGAGGTCGGTTTTCTCCACAACTCACTGAAAAAACAGCTTGGTCAGGGGGAGAACAAAAGACAAATTATTCCTTTCCCCCCAGAGAGCACTCTGAACTTGGAAGAAACATTTCTCAACAACTAGGCTATGAGATTCAGAGTGTAAGTATGCTTCCCCTGCAATCCTTAGGGTTTTCCTATATTTGGGGAACTCTGAATAATTTTGCTTAGCCTCCAGAAAGGTATTACAATTCTCACACAGTCTAAATATAAGTTTTTGTGTTCATTTCATGCAATTTGTTTCTGAAATAAGTAGGAATGCAGAATTATGACATGTTCTTTTTTGCGCATGTTCTTTCATGAAGTCTGTTTTTGTTAAAGTGTAAAATAGTTTGTAATAGACCTTCACCTGTACTTTGAACAAACAAAAAGGTAAAGTCTTGGCTCCCATCTCAACCAGAATGCCCAGAAGTATATGGCCCAGGAATCTGTATTCGGACAAGCTCCCAGCTGATCTAATCTATTGCCTCCACTACTTTAAGCATCTACATAAGCTTTGCCATTCCCACAATGCTTTTTGCTACTATTCACTCAAGTTGCTTTAATTAGCTTTAACATGGTATCCTAAACAATATCCACTAAGTTATGGTGTTTGAAAAAAAATTTTTTTAAGATTTTATTTTTTAGAGAGAGGTGAGGGAGGGGGAAAGAGAGGGAAGAAACCTCAATCAGTTGCTTCCCACGTGCCCCTCAACTGGGGACCGGGCCCACAGCCCAGGCACGTGCCCTGACCAGGAATCATCAACCAGCAACCTTTTGTTTCACAGGCTGACGCTCAGTCCACAAACCCACACCTGCCAGGGCTAAATTATGTTTTTGATGCACTGTTTTCTAAAAATATACAGCAAGTTATATATGTATTTCTTAAGTCCACTGTGGACTAACCTGAAGCAGCCCATGCATCACACCACTGCCCCAAGCTGCAGGTTTGGGAAGACTGGGCTCAGCAGCTGCCACCCCCAACAGATCGAAGACAGACCGTCACCCTCCCCTTCTTCTTCCAGGGCCCCTCTCCCGAAGCCCTCACTGCCTTGTGAAACCCCCCCTCTGTCAATATGTGCCCCACGCCCACTATCCTTCCCTATATACCCTCTTCCGTCACCCCCACCTAACCGACCTTTTCCGTATGAACTTAGCACAGGGTCACTGAAGCACGTTAACAAATGTGAGCATAATTCTCCAACAGATGTGTTCACGTAGCCCTTTACAGCCAGCACCCCTGAGGCAGTGCCCATGTCTCCAGCCTCATCTCGTTTCCACCCACATCATTCACTTTGCTGCAGCCGCGTTGGCTTCTTTAGTCTTTAGAACACACCTTACTCTCTCCCTCTTAAAGCACAAGCTTCTTCCTGCCCCAAATCCACGCATGTGGTGGATTCCACCAAGTGGCTGCCTCGTTTGGTTTCAACTGCAATGTCACCTCTTTCTCAGAAGCAGTCCCTGACCAATGCTGCACCACTCCCCACCCACATACCTCACCTTCCCCACCCCCATCCAGTGATTTTCAACCAGGGATGATACTGCCTCTCAGAAGACATCTGCAGTTGTCACTACTGGAGGAACTCAACTGTCCCCTCATTGGCAGAGGTCAGGGATGCTGCTAAACATCCTACAACAAAGAATTATCTGGCTCCAAATGCCACAGCTGAGAAACCCAGCTGTCACTATACTCTCATGCCCTGCAGCATTAACTGGTACCGAAATTGCTGGTTTGGGGGTGGGGGTCCCCTACTAAACTGCACCTCCTCAAGAACTGAAGTTCCCCCGCACCTACAGGAGTGCCAGGCACACTTGGCTCCCCAAACTTGTCCCACCTGCCCTTGTCCTGGGGAGCCACGGCATGTGGGAGATGCCGGGCAGAGACTACTGACGAGCCTGAGAAAAACAAGAAGTCAGCTTTCAAAACGAGAACGAAAATCTCTTTGTCAGTGTGAATAGAGTGAAACTAATAAAAGACCCTCACGCTTTCATGTACTCACAATTATCTTCACCACCATCAGCAAAAGATTGGTTTTGCCACTTCTTAAAGATGTGCCCAATTACCTAAGTTTAAAATATGGTCCTAATTACAATTGTGTCCTAATGTTCCAGGACAGATTGTAGATAATAAAATCTCAATACATTCTACAATATTAATATATTTACAGGAAAAAATTTAATATTTTTTAAAAGATTGTATTTATTTAATTTTTGAGAGAGAGAGAGAGGAAGAGAAAGGGAAGCCTGTGAGAGGAACATCGGTTGGTTCCTCACATGTCCCCAACTGGGGACCTGGCCCTAGGCATGTGCCCTGAGAGGGAATCAAAACGCTGACCTTTCAGCTTGCAGGCTGGCACTCAGTCTGCTGAGCCACACCAACCAGGGCAAAAAATAATTTAGTATTAAGTAAATACTTTCCCTTCCTTCCTTCTAACCAGTTCCTCTTCTCAATGTGGATAATTATTTTCTATGGTATAAAATGATAGCCTAATTATTCGATATCTACTTTTCCAAAAAAGAAAATTATTTTTAAGAATAAGAAGGCACTGCTCTAACCCGGTGGCTCAGCTGTTCAGAGCATTGTCTTGTACACCAAAAAGTTGCGGGTTCAATCCCCAGTCAGGGCACATACGTAGGTTACGAATTTGATCTCCTGTAGACGTGCATATGGGAAGCTACCAATTGATGTTTCTCTCTCTCTCCCTTCCTTTCTCTCTAAAATCAATAAACATATGCTCAGATAAAGATTTAAATAAATAAGAAGGCAGGTCCTATATAGCAAGAAACTCACAAATGCAGTATCATAGAAATAATTTATTAAGCACTAGTGCTAGGTCAGCTATTACTAAAAATCAAACAAAATAAAAACCCTTTGCATTTCTGCAGTGGTGTTCACTTTTCAGACTTCTCACAATTGCCACTGTGCTCTGACCTAGGTCTGGGAATAATAATCTCTAATGGATGTGAAAACGAAGGCATTAGGAACAACTTGACCCAGCGTCATCCAGTGTCACTGGTAAGAGGCTGGGACTCAAGTCCTAGTTCTCACTCTGTGTACCACCTGCTACCCCCACACCCACATATTATTTCGCAGGTACTGGCGGGCAGGCCAGCGGCTTACACTGTGCTCATGACCTTCAAACAAGTACTGGAAATGCTGGAATAAACAAAGCTTGCCAGAACCCTGGAGCCTTCGATGTGCCATCAGTAAGGTCATGGAGAATGGAACTGCATCATAATTCAAAGCCATACAAGTCACAAAGCAGGAAACCAGTGTGACCTGCAGGTTAGGGCAAGGACTAGGGGGTGAGAGGATGGGATGCCACCTACAAAATCCTGATGGTGCAGGAATGCCATCCAATGTCACAGGTCTTTCCAGAGAAGCTACAGACCCGGGCTTTAAACTGGAATCTCAGTGTTCCTGCATGTTGTCTTCAATTTAAAAGAAAAACACTGTAGTTTGAACAAACTTTTTTAGACTAGATTAGGCTGGCCCAATTTGGCAACCCTGATGGACAATGTTTAACAATCTTATTTACCCATATAACCTTCATCCACAGGTACCTGCTATTAATTTTCTAGAATTCTGCAGAACTGTGTCAAAAGTGTTGCCTTCAAGTACAAGCATCCTGCCCTCCTGGACCACCCTGGTGTGATTAGCACTGAACCCCAAGGGAGAATTATTTCAGGATTAACTCAGATTGAAATCAATACCCAGCCTTGTGAACTATTAGTGTTGAAATGTTTCTGGTGGCAAAAAAATTTCTTATTTTTTGCTTATTTAACTCTCTTGGCAAACTTGGAAATTTAATTCAGTTGTGAAAAAGGAAGAGCATTGAAATTGATTTGATATAAAATAAAGCCTTATTCTTCTAAAATAACTTTATGAAAGGCTGCTCAGCATTACTGGCCATCAGAGAGATGCAAAATAAAACCACAATAATTTTAATAATCAAAGTGGTTGGGGACAATTTAGAATCTCATTTGAACTAGTAATGCTCTCAAATAATGCTATTATGCTATTCTAAGGCAGCAAGCCATCTTCTCTAATCAATCCCTTTCTCTCTGCCTTTTATTTTTTAAATCTCTACCCTGCATCATTCTAAAAATTTGTTCAGATTCTCTGACAGTGGTCAACATAAGGGCCGGATGCTATGGCCCAGATGTAGCAGAAATAGAGTGTGTGTGTTAAATCAGATGGCGACTGATCTTCTTCCCCAGTCTGCTTGGTCCGCTCCCCACCCTAACTTCTTCTAACTACTAGAAACCCCATGCTGGTCCAAGGCAAAGCACTTAAAACCTTCTATTTTCAGAGCAAAAAAAAAAATCGAATGGTGAAATAACACTGACTTTATTTCATAGTGAAGAAAATAAAAACCTATGAACTTCCATGATTTGTAGCCCTTGGGTGACTTAAGAAATGCAACATTTGGAGTTAAGAAGATAAAAGAGAAGAGATCATCATGGATGCTTCCAAGTGCGTCACTTAAGTACCAAGTCCTATGTGACCAAGGAGGCAGCTCTTTCCCTGTCTCCCCAGTGAGGATTCTCACAGGACACAGGCTTCATAAGGTCTACAGTGTTCATTTCATACCTGGGAGAGGGCTCGGCTATGATCAGAAAGACTGAGCCAGTTTCTCATAAAAAAGTAGGACCCATCACCACTAAGGTCGACTACACACAGATGACCTAGACACACTCGAACCAATATCACTGACAGGTTAGAATATGGTGGGAAACTGATAAAGTCATTCTGGATCTTAATAGGATTCTGGCATGGTGAGATCTGGTCCTTGTCTTCTGTGATCAAGGACATAAAGCCTTGGATGGTCTCTGGGTCTTAATTCACACGTGAAGATTGTTCTCAAAGTGGACATTCTCCTCTGCTCGGTAGTGCACTGCAGTTTCATTTGGTGAAGTTCCATCCTTAATGTCATTTGATGACAGTTTGCTGTATAAAAGAATCACATGGTAAGAGAAAAGCAGATCCCTTCTAAAGTACATGCAGCACGTTTGTTTACCATCAGGGAAGACTGAGAATCTGCAACTCCCAGAGCCCACTCACACTTAACCTATGGAATGAGTCGAACCCTCCAGAGCTATTAGTGTTAAGTTGCAGGAAAGTCTGTTTAATAAGCAGGTAGAAAACCTAAGTGGTATTAAATAAATTAGACCAGTCTCCCTCAAGGAGCTCACGGAATAGAGCACAAAAATTGACAATCTAAGGCAGATACATGATGTCAAATTGAAGTACTAGATCAAGGTGCATATTCTCCAAGTCAGCTGAGAAACTGGCTGCTGTTTTTCCAGCGTGGATTGTGACCTTTCAGAAAAGGTATTAAACCCATGGTGTGGTCTGCGTTCTGTATTTACGATAAAATAGGGAATACAAGATGTCAGGATGTATTGGATATAGCATTTAAAACAGGGCTGTTTCACACAAGTGTGTGGTGGATGATGATGCCAAAAATCATCCTGTGTGTTTATGGTATTTGAAAAGAGTTAGATGGGTTTTATAATACACATCCTCACATGGCAAGTGCACAAAAACTCTATGTGTAGTGTTTTCATATAGTTGCTGTTTTTTAATTTGCACATAGTGACGATGTTTAATCCCGGAGCCTCTCCAGAAATGATATGAAATGTATTGAATCTTCACTCAACCCAGATCTTTAACTGAACCAGTCATACAAGTGTGAAACCCTTTAGGGGTCAATGGCAGGAAATGAGTCACAGAGCTGCCAACAAACATGTCCCAAGGAAATACTCCTTTGGGTTTTTTTTTTGTCCTTTTTTATATTTTACAACATTGTCTACAACATGTTTTCATTCACAATTAAGTGATAAGAGGTAAACGTAAAGAAAACATTGACACTGAAAGGACAGACACCAACTAAAGGGATGCTATAGTCCATGCTTCTGGCTGTAAGAAGTATTTTCCCTTCTATGGATGGAAGCAGGAGCTCAAAGCTTCCATTAGTATGGGTTTTAAACTCTGAAAGACCTGAGTCTTTTAGCTGCTGTGTGTTGTGAACTTGGACATCACTTAACATTTCAAAACTCGTTCTCTAATGTGTGCAGTGAGAACAGTAGGGCCTATGTCACAGGTGTGGTGATAGGAAATGAATGACGGCAACAACTGGAGCCCACACTTATGGGCACTTGCAGGGTGGTTGGTGATGCCCAAGGCAAACTCAGTGGATTGGCCCATGTGATGAAGACACAGGGAAGACTGACACCCACCAGTAATGAATGGCAGCCTAATAGGATGGCTTCTGAGTCAAAGGAAGACCTTGCTTAAAGCCCAAACTGGACTGAATGAAGCAGGCGACCTGGAACTGGGAGCAAGTAGTGGTTTCACACCAGTACAGGTGTTTGCTCAGATGAACCCAGGGCATGGATGGAAGTAAAGGAAATTTAAGCTTTGAGTGGGCAGCAGAACACATTTACAAAAATTGTCAATCAAATGGCTATGAGGCCAGATAACCAACATGAAGGAGCAGAGCAGGCTGAGGATGGAACCGCTGGGTGGGGGTGCTGCAGAGCCCTGGAGGCCCCTGCCCCACCTCAGAGCTTGTGCTCTGCTTGAGCCAGGCATCCTCTCCCTCCAGGTCTCTGCAAGTGGCCTCCTGGTCCATCAGGGCCCCTCACACATCCCCCCACCCGGGTCTGCATTCCCCATGGCATTTGCCTGGAAGCACTTGCAGGACCCTGTCTATTTGCTTTTGTGTTTTGTCTGTTTTGCTCATCTCTTTGGAATATAATAGGCTTTCAGTCAACAAAGCAGTGAATGAAATCCAGGAGAAACCAAACAACTCACTCCAATGTAGTTTCATCAGACACAGTTTGTGACTTAGTGCCATTACTCTGAGAGGGGAGGACGGGGCACTGCTTCTGTAGGAGTTCCTGGCACAATGCCAGGGGAATGGAGACAGCTCAAACTATCACTGGATGCCTCGGGCAGTAATGCAGGCACTCACTACACTGAATTTTTCAGGATCTGGGGGGCAAAATGGGGAGTTCAGGAGAAGGAGGAGAGGGACAGACAGAAATTTTTGTTTATTTTTACTGGGATAGGAGCATCAAAACACAGCGACACAAACCTTTCGAGCTTACCTTATATGCAACACCTTTCCGTACACACATAAATACCCTAAATTGGGGAACAGTGAAAATTAAACAGGTCAGCCAAGAGTTTCATGAGATCTTTTCCCAATCATGTATATTGTTTCTGTTATTATTTTAACTAGACAAAATCTGAACAAAGCCAGAGGCCAAAAAGAAATTTAAATTTAGAAGAATGTTTTTTGAAAGGAGGAAATCAAAGCAAAAAACAGATTAGACTCCTCCCTGATAACTTCAGGTAACTCCTTTCAAATATGTATGACCCAAACGAACCCCTTCATGCAAACTATCTCAGGTTCATTGTTGGGTTAGTGTATTCACACACATGCCCGGACTTACTTGATGCAATTATAATAATTATACTTCACTTGTAAGAAATGGAATGTATGGTTCTTCACAGAGGCCGGTTACACACACACACACACACACACACACACACACACAGAGCTGGTGGATGGCTACTGAAATCTGTCTCCCTTCCATTGTCTCATTGGCCTCCTCAGTTAAGGGAGTGTCATAAGACTCTCAAGGATGTTATCCTTCATAGGACATACATTGGGTCTTGAGGGAAGGAGAGGAAGAAGAGTAAACAAATCTTACACAATAAGGTTTGTTGCCTTCCAATCCCGACTCTACCCAAAAAGCTTGTCTTAGTATTTAATTTCTCTATAGAAAATTTAAATTTCATTTTTCTTTACAGACCAACATTTTAAAGAAAAAGGACAAGGTTATGAGACAGGGAACTTATGTGAAATCAGAATTATGTGGTGTGTGGAGCAACTTGAAACCAGGCTGTCTTGCTCTAGGACCCTCGTCCTGTCCCCTTCGGCACAATCCTGCAATGACTTACATACTTTTGGCAATTACAGCTGCCAAAACACTGAGCAGTATCAGTGCGGCGGCAGCGAGTCCAATGTAGAGAGCCTTATTGGTGCCCTTCCATGGGTTTTGTTCCACATTCACGTGCTGAGGGAAGATCAACATTGAAAAGGCATCTTGTTAGAATTATGGGCAGAAAACTTTTCCTAAAGTAATGTACTCAGACACATTTATCTTTACTGACCTTTGTCTACTTCTGGATCATGAGGGGTAAGACCAAAGGATCTGAGGTTGTGACCACAGTGAAATCCTAACACAACTTGAAATGTAATATGCACTTGGGAATGTGGAAATCTTTCATACCATGCTTGAAGTGGTATTTATGGAGATGCACAGATCTGTTAAAGCTCAAACTGGATACTTCAAAGGGTATATGTAAATCCCCCATATTATTTTTTTAAAATCTGTAAGCTACATTCTCTTATTATACTAAAAAAGAAAAAACAATTTTTCATCTTCAAGTTGACTTGGTGATTCTATATGATGTCATCTGTGCACAAATATTGAATTTGGTCATTAATACAGTCCTTATTTTTTAACTATAATTCAAGGTTCTATTAATGTCTATGTAAATGGGCTCAAAAGCAGCTGTTCACAGACATGGCTGTGATAAAATTAACTTAAAATGCTGTGCAATTGGGTAGAAGTGCAGAATTTTGTTAAGCCTCCTGGTGCAGTTCATAAGGATCACCCTTCTAGAATAAGCCCAAAATATGCTTGGCATTGTGCCAGGCCCCCTTATATAGGTTAGCTTCCATTCTGAAAAGATCCCACAGGGTAGATATTTTAACGGAAAGGAGGTGGAAGATCAGAGAGAAGCATCAAGCCTCTTGCTGCAAGGAAGTTTAATCTCTGTAATCAGAATTCTGGCTCTTTTAATCACTGTGTGACCCTCAACAAGTTATTCGGCTTCTCTGAACCTCTGTTTCTGTGTCTGTCAACTACAGATTAAATAATGTCCTTGACCTTGGCTGGGCAGCGCTGTTAGTTAGAACACCATCCCCTTATGCCAAGGTTAGGCACTCTATCTCCAGTCAGGGCACAATACCAGAAGCAACCAATGAGTACATAAATTAGTGGAATAACAAATTGATGTTTTTTTCTCTCTCCCCTCCTTCTTCTCTCTCTTCAAAATCAATGAAAATTAATAAATATGCTCCTTGGGAAAGGTACACTTAGATACCCCCTGAGAAGCACTAAGAGAAATGTGAGGAGGATAATTCAGCTAAAGTGCTAGACGGTACACAGGGCTGCCAAAGGAGACTTTGCATTCCATCTCAAAACTATTATATTACATAAAAAGTGCACATTATTTTTAAAATGTGCAGCTAAGCAGGAAGGTAGGAAAACTAAAATCAGCGATAATCGTAACATCCAGAAACAACCATTGTTACCATTTTTTATTACATACTCAATAATATTTAGCACTTGATTGGAATACTACTGCTCAAAAAGCCTTGGCAAAATAACTCCCAAACACAGCACTGAGCCCCAGGGTGTGTTGGGGCCTCTGTTGATGGAGCTGTGCATAGAATGCCAGGCCTCTGGCAGAAAACAAAGTCAGGGAGGGCCAGGACCACTGGAAGTATGCGCAGCCTCACAAACGTGCTTCTAAACTGTTTCTACTTTTTTCTAAACATACCTGTCCTACAGGCAACTGAGGTCAAGAACAATCTCACCAGTTAGAATATTAGTTGTTTCTTTTTAATTTAACCTAAGTCTGGCCATGGAGCAATGTAACAATCATTTCCATAGTGATAGTTCTGATATTTAGGAGGTACAGTCCATACAAATTCAGCCCAGGTCCATCAGATCAATCTGTGTCTGTGCGTAGAAGTTGTTAAAATCTTCAGTGTAACTCTGATGCAGTGTTCTCATTGTCACTGAGATATACAACATCAAGTCATTTGACCCTACACTAAATTATCCCCCTTTGCCTGAGCTTGAATGTCTTTTACTACAGCCAGGTTGTCATTTCTCACCACTTGGACCAGGATTGTTCTCAAACTCTTTTGTCAGTTGCTTCTAAGAGTTGTTTGAACATACAAAGGGAAAGCGTGATCTACCTGGGAGCCAAAAGAAAAGTTTCCTGTGAATAACTTTGCCTTGCTTATCTGCAAAGAGGAGACTCTTGTGAGCATCATGACAGCACCACCCCTAATGTTGTTCTCCAGCCCAATGGTGCAAGAAAATCTTTCAAATCACCAAGTTGTTGAAGACACTGAAACCTTAGTAAGTCATCCTGTGGGGAGGTTCCGGTGTAAAAAAACTCTGCAATGCCCTCAGATTTTCACATAGGAAGACGATAAGGTTGGAAAGGACACTAGGGAGTGCGTGTTGACGCAGTGCCCTCCCTTTCACAGTATTTGGGTTGGGGCAGCCTCCACGCCACTGCAGAGATTCCAAGCACATTACTCCCCTGATGGGGAGGTTGTGTTACCTCACTCTCCTGAAATTAGTTCAGTATTTTTTGTCCAATTTTTGGCCAGGAGACAGTCGGTAGTCTGTGAGGATTGTGTGTGTGTTTGTGTGAGCAAAATATCACTTATTGGGCATCTTTAAAAAGCTGGCCTACCAATATCTATTGAACTTTACAAATTAATTAAATCACCCTTATTTTTAAAAAACAAATTATTTTCATCTTTGTCTCTTCACTAGAAAGAATCAGCCTGGGGGCAAGCCTTACAACTTACTTCTGGAGGGACATACAAGGGAAGGTGAATAACATGGGGGATTTGCTTACATTTCCACAGTCTTGCCAACCACCCTCTGAAGGCAGCATCACAGTGGTGTTCCCATCTGCTCAACAGAGAGAAAATGATTTAGTGAGAAAAAATACTGAGTTTTCACTACAAACACCAAATACATTCACATTGCTTTCTGGTGACAAATAAAATGCCCCAATGCAGCAGGCATTGCAAGAATTATACCAAGTTACTAGTGTTTATGAATTTATCCTATAAGGTTGTGTTTCTTAACATTTTTGTCATGGACCCTGTGAAAATGGACCCCCCCCCCTTTTTGTATATAATAAATGCATCACATACAAAGTTTTACCTGCAATTTGAGGAGCACAGAGGCCATTCTGGGAACCAGGTTAAGAATGCCACTTATACATAGGTAAGCAATATTTTTGTACCAGCTAAGAACCTGTCAATGAGTGCCCAGAGTAAACATCAGACTACTCTATTCAGGATGGACGTTACATTGATTTTACATTCACATTATAAGGAAAATACACTAAGACATATAAAGCAGGTTGCATGTAACTCCTACATTATATGCCAATGTCTATTTTGTCTGGTATAAGTATTGCTACTCCACCTTACTTTCTGTTTCTGTTACATGAAATATCTCTTCCCATGCCTTTAAAGTTTTAAGTGTTCAAATTATAATAGTGCTTTGAAATATCTATTTTGCAATAGAGAACATATGGCTGGCTTCCCCAGATAATTATAGGTCAAACACAGAATTCTTTTTTAACTGAGAATCTATGATGTATGAAGCACTTCACATCTGAACAATTTTTTAATCCCATTTTATAGATAAAGGAACAGATCTGGAATAGTTATACACGTTTCCTACTCTATCAATGACGAAACTCAGGAGTAATTCCTGGGTTTCCGTTTCACTCATTCTGAGACCACTTTAACCTAAGGCAGTATCTAGGATGAGGCAATGTCTGCAGTCTAGGCTGTGTTTGACCTTAAGTAAGTCCTTCACACACAGGACTGGTTGATGCAGTAAAAATAGTGGGACTTCAGTCACAGGAGATTGAGTTCAAATCTGCAAATGTCCCTTAGAAGTGTGACCTTGACCATGCATATATATATTTGTGCATCTGTATATAGATATACACACACAGATGTACATACACATACATATATACATGTACATTTTATATATATATACACACATATATTTCTAGCTAGGGCAACCTTGAACTACAACATTAATATCACCCACCTCAAAATGTTGCTAATTTAGATGATGTATGTAAAGTATTTAACGTCATATCAGATAACTATCAGATGTTAGTATTATGTCCTTATAAAGAAAGGAGCAGTGGGCAGCACACGGTGCCATGACTTACTAAACGTCTTGCTTCTTCAGTCAGCATAAGCATCCAGTGAGGGGTGCAACCCTTCCCCTTGGACCCGCAGCTAGTCCCCAGCAGTAGAATTGAGAGCTGACTCCAAAACACAGCCATAGGGGCCCCCCAGTCTGACAATGGCAACTAGTAAGGCCTACACTGAAAAAATTAAATGTGAAAGTATGAAGTTTCCTGGCACAGACAACTGGCAAAGGTGGGTGGTGGGCCCTATGACAACCCAAATCCCTTCTAGACCTAACATGCTTTGCTTCTGTGAAGATTCTGGCAGCCACGGAAGGCAGACTTGGGCACAGTGAGGGTTTGGCTCTAGAGCCTCAGACACCCGCCAAGATGGAGACACAGCTGCTCCGACGTCTGTGCCACCATGGAAAGCTCTGCCTTCCCCAGGTTAGAGTGACCCAATATTTACAAAATCATTCCCCACTGCTACCTTCTTCCCCCTCACACACTAAAATGTGGGTGCAGCTGCCTCTACTGCTGTCCCCTTGTGTTCTTATCCACTCTCATTGTGCTCATGTGTCTGGAAAACACCTCGCATGTCAGGGTTCTGCATTCAAAAACAAACGTCACCATTCTGTCACCCCAACAGAGTGGGTCCCTCTGTGACTCTCACTGCAGGCCCATTTTCAATGAACCATCGAATGATTGGCTTCCAGGAATGACTGGCAACAGGCAGGCCATAGGGGGCCCTACAGATTGGCAGCTCCTGAGTCATGCACAGGAGGAGTTTGCAAGGTTTGTCTCTGTTTGGATGCAGCACAAGCACAGGACACACAGCCAGCTCTGCATTACCAAGGGGTTCAGCATGTGGCTGAACCACTCTGGGTGGCTCACCACTCTGGGTCACAGAGTTAGCTGGGAAAGATGACCAGCTTCAGGATCACCTTTCTCCACTGTGGGAAAGACAGCTCAGTCTTCCACTGCAGAAGAGGAGAGAGTATGTGGGACCAGCCCAGAAAGGGGATCTGGGGGAGGCTTTCAGAAAGGCAGTAGCAGATTCTCTGTGGGGCAGGCCTCTCTCTTTGGTGCCAGTGCTGGTGGCCTCGAACCCTCTCTAGGACCCCTCTATGTCCACCTGCAGGCCTCACAAGGCAGCAGGACAGCCTCCTCGATGTACTGAGGCTCTGGTGCTTAGCAAAAGGTCAGCACAGGTGGCCAGTTTGGTCTGGATTTAACTAGTTTACAACTCTGGCCCAAGGTAGCAAGCCCAGTAATAAATACATGTGGAGTCAGGACTGGTTCACATGATTTAGAAAAATAGAGAATTGCATGCAGATGTTCCCAAATCATACAAGTTCCCTGTGCTAGTCAGGTTTATGTGCCTGGACAGCTAAGTAATAATCACAGTGGCTACTGTAACTGTGTCCCAAGCTGTTCTTCTCATTTAATCCTCACAAGGGTTCTACATGGTCAGTGATGTTCCATCCATTATACAAATGAAGAAAACAGATTCAGGAAGGGTGAGATGTTTGTTCCAGTCTCAGCTGATTGCAGGGGCCAGTGTCGGGATTCACGTCAGAGCATGTGCTCTTAACAACACGTCAGTGATTGTCAAATTTGAATGCTCTCAGTCTTCAGGGAAGAAAATGAGGTTACCTGTTGAACAAGGGTCCGATGGTGAGCTGGTCGTATTTGTTTCCTGTGTTGTGATAGGCTGGGTGTCTGTTGTCTGCATTGGAGAAGATGATGTGGCTTCTGAAATGGAAAGGATGAAAGAGCTCTGTTCTATTTGTGGAGAATACTTCCCAACCACCTCCAACAACACTAAAATCAGGAAGTACCCTCAACTCTTTCCTAAAAATTTAATCAAAGATAACATTGAGGCCTTGTGCTGCCATCTCAGCTTTTTATTAGTAGTAATAAACCTGGTATTGACAGTGCTCTAGGTTGTTCACCATAGATGGAAACTTTTCACACTCTTCATACCTCTAGGATCCCCTGAGTGCATAATGCCCACAACCGTGCATCTTATGCTGGACACCATTTGTGTGAAGCTTTATTCGTACAAATGACATTCCCTTTGCATGGAACAGGGCCTGGCAGTGTGCACTGATCTGTCCTCCCGTCCTCACCCCAACCCCAATCTGGGTTTTCTGACCTCACTGAAGCTCCCACTTACCCAACCACAGACTTTTCCAGGGAGATGCACATAAGGACCAGCACAGGACACACACTCACAGTACCTAATTTCTGGACGTCTCCTCAAGCTGACTAACCTGCCCCAAGTCCCCATGTGGTAATCATTCACAACCCTCAAAGCAAAGTGGACTCCAAAGAAGGACCTTGGCCCCAGTCCCTCCTTCAGTGGCATTCCAGGCACTACTTTTGTGAGACACATTTCCTGTACTGTCTGACTCATCCTCCATGTCCCACCGACATGCTTCACTAGTTTCCCCGAAGCTCAGCTATGCATCACTTGCCTCTTCACCAGGCCTTTGTATTCCTGCCCCTGAGAGCACCAGACTCCTAGAGCAAGTGAGTGGTGCTGGCCAAGTAAGGAGTCTCAGACCCGGGCTTTCCCTCATGCCTCTCACTGGTCTTTCTGTTTCCCCTTTGCCATTGTCATCTTCGAGTTTCAACACCACCCTGCTTTATGTTCTGAACCCGTTTCATGTTTTCCTCCAACACTGAACCTCTACCAGGACATGGCTCTCTTCAGGACAAAGAACAGAACAGCACAAGAAAGTCAGACGATCAGACTCTGTCCACCTTAGACCTGTGTACACCTCTCGACCTTAACTTCATCCCCCAGTTTGGTTCTTTGTGGGCCTCTTTCTTTCTGATCTGCTCCTATAACCTTACACCCAACCACTGCATGAGTCTCTCAGGAAACCAGCATGTGCAGAGGCACTGGGGACAGGCAGGGGGTGGGTGTAAAGGAAAATGTCTCCGCATTGAATTAGCTCCAGTGTTCACCTCCTTCCTGTCCTGTAAAGCTCACCTCTAGACTCCAACTCCTATGAAACTATCAGGATAAGAAAAAGGTTCAATTCAGTTAACAATACAATTAATTTTCCTTAGGAGGTCACACAGACATGTAAAGCCACACTCTTCTTCTGACTCTCTGCTTTAAATGAAGTAAAAAACTCATGTGTGTTCACTAAACCATGTCCACTGATCCTCACACCTTGTAGGCACACACTAAGACAAACCAAGAAGCCAAATCAATATTGAGAAAGTCAACAGATTCTTTGGTATATTCAGCTACTTGCAACAAAGCTGTTTTTCTTATAAATTTTTATGTCTTTAAATCCCAGTTTTACCCTAAAGCCCTCTCTTCCAAACTTAGCTCATAGCCCAATGCTTCAGGTCCTTCCTGGTAAACATACACTGGTTCAATGGGAATCAAGGAAAATCAATTGTTCCATCAGAAATTTCTCACTAAGAGGTTGTGACCTCTCTGTTACTCCTCAGAATCCAGACCACTTTAAGTTGTCAGAGAGTGATAAAGGCTTTGAGACTTTTCACTAAAATTATGGTTCTTAAATAAGATTTCATTTATTTATTTTTAGAAAGGTGGAAAGGGAGGGAAAGAGAGAGGGAGAGAAACACTGACATGAGAGAGATATACCAATCAATTGCCTCTCGCACACCCCCAACTGGAGACCTGGCCTGCAAATCTGTCATGTACCCTGACTGGGAATTGAATCAATCAATTCCCAGACCAAATCTTGGCTCAACCAGTTTCTATCCATATGCCTTTCAACAATAAACATAGACACTTTGTAGGTTCCCACAAATATAAAATAGGTTTGAACTGCACTGCCATTGTACAGTGATCTATTGGTTTGCAGGCCAGCCCTTAACCCACTGAGCCACACCAGCCAGGGCTAAAAGTTATCTTTTTAATCCTATAAATAGAAGGTTTAAACCTACACTGGTCCTTAGGAAGCCACTTATTTCCCCTACCCACATGTGAAATTATTCTCCATTTGTTTTTTATCTGAACTCTTCAGTATTGGAAATTTGAAGTGTGAAGCATGTAGCCTGAATTGAAAAAGGAACCATATATTCTAATTCTAAATCCCTGGACCTTAAATCCAACATTTACTTTGTCATTAGTATAAACAGCACTTTCCCCCCTACTTTGTGCTACATATTAAAGAATACTAGAAGCAAAACTGTGCAAGGCACTAAATGATGTAAAAACCAGGACGTCAGTGTGGATGTCAGATCAGGACTAATTCATCCTAATATAACCTCAGTCGGTGCTCAGGGTGAAAGGCACGATCTAATCGTTATAACTACAGACCCAAATTCAAATTAATGGAGACCAAATCTTGGCTCAACCACTTTCTATCCATATGCCTTTCAACAATAAACATAGACACTTTGTCTAGGTTCCCACAAATATAAAATAGGTTTGAACTGCACTGCCATTGTACAGGGTTGTCTTAAGAATCAAGTGATATGATAACTGTGAAAAATTTAGCATGATTGTTGTGACATAGGAGATGAATAAATGTTAACGTCACTGAAATCTGATCCTTGAGTTGAGTGCCTGTCTTCAGAGCCAACCTAAGCTTCCCTCAGAGCTACATGTGAGGACAGAATCTCATTAACCTGACCTCTGTTCTCAGACATTCCCCATAGTTTCCTTATAAATCTTCTTTCAGCTAAGTCAAATCCACATTATCCTCATTAGGTGTAAAAAGACCAGTGGTCTGAAGTTTGTTGGCTAACAGTGAATTCCTTTGAGAATCCAATTTAAAAAACAATGGGTCCCTTGATCCTGAAAATACTTATAGGTATGAAAGGTGCGTACAATATACACAGGGGTTCACAGACCCTGTGAAGCCGTGTGTGGAACCGGAGCAGTAGCCTTGCACTAAATTGTACTTCCGCATTAACACAGTTTCTGGGATGGTCTACAACACCCTCTCATTAGAGAGCCTCTGGCCTCAGAAACACATCAGTTTACCTGTCTTGAGGTTCAGTGTGGATGACGGCGTTGTAGGAGCAGAGGTGGAGACCCCAGGTGAGGCTGGAACACTGGTGACCTTAGGTGGAGCTAGAAACCAACAGGAAAGCAAGGAGGATTAAAAGCAGCAGGAGACAAAAGCTTTCGGCTGGGCCTGTGCATCAACTCAACCAATGAGAGACCAACCCCAGGCTCCTCTCAGCTCTGCATTCTTATCATTACTCAATTTGAATACGAAATACGAAATACGTATTCAAATACAAAGGCTGGAAAAAGTCTGGTAAAAAGGAATTCCTGCATTGAAAGGTTTAGATTCCAGATGGTACAGAGGTGAAAAGGTTACCCTGGATTTGCACTGAAGCACTTTATAAAGAATAGGCATACTTGGGGTGGTGAACACATAATTCAATATACAGATGATGTATCACAGATTGAATACCTAAAACCTCTATAATTTTATTAATCCATGTCACCTCAATAAATTCAATAAATAAATTATAAAATTAATTTAATATAAAAAAGGAAGAATAGCTATACCTGTCAGATTTATATATCCTCATGAACATCTGTGGAGGAAAAATGTCTAGAACCCGGACCTATTTTTGTCTTCTCAGTAGTGAATGACGAAGACTTAAACAGTAGTTCTCAGGCCCAGAATGTTTACAAAACAAATAATATTCAGCTCAATCAGTTCTGAGGTTACCCTCCCCAAAAACCAGCACCTTAAATTGGAATGAACTCACTCATACCCACTAGCATATGCTACATTGTAGGGAGAATCTATACAACATATATTTGGGTAGAAAGTGAACTAGACCACAGTGACTTTGACTCTTCAGTCAGAGGTGGTGTAGGATTTCAAACCACATACGCAAGGTCTCAGAACTACCCAAAGAGAGAGCTGAAGTTAGAATTAAGCCCTAACACAGTGCCTGGCACAAAAGCAGATCAATGAAGGTCTGATTAAAGAATGTGTACATCTTTTTCCCCAATAAGTTTTTTATAGCTCAACTCAATGATTAAAAACAAACAAACAAACAAAAAAAAAAACCTTGGATAGGAGACCATTGGTTGAGAAGCTCTTCTTTGTGAAGAGATTCCATTCACTTTAGAATAGAGACAATATTTGCCTTAGGGGGAAAAAAGCCTTTGAACAAATATTTTGAGTGCTCATTACATGCAAACCATTACTATAAAGCAAAGGTTAGCAATCTTTCTGCAAAAGGCCTGAAAGTAAATTATTTAGGCTATGGGGCTCTCTGAGTCACTCCAGTCTCAGGGTGAATACATCCACTGACAAGATAGTATAATGATTGGGTGTGGCTTTTCCAATAAAAATTTATTTATACAACAGGTGAGGAGCCAGTTTTCCAATCTTATCTGTCCCTGGGGCTACACTTTGCTGATCTTGATAGAAGGTGTTGTCAGAAGCTTTTAAGAGGAGTGCATTCCAATTTCCTCCCTACATTTTAAAAATGTAATCTAGAGAGGAAAAGCAAGCATGCAAAATTTCTGATCAAAGGAGCATAAGAAACAATACAGAGGAGAAAACCTAATCAGGTTGTTTAGTGAACTTGATTTCTTTCATGGTACGTAGTTTACCCAGAGAGCAACCACAATAAGGAAGATGCTGATGAGGAAAAGCTCTAGCAGTAGGTTAAAGAATGAACAAAGCCTGCAAATAAAATTTTTTTTTAAAGATTTATACTGTCTGAAGAGAAACCAGAGTATAAACACCAATCCAAAAGAATCTATGTACCTCAATGTTCATAGCAGCACAATTTACAATAGCCAAGTGTTGGAAGCAACCCAGGTGCCCATCAAAATGAGTGGATCAAAAAACTATGATACAGCCCTGGCTGGTGTGGCTCAGTGGATTGAGCACAGGCCTGCAAACCACATAATCTCGGTTTGATTCCCAGTCAGGGCACATGCCTGGGCTGCAGGCCAGCTCCCAGCAGGGGACTCATGAGGGGCAACCATACATTGATATTTCTCTCCTTCTCTTCCCCTCTAAAAGATAAATAAATAAATAAATAAAATCTATAAAAAGAATGGTTTTAAAAAAATTTTTTAAAAAACAACTATGGTACATTTACAACTATGGTACAACTATGGTACAAAAACAACTATGGTACAACTATGGTACAATGGAATTCTATGCAGCAGAAAGAAAGAAGGAGCTCCTACCCTTTGCAACAGCATGGATGGAACTGGAAAGCATTATGCCAAGTGAAATAAGCCAGGAGGTGAAAGACAAATACCACATGATCTCACCTTTAACAGGAGCCTAAACAGCATAACAAACAAACAAGTAAAATATAACCAAAGACACTGAAATAAAGAACAGGCTGACAGTAACCAGAGGGGAGAGAGGAGGGAATTTCAGGGGAAAAAGGGAAGGGTTTACAGGAACAAGTATAAAGGACACATAGACAAAAATAAGGGAGGGGCGCATGGAAAGGGGAGAAAGGTGGGGAAGGCTTGGGAGGTGGGCTGGGATGGGACTAAAAGGCAGAAAACTGTACTTGAACAACAATTAAAATTTAAAAAAACAAGACAACAAAAGCAAAGAATTGGATATTGGAGGTAGAGAATGACTTTAGCTCAATTACGGACCCACTTACCCACTAAGAGAAAGCACTGGCCTTGTAATTACCTGCTTACTACATAAATGGGAGTCACACTATAAAAATCCCCTACTGACTCCTTTCTATAACATTTTTTTAATTCAGCCAGACGAAAATAATTTCACAACCCCAGAGAAGCTGTAACGTAAGTTCTTCTTCACGTGCTAACCCTCACATCTCTCTATGGCCCACTGTGATCTTGTTAGCTTCAGACTTCCAGAAGAGTGTCCCAGAGTCAGCTGTTTTCCTCATCTAAACTGAGCTTATTGTGTTTGCCTACATAAGAGAGATAAGCCAATTCCAAAAGCTGGGAGATCACAAAATAAAGTCTCTCTTAATTAAGAGAGAAATGGAGACATAAGTTATCAAGGACACAGGTAGTGGGTCCCATGGTCAACATAGACCTTAGTGGATAGATATTCACTAAGAGGAGCCAAAACCAGCAAATCCCTAAGAACCTAAGTTTTTTTATCAAATGATAAGGATTATTTGTATCATAAGTATTAGTATGTCCACATCGCCATGGAAAAGACAAACTTCCCAGATGTTTGGATTTCATGAAAATCTTCACAGCAACTGGGGAACAGTTATTGGGATGTAAATGTTTTCATGATATAATAAGGTCACTTCAATGTATATGCAAAAAGATTGAACTGACAATTTTTACTGTTGGCAATGTTGCTACTTGTCAGTACAAGAATAAAATAAGATAGAATCACACTAAAAATGTACAGGGTTGTCACAAGAATTTTTGACATAATACTTGTAAAGGACGTAGCATGGTTCCTAACATAGGGGACAGAGCAAATATTGCCTTCACTGAAAGCTAACCCTCGAGTGAAGGGTCTGATGACTTCAGAGTGGACCAAAGGATCTCCACTCAGAGCTGCTTGCGAGAACTGAAATCCACATATAACCTGACCCTCCTTCTATGGCATCCCTAGAATTTCCTCATAAACCTGTGCTCATTTGGGCTGAATCCATAACACCCTTGTTAGATGTCCAAGATCCGTGGTCCAGGGTAACTTGGCTGATAGTGAACACCTATGAGAATATGATTTAAAAAGAACTATGGGTCCCTTCACTCTAAAAGAATGTGGATCATAAATACTGTGAGGCCATGTATTTAATCCAGGGCAGATCTTATCTGAGATTGTCCCTCTAACACATGACCTGGGTGGTCTACATTCTCTCATTTGAAGACCTCTGGCCTCAGAAACACATCAGTTTACCTGTCACGAGGTTCACTGTGGGTGCTGCAGTTGTAGGAGCAGAGGTGGAGACTTTAGGTGATGTTGGAGCACTGGTGGCCATAGGTGGAGCTAGAAACGAACAAGAAAGTCAGGATTAATCAAGCAGCAGATAAAACTGGGCACTAGTCTGTTCTGAACTCAGAGTTCTTGTTATTGACCAACTAGAATCTGATAGGGGAGGCAAAAAAGGGAAACAGCTGTATTGAAAGGTATGAATTTCCATGGGTTCAGAGGCAAACAGGACATCTTGGCTTTGCAAGGAAGCACTCTGAAAAGACTAGCCATGTCTGCCTGATTTAGGTATCTTCATAAACATATGTGAGGTGGGGAAAATGTTTAGGGCCTAGACCTGCCTTTGCCCTTTCAGAGGTGAATGACTAAGACTTAAAATGTAGCTCCCCATCCTGGCTGGTGTGGTTCAGTGGGTTTAGCACCAGCCTGTGAACCAAAAGGTTGGCCGTTTGAGTTCAATTCCCAGTGAGGGCACACGCCTGGCTTGCAGACCAGGTCCCCAGTTGAGGCTACACAAGAGACAACCAATCGATGTTTCTCTCCCCCTTGCCATTCCTTCCCGTCTCACTAAAATAAAAAAAAATAATAAGAAGAAAATAAAACTGTAGTGCCCGGGCCCAGAATGTTTACCAAATACGTAGTATTCAGGTCAGCCAGGTCTGAGGGTACCCTCCCAAAGGACCTGCACCCTAAATGAGCATTATCACCTATTAACATAGATATTTTAGATCACACAGACAATTTTTATATTTGGTTGAAGGTGGACTAGACCACGGGAAATAAATTTGACTCTTTCCCGAGTCAGAGGGTCTAGGGTCCCAAACTACTAATTCAGAAAGAGAGCCGAACTCAGAATCAACCGTAAGCATAAGAGTAGACTGATAAAGGCCTGATCCAAGAATATGTGCTTTTGCTCAGTTGGTTAGAGAGTGGTTCTCATTAACAAATGTGGGGGGGTTCTATTGTTCCTGGGTCAGGGCACATACAGGAATCAACCAATGAACACATAAGTACAAAAAACAATGATGTCTCTCTTTCTTTCCCACTTCCTCTCTGTAAATAAATACATTTGAAAAAATTTTTAAATGTGTCCCTTTTTTCTCACCAAATACCATTTTATCCTTCAAGAAGTTTTTTAAAATCTCAACTCTGGGGCATTCTTGTATTGCCTCCCAGGTATTGCTTTCCCAGAGTCAGCTTCTTTCCTTGTCTGAATTGGCTTTATCTTACTTGCCTTCAGTAGAGAAACAAGTAAAAGCCAAAAATTAAGAGATGTCAAAAAGTCTCTTTTCATTAAAAAAGTAAATAGAGACACAGCTTATTAAGATGATAGGTATTGAATTCTACTGTTAATATGAAACCTTAGTTGAGGAAGAAATACGTTTAAAAAAAAAATATATATATATATATATGATGAAAAAAATACCCTAGTTAAGGGAGATTCCTTAAAAGAACACCAGAAACCATGAAATACTCCAGAACTTACTTCTCTCAGGGAAATGTTAAGGCTATTAGCATGTGCATATAAAGAGGCGTAAACTTCTGAGATTCCTGGATTTCATGAAAATCTTAAAAGCAACTGGTGAGTGTATTGGGAATGAAAATGTTTTCATATTGCAAGAAGGTCATTTTAATGCTTAAACAAGTACTGTTGTGATACAAGGCGACACTGACTTAAAAAACCCAAGATAGGGCAGAGCATGAGGGTGGAATTACATAGGCTTACACAGTGTATATGTACCAAGATTGAGCTGATAAGTGTCAAAGCTGGTGATGTATCTATCTACTTGACAATATCTTATACAATATTATTTAAATTATCCACTTGAAATTCTCTGCAGTACTTTTACCATGTTACTATAGGTCATGTTATAAAATGAAGTGATCAAAGGAAGAAGAAGACAAGCTCACCTGGTTTTACATCCAATAATATGTTGACTTTCAAATAAGTAAACCACCCCCAGTGCTCAACCCGGCAACAATACGTGCCACTGTCAGACTGGGCTGCGTCCTCAATGGTTAAAGACACGTTGCCTTGTGAAATCGCTCCCTTGAGGTTGTAACGCCTGCTCTTCTGAAAGGTGATGTGGTGGCCATCTGTCAAGATGAGCTGATTGGGGCACTGAGAAGGAGCACACGCCCCTCGGCCCCAGCACGTGGAGGTGGTCCCGCGAGCTGTGGAGTAGGTGCAGGGGAGCGTGACTGCCTGACCCACCACTCCGTCCACACGTGGCTGCGAAACCGCAGTGTCTGCAAATAAAGAGAACACAGAGCATGAGGCCTCCATATTCGAACTTTGCATTTATTTCCACCGTTTTCTCTTTACATAGTTTATTTCATTTGTAATCATGTGACTTTACATCTTGAATCGGAAACTTTGTTATAAACATTTTTCTGTTTACATCTTTATCAGCATTTTGTTTTTTTTATGTTTGTAAATAAAACATAGTTTAAACTTTTTTCTATATTTAGGATTCTTTCCTAATAGGATACATTTCTAAAAAGAGAAATCATCAGAATAAAGACCAGAAATATTTTACATCTTGTTTTCAAATTTCTTTCCAAACTGTTCAAACCAAATGACACTCTAGCAACACAAGGCCATGACTTTCTCTGGGTTTGACAGGATCTGCTTATTAAACAGGAAACACAAGCATGTCACTGTTCCCGTCCCCAAGAGCCAATCACTGCCTCAGTTGACTATGTTAGCAAATTCAATTGCCATTAAAGCTTTTATTGCAATTCTTAAAATGTCTATTGCAAGTGAAGTCACCCTACTACCCCTCTCTTATAAAAATAAGCAGAGCTATTGTTTTGTCTAAAGTATTGTTGGCTTAAGGGCAGAAGTCTATTAAACTCTTTAGAAATCAATTTTTGAAAAATGGGTTTCTAATACTTCCAGGAAGAGGAAAGGCTTATCATATGCTTTAGGATTGTTCTAAAAAACACAGATAGGTCCCTGTTCTTGTAGCCAGCACCAGAGCACAGCCCATCTCCCCTGGTGAAGCCAGAGGATTGGGGAATGTTCAATCAAGTGCTGAATTATGCCAATGAGAAACAAAAACTCTCTCCTGTGCTAGTGGCACTAAAACCCCTTATCGTCTTCATAAGAATCAAACTGCACAGTGTGCAGTGAAAGACTGGTCGCTTTCCCATCACACCCCCATTTCTTCTTTCCATCCCCTCCCACCCCATGATAACACTGATACTATTTCTCACATACATACACATACATGCATACCCAACTATCCACCCATCACCTTTTTTGTTAAAACACAAATGGCAGCATATGACAGTTATACTTAGCCACAGATTTGGATATTCAGAGCATTTAAACAATTTCTTTGGAGGATAATTGCAGCCTGGTTCTTTGCTTGCTAGTTGACCCATTACCTTCCAACAGAGCCCAAGAACACCCATCTTCCTCCACCACACCCACACACTCAGGGCTTCCAGACCCCAGCCCCCCTGTTCACTTACCTGTCCAAAGTAGTACGAGGCCTGTGAAGGCTACCCAAGAATGCATGATGTCAGCCTAAAGGAAAGAAAAAAAACAGACTGTTTGGTGTGCCCCCACCAGATGGAATGGGGACAAGTCTTAATTCTCAGATGGCAACTTTTGCTTTCACCCTGACTGGGTAAATCACAGAAGCCTGCTCTGTTAGGGATTGGTGACCATGTACAATGGCTTCAGGTCTCTGTTAGCTCAGTGTGGCTGAGGGCTCTGCACCTCCAACAGACAGGCAAAGCTGTCCTTGGAAGCAGACCCTTATTTCTCAGTCCTTCCCCACACATAGAGTACCAACTGATTCCTGATGCTCCTACCAGAGATTAGGGAGCAAACAGGAAGGAAGCCAGGGGTAGGCTCCATACAGGAGAACACGAGAGCAAAGACCAGTCTCCCAATGGTGGTAGTACACTTACCTTTGGCTTCCGAGATGATAGTCAACTGGCCCTTTGTGAGTTGAGGGTGCTTTCTGCCCTGTGGCCCCAATGGTTAGTCCCCAGTCTCAGTTATATTGCCAAGTTCATATTAACAAGAATTAAGCCAGACTGTGTGAAACACTGTGCTTCACCATTCATGCTACAAGAGGCAACCACTTATGCATTTTACTGAATGATGTCAGAATCTGAACCACACTTGGTGTTCATACACACAGACACAGGCAAAAGCCCCAAGACGGAAAATCTTAACTGGAGGGCAGGGAGAGACTGACAAAAGAATTAGGCCACACCAGTCCAGCAACTAACACTTTAGTAAGAAAAACTTAGATACAAACCTTCTCTCAAGTGATTGCTAGATAAAATGGATCTCCATGCCTCTTGGCAGGTACTGAAGAATTATGTAGAATATAGGGTGGGGACAGTCATAGGTACTAGTTCATGAGTGCTACCAGGTATTAGAATTACTTTACATACTTGGACTTCTGCCAAGATGGAGGCGTAGGTGGAAGCACTGTATCTTCTCACACAACCAAGTTTAAAAACAACAAAGTTTTAGCAACAAAAATGCAGCCAACCACAGGAAATTGAACTACATGGAAGTCTGACAACAACGAACCCTTCAGCCAAACCAGTAAGAGGGGCAGAGCCAGCAGCAGAGCAGGGTCAGGCAGGAAAGATCCACCAGACCAACCCAGGCGTGCTGGCAGCCATAGGCAGATTCCAGGTGTGGAGTAGCAGGCGGACCCACAGAGAGCTGATTGCAGTCACATAGTCGAGCGCAGATAAACCAGTGAAGGAGCGAAGTGGTGAGACAGACCATGTAGGCCCCAGTGGCAGAAAGTGGCAGAGGGGACCGCCATTGTCCCTCTCTGACCCTGCCCCCACATACAGCGTCACAAACCAGTGACCTGGGTGGCCCCGCCCTGGTGAACACTTAAGGCTCCATTCCTCATATGTGACAGGCACGAAAACAGATCAAAACATGGCTCAAGAACAATTCAGAGCCCCAGAGCCCATAAATCTAAGCAATGAAGAAATAGCCAAACTTTCAGATGCACAGTTCAAAACACTGGTGATCAGAATGCTCACAGAACTGGTTGATTTTAGTCACAAATTAGAGGAACATATGAAGGCTAAACTAATTGAAATGAATGGAAATACACAGGAAACCAATAGTAATGGAAAGGAAACTGGGACTCAAATCAAAGGAGTGGACCAGAAGAAGGAAAAAAATGACCAAACAGAAAAGGATGAAGAAACAAGAATTCAAAAAATGAGGAGAGGCTTAGGAACCTTCAGGACATCTTTAAACGTTCCAATATCCAAATTATAGGGGTACCAGAAGGGGAAGAGGAACAGCCGTGAGTGGGAAACTTATTTGAACAAATAATAAAGGAGAATTTCCCCAATCTGGCAAAGGAAATAGACTTCCAGGAAATCCAGGAAGCTCACAGAGTCCCAAAGAAGTTGGACCCAAGAAGAAACACACCAAGGCACATCATCATTACATTAGCCAAGATTAAAATGAAGGAGAGAATCCTAGAAGCAGCAAGAGATAAGGGGACAGTCACATACAAAGGAGTTCCCATCAGACTGTCAGCAGATTTCTCAAAAGACACCTTACAGGCAAGAAGGGGTTAGAAAGAAATATTCCAACTCATGAAATCCAAAGACCTACATCCAAGATTGATCTATCCAGCAAAGCTTTCATTTAGAATGGAAGGGCAGATAAAGTGCTTCTCAGATAAGACCAAATTCAAGGAGTTCATCATCACCAAGCCCTTATTATATGAAATGTTAAAGGGACTTACCAAGAAAAAGAGGATAAAGAAAGATGAACAGTGAAAGGACAGCAAACTCACAGTTATTAAGAACCACACCTAAAACAAAAGCAAACTAAGAGGACAGCTAGATCAGGAGCAGAACCATAGAAATGAAGATCACATGGAGGGTTAGCAACAGGGGAGTGGGAGAAGGAGAAGGGGGGAGAAGGTACAGAAAATAAGTGGCATAGATGGTAGGTAGAAAATAGATATGGGGGAGGGCAAGAATAGTATGGGAAATGTAGAATCTAAAGAACTTGAGACACGTGGTCATAAACTAAAGGGGGGATGGTGGGGGAAGGGGTGTGCAGGGTGGAGAGGAATGAAGGGGGGAAATAGAACAACTGTAATGGCATAATAAATAAAATATTTTTTTTAAAAAAAGAATTACTTTACATACTTGACCAGGTCAGGACAATGGCCTGTTCCAAGAACTGGCACGCAGCAGGAGACAAGGCAGGGGTACTGATTAATGCCAGAATAAACATCAGTTATGACTGGGTAGTCTCAAAGGGGGGTCAGTGGAAAGCAACCTCCACTCTGGCCTGGAACCTGCTTGTGGGATAAACAGCAGTCACGTCATGAGACTGTTTCTCCTCCACATTCCACCCCTTATGACTGGCTCTTCCAGTCTCAGGCTTCCTCTCTTCTGAGAGGTGGCCTGAGTGGTCAGCAAGGGGCTTTGGCAGTAAGAAAGTTGCTCACTCACGGCTAATTGACTGCACTGAAGACACAGTTTTTGGCGATAGTACAGACACATACAAGAAAAGAGGGAAATTGAGGGTAGTCCAAATTTAAATACATATATACATAAATAAATCAATCCAAATAATAGTAACAATTTTTTCCATCATGTTCCCCCAGGACCCAAACCAGTGGCTTAGTAGGTTACCAAGTAGGCTTGGGGCCAGATCATTTAAGGCATTTACGGTGCCCTTGATTTTTTATATGTGTTAACAAAAAATGTTAGCAGGTGCATCTGGCATAAAAACACAACATTTCGTATGGATAATGGCACAGGTGGGTCCTATCCCCATAACTAGTTGCCACAAGATCAGCAGAATTCTAAGGTCAGACAGGCAAATATTCAGCAGGGACTTGAATTAAGAGATCTCCTCCCAGTATGAGAATTATACTTGCAGCCTGTCCAGGCTGTGTAAGACACACATGTTGGCTGGGAGGAAGTTGTGTTCTCTGGCATGAGAAGGACAATAGGAGGGGAAATGTGCCAGACTAGGACCCATTCAATAGGACCCATTCACTATTGTCATTCAATATGACAATAGTGCTTGGTGCCCTCATTATTATAACTCCTTCGTCCATGACAAGCTTAGGGGCCTATTGCTGTATCTTTTGTTCTCCACACTTTTACTGTAATTTAACACAAAGAAAGAACCAAATTTTGATTATGTGCCAGTTTACTTTTGACACTTAAATGCACTTAACTAAATGTATTCTAATCTTAGAATGCTTAACCAGATCAGGACAATGGGCCTATCCCAGGAACCAGCACAAAGCAGCAAGTAAGGAAGAGGTGCTGATTTTTCTCAGAATAAACATCAGTTATCGTCAGAGAGTTTCTAATGGGGGATTGCGGAGAGCAACCTCTCGTCTGGCCCAAACCCAGCTCATGGGACAGACAGATCAGGTCAAGAAACAATATCCTCCCCAGTTGGGTTCGGATCCCAGCTCTCCTACTTAGGGGGCTGGGTATCTCTATGAGTTACTAAGTTGGTCCAAGCCTGGATTTCCTCATTCATAAAACAGCACTAAAAATACTCGTTCCATCTCTCTTAAAGGACTGTTATAAAAGGCCGCGTGTGAACTCTGAAAACTAAGCCTAAACGTGTGTGAAAACTGCAGCCAGGCTGTGTGGAGAATGCACTGTGTCGCAGGCTCTGTGCACAATGCTCTACAAAACCCCTGGGCAGGCGCTGCTGTTGGTCCCACTCCTGGAGGAGGAAGCTGGGGCCTGGAAAAGTTAAGTGCACCTAGCTTCCAGACAAGGTCTTCTTACTTTTGCTCTTAACCATTAAACCATACAAAAAAACGTATGTAAGCCTGCCTAGAACTTCATTAACTCCCCTTCTAGTTTAAAGATGCAGTAACTTCCTCCAGGCAGGCACTGGTCCCCCATTTCTAGTAGCCCATGAGAAGCTTGGTGGAGACCTCAACCACCACTAAAGGTTGGGGGACAAATTCTGAAGTGCCTCCTCTAGAAGTAGGTCGGGTCTTATTTATTGGGGAGGCAAAAGATTTAGTGACTCATCCTATTAAACTCTGAGACTCTGCCCAAAAGCCCAATAGGTTACTGAAGGATTTTCTAATTTAGGCCTGGCTGGTGTAGCTCAGTGGATTGAGCTCGGGCCTGTGAAATAAGGATTTTCTAATTTAATCCAATTCTTCCACGGTTTTTACTATTACATTAAGGCTAATAGGATATGATTTAAGATACTAAGGATGGAAACCTTCAGGACTGTTCAACTGGGCAGACACACAGGTAAGTAAGCATTTAACTAATACAATTGGGCAGAATAATAGAAACAGTAAATATATCATCAGATGTGTCACTCCCCCACTTATAACCCTCCCAAGGCTCTTTCGGAAAAAGAGATCCTAACTCCTAACCCAGATACAAAAGCCCCGTGATCTGGCCCCTGCCTACCTCTCAGGTTTTTCTACTGCTCTCTCCCCACCCACAGGGCTCTAGCCAAACCTGTTCTTTCAGATGCATCCCTGCCTTAGGACCCTTTCCCTGGCCATACTCTCTGCCTACCTCCCCGCCTACCTCCCCATCCCTTTACTCCACCCAGATTTCTCCTTTTCATTCTGACCTCTGCTGAAATGTCACCTTCTCAGACAGGCCTCTGTTGCCCCTCTACCTAAAGTAGCCAACCACTCTCTGCGTTCCTGTATTTCAGTTTTCTATGCTGTTTGTTAATCTTGCTTCCCGTGATGTGTATGTGTGAGCACTGTCCATTTCTCTTGGAATTTTCTGTGATGATGGAGTTATTGTATATGGGGGCAGGGCAAGCCCTTAACATGTGGCTAACACAGATGAGGAAGTTAATGGTTTTTATTTGATTTTATTTTCATTAAATTAAATTCAGGGAGCATGGGAGACCTTTCTCCTGGCTCATATTATCAATTTGGCTGAAATAAACACCTACAGGAATGTAAATAAATTAATTTAAAGTTAAATAGCCACCCGTGGCTATTATGTTGCAGAGTACTCAACACTGACCCATAAACACTTTAAAGCAGAACTCCCCCTTTCCTTTCTGCTTTATCCCTGGAACTTTGCAATGGGCCTAAAAGCACTGATTGAGTAACCAAATGGAAGCGCAAAGGCATGGGGAGAGATTCTTTGCTGACCAAGGAGGCTTTTGAGGGGGATTGAGAAGACATCTCTAAAAAACGTGAAGTTCATAGTTGGAGCAGAAAGAAGGGTATTTTAAGGGGAGGGAGTAATGAGCGAGAACCAAGACTGGGACACAGAAGCAAGGCCCTGAGTTGCTAAGTAATGGAACATGTCATAGGATTGCATTTTCTGACAAGCCCCTCTCCCGTGAGAGCCACCACTGTGTCCTAAAGGCTCCCAAACGACTCAATGGATTTTTTTTTAAACTGAAGCTATACAACCTTTATAAATTGTTATTCTTTAGAGTCGACTTTGTGACTGATCCCAGTTGAGGGATAGGCCCAGGCCCGGAATATGAATTTCCAGACACTCGCTGCACATAAAAAGTCACATGCTTGCAGGCCGAGAGGTGACAGGAGCAGACGTACCCGTCTGAAGGAACACTGCTAGGCCGAGAGCATGAAAAGCCGTCGGGAGACTATTGCAGTACTTTGGGGCAGAGGAAGGGATAGCAGTGGAGATGATCCGTGAACACCCAGAGCTAAGCCTCTGGAGGTTTAGAGAGTACAGCAAACAGGGTTCCTGAAGACTGTGAAGAGTAGGAGCCTAAAGATGAGTCCAAGGAATTTGGGCCCAAACAGCAGAAACTGGAGGTGCCACTAACTTAGGGAAAGTTGCATGTAACAGGTTTGGGAGGAAATGCTCTGATTTCAACCAAATGAGTTGGAGATATCTTAGACACCCAAGTGGGGACTGTTCAAGTTCAGAAGATAGGTCTAGAGGGACTGAAGGAACATATTTGGTAGTCATTGGCCTGGAAATGGTATTTTTTTAAGGTTTAATTTACTTTTAGAGAGACGGGAAGGGGAAGAGAAAGAAAGGGAGAAAAACATCAGTGCCTCTCCTGTGCTCCTTACTGGGGACCTGGCCTGCAACCTGGGTATGTGCCCTGCCTGGGAATCAAACAAGTAACTTTTTGGTTCTCAGGCCCACACTCAATCCACTGAGCTACACGAGCCAGGGCTAGAAATGGTATTTTCAACTTACAAACCTTGACAGTATGCTGAAGGCAATGCCTGTGACAAAGGACTAGGTCCTGGAACCTTTCATAAGAGGTTGAGATGGCAGAAGCAATGATACACGTATGGAAACAAACCAAGGAAATAGTAAGAACAGAAAAAAATAAGTGGCCTGTGTTCCCTATGCTGTCCTTTACATCCCTGTAAGGAATTTTAGGGCTGGCGGTTTGTACTTTTTTTATTCCTCTTGTCTTTTTCACCCATCCCCTCCCCCACCCCAGTCAGGTAACTATCAGTTTGATCCCTGTATCTATGAGCTGCTTTCCATTTCGTTTTGTTTGCCCTTGTTTGTACAGCCCACATGTAACTGAGAATTGGTGGTATTTTTCTTTCTCTGGCTGCCTTATTTTACTTAGCATACTACCTACCCCCTTGGTCCAGTGTGTCACAAAAGGCAGGATTTCATTCTCTTTATGGCTGAGTGATATTCTGTTGTGCATTTCTACCACGTGTTCTCTATTCATTCATCTATTGAAAGGTGCCCAGGTTGCTGTTTGTGCTGAATTTAAGGGTATTTGGGAGAGATTGCAGGGCATGCCAGAAGCAGGCCATTATTCCTGAAGAGTTTAAGGGCATTTCGGAGACTGTGAGGGCTCCAGTGAAGGGTCTGGAGCTGCTGGAATGGGCTCCAGCAGGGTGATTGGGTTGGGGGGGTGGAGAGGCAGGGTCTCAGGGGAAAGCCAGAGCAGGGCAGACAGTGTTAGCCCAGTTGATGGAAGGAGAAATTTCATGCCTGCCCACTCAGGGCCACCTGGAGAGCACAACAAAGGATCAATAACACCCACCAGAGCTTCTGTGCCCTGAAATAGCTCCGACCAACCCTTGTCCCCCCAGTCTTTGCCCTCAGGTTAGTCAATTTAGTTCCTCCCCTACGTCCCAGGCAATTCTGGCACTGCCGCCTCTGTGCTGGAGCCGAGAGTGAGTGAATTTGTGCTGAACCCTCTAAGCACAGAGCCTTGGTCTTCCGCAACCCTCCTTCTATCTCACACATAATCCCCACTGGTGTTCAAAGTTAGATGTAATAGAGACTCATCTTCCCCAATACAGTGGCCCAATGCTAGGGAGCCTGGTGTGGCACTCAGCCCGCTGGCTCTTCGAGGGGTACCTCTGCAGCCCAGCTGTCCCTCCCATTCATTAACCACCACAGGGGGGTGTGGGAATTGCCACGACCACATATGCACCCCTCCTACCTGTCTCAACATGGCTCCTTTATAACTTTAGAGGACCTTTTCTGTTCAGCTAATCTTCAGGTGGTTCTCAATGACCTTTGCACTACAATTTCCACATGTTCCTAAGAAGAGGTGAGTTGAGGATTTACCTTCTTGGCCACCTCAAGTCCATGCCCCACCCCCCAAATTTTCCTTTATTACTATTGGCTCAACTGTTGTTGTCTTAATATGCCCAATAATACTCAGAAAGTTCAAGCAACAAAGTTCTGATTTTCTGCTTGGCATAAATTTTCAGAGGGTTCTACTTACCGGTGAGTCAAGAAGGAGGCTTCCAGCTTCTCTGGTGGTTGTTGCTGACCTTCCCCCAAAGGTTTTATGGGTAAAGACAACTATCTCCCAGAATTCCATTCTTTATCTCTTCAACACGCCCTTGCATAGAATCATTGGGAAGTATCTTTGAAATCAAACTTCTCCAGTTGAATCACAGTCCTCCTGATGAATTTATCCACTTAATCACTTAAACAGATTACAAGGAGATATCAGTGGGCTGGAATAGTATTTGTTCTCTGCTAGACAAAAAGTATTTGTCTTTAAAAGATTTGGCACAGAGTTTGTTATAGGTCAGACCCTAGGCCTGAAAAGTCATGCAGATTTTGAGAATGTTTATACACAAAGGGACTTGAAACTACTTGGGGCAGCTGTTAAACTTATAGTGACTGAACCAAGGACCAAAAGGAGGCCCAGTGGATGGGGCCCATAGAAGACATACTATGGGGCAGACGTGGACATGAAAGCCTGGTCTGCCCGCTCCTACTACCTTTTCTTGCCACTCAATGAACATTGTTTCAAATATTCATTGAGCAACCCATTACTAGCAAGTGAACATCTTATTTAAGAAAACAAGGGGCCACCTTTAATAAAAATGAACTAGACCCACACTCTTCCCCAATATAATTGATATACATCTTTTCTTATTGATTTGAGATAGAGAGAAACATTGATTTATTGTTCCACTTATTTATGCATTCATTGGTTGCTTCTTCTATGTGCCCTGACTGGGAATTGAACCCAAAATCTTGGCCTATCTAACAATGCTCTTACCAGCTGAGCTACCTGGCTAGGGCCTGATATATATCTTTCAGATGTTAATAGCATGTCCACTGACACTTGGGGTTCTGCACTTACGTATGACAGAAATGTCAGAAAACTGGATGTGAGATGGGCTCCTGCTCGTACCATCAGAGGGTACTACTTGTGCACAGCACAGTGTTTCCCTGAGAAATTGTGCTATTGTGGTGAGTTAACCCCACCCCAAAATGAAAACAATGGTGTCATCTACTTGGAAACACGAACAAAATCACAGATTTGCTTTTGGATCCACACTTTCACTGGTAACCAGTGTGCCTTGCTGCATTGTCACGTGATTGTAAGACATTTCCTTCACATCGGTTTTAGGGAAGATGGCTGGGTCAGAGAGACTTAGTAGCATTGGGCTCTTAGCAGACAGGGTTAGGGGAGTTACCTGAAAAATTCTGAAACTCCCCAAACCGAAACCTCTGCAGGCCTTGGGCACCACGCTGAAATGCCTACGCTGATAGCGAATACTTAATTAAGTACATGCTGGGCTCTGTCTAAATCCTTGTAGGCACTGTGTTGGTGATAGGCACTGGGACTTTCAATAATGTCCACAAATCCCTCTGCTTATTAATAGTATACACTGACAAAGAATATCAACATTTTATGGCAACACTCACATGGAAATGTGAGGAAAATAAGTGAGAAAAACAATTCACAAGATGATCTACTTCATAAGAACCTATTTTTGTAAAATCATTGCAACCAAATGACAACATACATATGTGCAAATGTATCTATATGAAAATGGAACTGGGAAAGCATGTGTGGACGCCCCTCAGACTGTCCCTGTCCTCTCTGGTAGGTCAGCTAAGACAAAGGGGTCTTTCGGTTTAAGGCTATTTGAGTATTTTTACAACAAGAATGTACCAGTGTACTACTCATCTAATAATGTACATAAAATGTTTTAACTAATGAAAAACACCCCCCAAAAAAAGCAAGCCCCCAAATTGTGTATTCCTACAAAAGTGGAAATCTTTTAAATTTATAATCATGTAACATATTTTTGCACTTTAGTTACATACATATTTTTCTTTACCTCAGATGTAGGGAAAAGAAAGCAACTAAAACTATATTTAAAAATCATCAAGACTCTAGCAAGATGGAGGATTATGAAATAATGCTTGAGTGAACATATAAGCGCTTATGCTACAAAACATGTTTTTCTATAAAGGAGAAAATGCATCAGATTGCTATACATTTATTTAGGTGTCAGCTGTTAGAACCTGGGTATCACGTTAGCCATTCACCCAATTAATATGTATCAAGCACCTGCTGTGTGATCAGATAGTCAATTCCAAGCAACTCTCTTATTCTATGAGAGTCACTTGGAATTTTAGAGCTATAAATTAAGGGAGGGGTAAAGCCAAGGATTAACATTTCCTGATTAAAAAAAAAAGACATCAACAGAAAATGCTTTTCTGCATCATTCAGAATCTAGTATGCAGGTCTGCTAATGCTTTTTGCCTTTTATTGTAGTCATTTGTGTGGCTATCAGGCTGCCCTGATGGACTGTGACTTCCTTGAAGGAAAAACACGCATCTTGTGTCGGTGGCATGTGCATCATGGCTTGAGTCTGCAATAAACCAGGCCTATATTCCAGATTCAATCAGTCTACAAATGATTATCTAGCACCCACTATGAGTAAGACCCCTGGGATATGAGGTGAATGACAGGGTTTCCTTTCTAGTTGAGCATCAAGGGACACAAATCATGAAAACTGTAAACAAACTAGAGAATTTCAGATTCAAATAAACTATACAGGAAATAAACTGAACTAAGGATGGGCAGCTTGGCACTTTAGTGAGAGTGGCTGGGGAAAGCTCTTGCATGACGTGTAAGCTGGAAATTCAAAGATGAGAGAGAGGCAGTTCTGCAAACAGCGTGAGGAAAGTATTCCAAACAGAGGAAAATTAGTGCATTGAAAAGGCTCTAAAACCAGAAAGAACCTGGTCTGCTCTAGAAGCAGAAAGGAGAGACTGATGAGGTCAGTGGAAATCAAGTCCCTTGCAAGGTTTTGCATGGGTTTAAATAACAGAGTAGTTGAATCTAGTTGGCAATTTAAAAACAAAAGAGGGACTTCCGGCCAAGATGGAGGCATAGGTAGGCACACTGTGCCTCCTCACACAACCAAAAGATGGACAACAACAACTTAAAAACAAAAACAACCAGAACTGTATGGAAGTTGAACAACCAAGGAATTAAAGAAGACACATTCATCCAGACCGGTAGGAGGGGCAAAGACAGGCGGCCGGGCAGAGAGGACTCACAGCAAGGCACTGGCTGGAGGACTGGGGCAGACAATGCAGTGGCTGAGGCACTCAGCAAAGTGGTGGATTATGCAGCGGGTGGGCAAGGCTGCAGTTGGCTGGTAAAACAGCAGCAGGCGGAACTGGTGAGGCAGCGGATTACAGAGCTGGCAGTCCCACATTTGTGCACAGATAAACTGGGAGTTACAACTGGGGACCAGGATGGACTGCACAACCCAGGGTTCCGGGTGGAGAATAAAGCCTCAAACCACTGATTGAAAACACCTGCGGGGGTTGAGGCAGTGGGAGAAACTCCCAGCCTCAGGATAGTTTGTTGGAAAGACCCACAGGGTCCTAGAACATACACAGACTCACCCACAGGGGAATCAGCACCAGAAGGGCCCAATTTGCTTGTAGGAAGCAGGGGAAGTGACTGAAATCCAGCAGAGAGCAAAGCAAGTGCCATTGTTCCATCTTGAGCCCCTTCCCCACACACACGGTCACAAACCAACCACGCAGGTTACCCCACCCTGGTAAACACCTAAGGCTCCACCCCTTACTACATAACAGGTGTGTCAAACAACAACAAAAAAAAATATATATATATATATAGCCCAAACAAAAGAACAGATCAAAGCTCCAGAAAAAAAATACAACAAAGTGGTGTATAGATAGCTAACCTATCAGATGCACAGTTCAAAACACTGGTAATCAGGAAGCTCACAGAATTGGTCGAACTTGATCACAAATTAGATGAAAAAATGAAGGCAATGCTAAGTGAAATAAAGGAAAATGTACAGGGAACCAATATGGTGGGAAGGAAACTGGGACTCACATCAACAGTGTGACCAGAAGGAAGAAAGAAACATCCAATCAGAAAAGAAGGAAGAAACAAGAATTCAAAAACATGAGGAGAGGCTTAGGAACCTCCAGGACATCTTTAAACTTTCCAACATCCAAATTATAGGGGTACCGGAAGGAGAAGAGAAAGAGCAAGTGGAAAACTTATTTGAACAAATAATAAAACAGAACTTCCCCAATCTGGCAAAGGAAATAGACTTCCAGGAAATCCAGGAAGCTCAGAGAGTCCCAAAGCAGGTGGACCCAAGGAGGAACACACCAAGGCACATCATAATTACATTACCCAAGATTAAAATTAAGGAGAGAATCCTAGAAGAAGCAAGAGAAAAGGAGACAGTTACCTACAAAGCAGTTTCCATCAGACTGTCAGCTGATTTCTCGGAGATCTTACAGGTAAGAAGGGGCTGGAAAGAAGTATTCCAACTCATGAAATTCAAAGACTTCCATCCAAGATTGCTCTATCCAGCAAAGCTTTCATTTAAAATGGAAGGGCAGATAAAGTGCTTCTCAGAAAAGGTCAAGTTAAAGGAGTTCATCATCACCAAGCCCTTATTATGAAATGTTAAAGGGATTTATCTAAGAAAAATAAGATTAAAAATATGAACAGTAAAATGAGAGCAAACTCACAATCATGAACAACCACACCTAAAATAAAAACAAAAGCAAACTATAGAAACAACTAGAACAGGAACAGAACCACAGAAATGGAGATCACGTAGAGGGTTATCAACAGGGGAGAGGGAGGGGGAGGGGGAAAGAGGGGGAAAAGGTACAGAGAATAAGTAGCATAGATGGTAGGTAGAAAATAGAAAGGGGGAAGGTAAGAATAGTGTGAGAAATGTAGAAGCCAAAGAACTTATACGTGTGACACATGGACATGAACTAAAGGGGGTGAATGTGCATGGGAGGGCATGTGAAGGGTGGAGGGGAAAGGAAAAAAAAGAACTGACAAGTTCTTTAAATGTAAAACACTCACTGAATTTTGAAGACTTGCAATAAAAAATAATTAAAATCATTAATGATGTTTATATTTATTCCACATTGAAATAATACTGTAGATAGATTGAATTAAGTAAAATATATTCCTAAAGTTAATTTCGGCTATTTCATTTTTACTCTTTTGAATACGACTAATAGAAAATTTTAAATTACCTATATAGCTCCCATTGAAATTTTACTGGACAGTGCTGGTCTAGAAAAATAAAGCACTAACCCTGCTTATTCCTGGGGAGTGGGAGTGGGGAGAAGGCTTGATGAGGAGGACAGGGAATAAGGAGTTTCACCTTCGCCTAAAATCTACTGTGTTTTTCACAGAGCATTTAACTGAAAATTTAAAAAGCCAATAGTGGGAATCCAAGCAATGTTCGTAGTAGTTTAGATGGCAGTATTGTACCAATGCTAATGTCTCGGTTTTGACAAGTGTGCCCTGGTTATGCTAGCTGTTGACATCAGAGGAAACAAGGGAATCATTGCAAATTTCTGCAAATCTCGAATTATTTCAAAGTAAAATAGTAAAAAAAAAAAACCCAATAAAATAAACAAGCAACTTAACAAGGTGTGTGTTCTCTGCTTAAGAAGAGATTCTTACTCAGAGTCACAACACACTGCAGGCAGGTGGCTCCAACCCAGCTGCCCCTCCCAGGTCCCTCGTGGGCGCATTTGCTTGAAATGACGTAGCAAGGATGACTAAACATCACACTGTTTTGTTTCTATCTGAAATTCCACCCAATCAGATAACCCTTTTCTCCCAGGGTGACTAGAAACTATTTGGCTGCTGCTTGAATAGTAGGAATTTATATTGCAGTAGGAGGGTTGCTGGAGAGAACCAAGACAGTACAGCTTTTCTGAGAACTTCAATGAGGCCTGGGCTGGGCAGATTTGAAAGCCCCTCACACTGGATCCTCCCTCCAGCTCTCAGATTTAGCCAGTACTCCAATCAAGAGATTTTTGCTAAGATTTTGTGGCAAATTTGGGAATAAACAAATGAATTAAAATAGCTATAATATTAGTAAAACAAAACCTTGTGAAACAACCTGAACCTACAAATATATAGCTGTTATATTTTCCTTGAGTGTTTTATGAACAAGAATTAAATTCACCACACAATTGAGAAGTAACAGCAAGTAAAACTGTGGATAATAAAATTTAAAACATCTTAGATGTCTAGACATATGGATATTTCAGAGCCGACCAAATGAAAATGAACATTACATTGGCATGTAAAATATTCCCGTTTTAAATGAACTAGGGTTAAAATTAATGCAAAAGTAGAAATACAAAAAGGGGAAATTATAAAAGACAGCATATCAATTGATCGTGAAGCATGAAGCCAGTATGGACTGTAAGTTATAATAAAACATTTTCCAATGGTGACATCCACACAAAACAACTAATTAAAATAATATGCATATTTAAACAGGTGGCCCACCTCCACCACCACCACACATAAATAGTTTAAATGAAAATCTTTTAAAAATCTCATGCCCTGGCCAGTGGCTCAGGTAGTGGGAACGCTGTCCCACACACAAAAATATGTGGGTTCATTCCTGGTCAGGGCACATACGTAGGTTGTAGGTTTGATCCCCAGTTGGGGTGCATACAGAAGGCAACTGATCTATGTTTCTCTTTCACATCAATGTTTCTCTCTCTCTAAAAGCAATAAACATGCCTTGTCTAGTATGGCTTAGTGGACTGAGTGCCAGCCTGCGAATCAAACAGTCACCAGTTTGATTCCCAGTCAGGGCACATGCCTGGGTTGCCAGCCAGGTCCCTGCTTGGGGACAACCAGTCAATGTATCTCTCATACACTGATGTTTCCTCCCTCAATTTCTCCCTCCATTCCCCTCTCTCTGAAAAAAATAAAATAAAAATAAATAAATCAATAAACATATTCTCAGGTGAGGATTAAAAAAAAACAAACTTCACTGCTTCTTCTGGAAGAAGAGGGTCACACCAAAAGCAGAAGGAATTTGAACAAGCATTCAGAAAGAAATCACCACTATGAGGAACTGAGTCACTTGGAATGTCCTTTATAAATGTTGTCAATATAACTGAAAGTAAGACACAGAAGAGCTTGAAGGCTGAAAATAACAGTCCTGACTCATACTGCTCTTTGCACAGGTTTCTAGTTTAAAACAGTCAAAATCTGAGCCCTGCTTAAGCTCGAGAACCTTTCACTCAAATGGTCCCCCAGCTGCCCCACTCCTTTCCCCCTCTTTCCAACTGAGTCCCAGAAAACACTGATGGAAATCGTGAAAGTCACAGCTCTAGAGCATCTCTACTTATCTCCGGAAGGATTCACACTTTCTCAGTAGAAATCTGGAGACAAATTAATGTTCTTGTTTAATTTTTTTAAATTTAACTTTAAATGAGAATAAAATTAAAATTTAAGTGGGATTTAAAATAGGCACCTTGGGATGACCCAAAAACCAACTGCAGGCACACCTTGGAGATAATGTGGCTTCGGTCCCAGACCACCCACCATAAAGCAGCCGGAAATTTTTGTTGGTGAAGGGCCCTGCCTTTGCTTTGTGAAAAACTCACACGTGAAGGACAGTAAGGTAAATTACAATAAAACAAAGAACCACTTGGAATTTCTGTTTTGGAAATTTCAAATGGAGAAAAAGTAACAGACCAGGTAGGCACAGCAAGGCTTGCCCTGGCCTGGTAGCTCAGCTGGTCAGAGTGTCACTCAGTCAGGCCAAGGTTGCAGGTCCCACCCGCTGTCTGGACACAGACAAGAATCAACCCATGAATGCATAAATAAGTGGAACAACAAATTGATGTCTCTCTTTCTCAAATCAATACATTAAAAAAATAATAAGGCCTTACTTTTTGTCGGGGGCCGGCCAGCAACCGTCCCTTGACAAGGTCAGAACGGTTGAGATGCATCTGCAAGGCAGAGGCATCTGTGGCTGGATTTCCTGTCTATCTCTCATTACAAGTTTGTTTTGGTGATATAAAGGTGGTAGGATTGTTAGACACCTGTATTTCAGGTTCATTGATTCGCATAATTCCAATGAAGTTGTACAAAATAATTTCTTGACCAGAGAACAAAGTTCCTCTAATGAAATAGCGCCTGAATGTCTAAAAGTTGTTGGAGTAACAGCCCCTCCTTTACCGTGAACAGGAATATACATTAATTAGAATTTAGTAGGCAAAGATACAGGAGAAGCTTGTTAGATACTATAAACTAAGCACATAGATACAATTACCAAGGAGTTAGAGTCCATAGTACATAGAAAAACATTTTGGACAGAAAGATAGTTAAGTTAGACATCACAAAGGCTTATAATGAATTTCCTAATCTCTGCTCAGTCTAGCGTACCTTTTTGCCCCATGCCAAATTCTAAGACCTTTAATAAACAATAAGACATTCAAACTCTGTACATAGAGCTATTTCAAATTGTCTGATTAATGGTTCTCCTGGTCAAAACAACTTTTGTTTAACATAACTGAAACTATGGAAATTCTTGTAGTTTTCCTAGTTACCTCTATATTTGTTTTTTCTGCTTAACTGATCATGCTATGCACCTGTTCCTTTAATGTTATACAACACTCTCTATAAAAATAAAGCCTAAATCAAACTCTATGAGTTCAGTCAGTCCCACAGAGGCTGGCTGTTCTCCAGCAACTAGTCAGGTGTCTGACTCTTCATTCGCCTGCGCCATCCATCCTTCAAGGACCCTGAACCCTGCCGAGGCTGGACCCCAGCAACTTTTTCAGTCTTAAAAGATGAGGAGCTCCTCTTTTCATGGCCTGTGAGAGCTTCAGCAGAGCTCTGGGGAGGACAAAAAAAGCAAACGAACAAAATCTCTACGCACTGCTATGAACAAAACACATATTCAAACTAATTACACTTTTTAATAACATTTTCACTCGCCATTTCCAGGGCACTTGGAGCAGCTTTGCATTCGCTTTCTGCCACCTTCCGCAACCAAATAACTGATGGAGTGGGGTTCCTTTTCTTCAGGCCCCGGGTCCAGCCCCAGCTTGCAGCCACGCCCTCCCCCTGGCCCTGCTCTGTAAGTAAACCAGTCCTCCATTCCTTTCTATGAAGAGGAAGGCAGACAGAAAAACATGCTGTCACATTTACATCTAATCTTTTTATTACCAAAGAACCTGGAGATCATCAAACAATTACGGAAGCATGTGACAGAAAAAAGTGAAAGCTTGTCTCTTGACCATTTGCCCCTGTGGGGCAGCCATATCAACTTGGGTATGTTCTTCCAGATGTTTTAAAGTACAGAAGAAATTTGCAACCAACTATATATACTATTCGAGAACATTTTTCTTTTCCTTGGACATAACGATACAGCATTATCCCTGACAAGTAACATGAGCTTGGTCAGAGGAGGGGTTTTATCTGCTCCCTCACTGTTCTGCTCCTGGGACTAACCCAGTGCCTGACAGATCAGACCACCGTGAACATTCACAGCCCAAGTGGATGGAGCCGGGACTCCTGCCAGTCAGACTGGGAGCTCTGGGGGTTGGGGACGCGTCTGTTCGGTCTGTCTCTCTGGTCTCGGCATCAGAGACCTGGCACAGAGTAAGTATTAATAAACTTTTGTTCAATTAGCAAAACAGCTCAGTGATGAAGACCACCTAGTTCTGCCTGCACCCGTGTGCTCATGGATCACACTGATCAGCTAACTACTCCCCTGTTGAGGGAAGAGGTCTCTCGCAAACGTCTTTGCCATGGTAAGTCGTGTGCACACACACTTGTCTGCAGGTTTTGTAGGGTGAGCACCTCCTTCGGAGGGGCCACTGAGCTGCTCCAGTGTGTGCTGAAGTCCCTTCCCTCCACAACTTCATAACTTCATAACATTCACGATTAACTTTTCAACCTGTGTGAGAGCCACTGCCTGGGACTTTGCAAAAATGATCTCCTTCCCGTAGCTCCCTAGAAAAAGCCGCTGCATTTTCCCCAAACTGCCTAGATGCAACCAGAACAGAAAATTCATACAAGAGTTCAGACTGACACTTTGCCTGCATAAGAGCACAGGTGGAGTTTGCGGGTATTCGTGAGTTCTCCAAGAAGTGAGGTCACAGAGCTGTGTCTGTGAACTTCTATGACGTGTGAGAGCAGTGACAGGCACTGGGGAGACAATAAGTAAGGCAGACCTAGTGTCCACAATCCTGGGATGGAAGCTTGGGGACCACTGTCTTTCCACCAAGGGGCTTAGCACTGATAAGTCCGGACTGCTGGAGCCCTTTGCCTTCTTTCCACCAAGAAACAGACACTGCTTCTTCTTCTGTGAACAATACAGCTCCAGTTCCCCCCGTGAATGGAGAAGTTGGTCAGAGACATTTCCCTTTGCATGCACCCCGAGCAGAACTTGACAACATACACCGAGCACGCTTCCCTTTTCCCCAGGTGCTCCTGCCCCAACACCGGCTCGCTGGGCTGTCTCCTTGACTGGGGCAGGAGAGCTGTGCAGGGGCAGCTGCTGCTGGAGCCTTCACTCAAAGCAGCACAAACCCTGAGTCTCAAGGGAGACCTTCAAGACCACCTAGTCCTGCTCCAGTAGGTTCTTAACCTTCTATGAGTCACCATGCTCCTTGAAAATCAGTGGCCCTTAGACTTTCTGGACCAAACAGACACGCACACATCCCAGCACACAACTTTCCCTACAGTTTCAGGAGCTTCCTGGACACATCCTGGGACTGAAATCCCTGGAACTCTAGGACCCCACAGTAAGCATTCCCACTTCACACAGAAGCTCACGTGAGTTCTGATGCCCCAGTGAGCAGTCTCCGGGCTGAGTAGCCTTGTTGGCGGGAGGCAGAGGCAATGCTGTGACAGGCTTGAGTATTGCGCAGGTCCGGGCCCAGTCCTCGGTGAGCTCACTGTCTTGGACAATGGAAGAGGGTGCTCGGTAGCCGTGGCAGGCACTGAACGCCACTCAGCTGACACACTTCAGAGTTTCCAGAGAGGACAACCCAAGCCCCAACCCAGACGTTGTCAGGATGGCTACCGACAGCTGACGTAGCTGTGGTACTCTGATGGGTCTTCTATCTCGTAGACGTTCTCCTCGATCGTATAGATGTTTTCCTTTGAGCGCATCCCCTCTGCTACTGTGTTTTCTAACCCTAAGGGAGGGAGGTTGGCCAACGTGACGAGCCTGTGGAAATAAAATGTTGCGGTTGAGGGAGGCATTTCCCGGGCATCATAGAATAACAAGAACAGGCTTTGCTGAAGAGACAATGACCCAACACAGTACATGATGCTCTATTGGGTCGTGAGTGGGGGCAGGGGGAGGAGAAACCATAAAATAAAATAATTTGATGAATATGAAGATAATTTGAAGTAATCTTAATTGTCTTCAGTATAGACAAATGGTATTGTGTGATCTAAGAGAATACTCTTATTCTTAGGAGGTATGGACTAAAATTTTGGTGAACTATCAAGATGTCTGAAACATCCTTAAAATGGTTCAGAAGCAAATTGCATATATTAATAAAGAGACAGATAAAGCAAACATCAAAATTTTCACACGTTTATGTAAAAGATTTATTGATCCTTGCACTATTATTCCCATTAATCTGTGGACAGAACAATTTCAAAAATCAAAAACAAAATGAATATGGTGGGTATCTAATCAGATTTGAGTTTGAATTCTGTCATGTCAGTTACCAGCCACATAACCATGGGAAAGCTGGATTTTTCTTTTTCATTCATTTACTCAAGAAATATTTAGTGTGTTACACACTGCTCTGGGCAGCAAGAGATACAGCAGCAAATAAAACACACAAATCCCATGAAGCCTTCATATTAGTAAACTTTGCGTCTCAGGGTCCTCATCTGCAAAATGGGAATAATTAGCACTCCACCTCACCAGGCTGCTGTAAGGAGCATTCAGGAATCAAATATTTGATAAATATCAGCCTGCTAAATATCAGTCACTGTGCTGGGGGATCCAGTTGTTAATGTGGCAGACAAGTTCCTCCTTTTCTATGCAGTTTGCCTTTATAGGTAGAGATGAACATTGACCAAATTATGCCACAAATAATGATTTAATGCATATCACCGATATTTATGAATGTTATCACACTTCGGGTTTCAGCCCTAAGAAAGAATAGTGACACAGATCATTTAAAACTACTGATAATGAAATACTTTACTTGACCTTTTAGCCTTCTTTACTGCAGACTATTTTGTCTTCATGAATATATTGTCTCTACTTAGTTTAAAATTACCAGTGGTTTAGATAGCACCCAGTAGACAGAGTCATTTTTTTTCTTGAAATAGACCACGTTGAACCCACATACCAGATGTCACTGAAATCTAGTCAAAGGTAAGTGAGCTGCATGCATTTGGAACTGGGGTGTCTGCATGTGTGTGTACGAATAGGTGTGAATATAGTCAGGAATGGAGACTAAGACTGCAATGTAATGAACCCTGTTTGCACATCTGAATCACTTGAAAAGCTTTGAGAAAAATACCTGTGCTTAGGCCTCATCCCTAAAGATTCTGCAGTATTTTCTCTGGGGTTGACAACACATCGTGTAAGTGCCATAAGGGATTCCAGGAGGTTATCTGAGTTAAGGACACCTGGACGGGGCTACAACAGCCCTGAGAGAGGATTCTGGGTTTCTCGTTCACTTCTGCAACCCAGTGCCTACCCAAAGCCTGGATACAGTAAATGCTCAACCAGTTGAAGGGTCAATTCATGGAAATAATCTGTTGAAATAGAAATAAGTATTTCCTATCAATGCGGAGATAATTCTGTTCCTTAACTTTAGGACTAAAGAAGCTACAATGATCAGAACGTACACAAACCAGTATGTTTGCATTTCATAAATTCAGGCCTAAAGCAAAAGGCAATTATAAGATTAGATCCCCAAGTCCCAGGGCAGGACTTCTGAGAGCAAGATCAAAGCTGTATTAGTGTAGTGACCACCAAGATTCCTGCTTCCCCCTGCCTCGCCCCTTATTCTTACCTTGAATTCTGTAACTTCTGTTTCCTATGAAAATACCCTAGGTAAAAAAGGGAAGGAAAGTTTATTAAAATTGCTTTCATAAATAAATAAAATGGACCCACTAAAGGCAAGGATTGTTTAAAGAAATTTGATTTCTCCTTTGATTGAACTAAATCAAATTAGTACTGTGTGTCTTTGTTTATTACATGAACTATGCTAGAAAATGATAAAAATGCATTTTCCATATTTAACAAATAGCTGGAGCAACTACTATGCATCTGGCATTATGCTGGGCATCAAGGACACAAAGGTAAATGATGAGCCCTGACTTTATGAAACTTGTATTCCAGTGAGGATGTATTTAAAACAATAATAACTATAATAATAATATGTCATTGTGCTATAAGGGAAATCAACAATGCATTGGAACTGACCCTAGAGAGGGTGCTCTGGAAAGCATGCTCAGAAAGAGGACCTTTAACATCAGCTCTGAGAGAACTCCGCCACGTGAAGAGCCAGCTGGCTCATTCTAGGCAGAGAAAACCCTTGATAAAGGTCACAGTGAGTGCCTGAAACCAAACGCATGGCTGGAATGAGAGGGCGACTCAAGATAAGGTCTGAGAGGTAGGCTAGAGCTAGATCCTAGAGAACCTTTTACATCACAATCAAGGGTTTACATTTTTATACTGAGACCTGTAAGAAATAACAGAGGATGCAAATAAGATGTGGTTGGGTTCAAGAAGATCTCGCAAGCTGCTGTGTGGAAGGTGGACTGAAAGGAGGTAGAAAGAAGTGAGGAGGCAATGACAGTCCATCAGAAGGTGGTGACCAAGAGAGACAGAGAGTAATGAATAGATTTTAGATATATTTTGGAGAATAGCTGTAGGAATTGAACTTGGATTATGTGTTAGGAGTGAGGAAAGAGGATTCAAGGATGGCTTCTGGCTTTCTGGCCTTCAAAACCAGTTAAAAGGCAATGTAACAAGGCAATGGGAGGGTCAGGGAGGGAGAGGTTGCATGCTGGGAAGGTGCAATACAGCCTGTTGAGTTCCAAAGGACATGTTAGATGTGTGAGACATCTACGTGGAACTATCAACTGGACAGACTCTCTGAGAATTGGAGAGACATACTAAGGACAACATTTAAGTCTATGGACATTTGAGTCTATAGGCCATCACACAGAGGTGTAGAGAGAGGGAGATGGCCAGGGCTGAGGGATCTCAACACCTAGAAGTCAAGCAGAAGACGAAGTCTAAATGAATGAGAAGAAATGGTCAATGAAGTAGGAGAGCAGTGTTCAGAAGCCAAGAAAAAAAAGACTTTCAATGATGAGTGAGAGTCAACTTAAATATTGCTGCTTTGGCTCACTTGGAAGTCAGAGAAAAAGATGGCCTTGGACACAGGTGCAGGGAGTTAGCCTGGGACAAAGAAGCCACTTCCCACTGTTCCCCTCATTGCAAGTCTTCTGGGGTCCCTTAAAGTTTAGAATATGCACATCTGAGAGGGAAGTAAGGTGTGGACGTGCTCCCAAGAGAGAGCCTGCCTTATTTACTCTTTTTTCAAAAAATTATTTACTTGATTTGAGAGTAAGGGGAAAGGAGGGAGAAAGGGAGGAAGAGAAACATCAATGTGTGGTTGCCTCTCATGCCCCCCCCCCCGGGTACCCGCCCCACAACCCAGGCATGTGCCCTGACTGGGAATCAAACTGGCAACTCTTTGTTTCATAGGCCAGCACTCAATCCACTGAACCACACCAGCCATGGCTCTTTATTCTTGTACTATATACTTTTCCATAGTAAAAACTGTAAACCTTCTTTTGTCCAGCCCTGTATGTGTGTGTGTGTGTATGAAAACAAAACATCAGACTTCCTACTCCTCATTACCCTCCTTTCACCCCCTTGTACACATACTAGAATGGTCCCTAATATTCAGGCCTTGGAAGAGCTCAGAAAGGTAGTGAGTGTTATCATTGCCCCTTATTAACCCACAGACTTCATATATATGGGGTCCACTCACAAACCCAGAGAGTGATACCTTTGGTAAACCCTGGTAAGTGTGTAGGTGGAATAGTTTCTTTTTCCACACAATCCATTTGGCAATAATGGCAGAATAACATAATAATAGTAAGGGGCAGGAGAGCCTTGGTTTCAAATCCTCTGCCTAGCACACCTGTGTGACTTTGGGCATGTTGCTTTACTTTTCAGCACACTGGTTCTGCACTTGATAAATTAGAATAATATTAGTGCCTTTCTCCATAGAGTAGTTGCAAAGATTTAATGTACATAAAGTACTTGACAGCTTCTAACCACACAGTTAGGGAGACCAGTTCATCCCGGCTTTCCCTGGACCATCTGGTTTCAGCAATGCAGTCCTACACCTTAGGAACTCCCTTCAGTCCTGGGTGGATCTGGGGCGGTTGGTCACCCCACGTACAGTCCGTGTTTGTACATCAGTAAGAAAGGCTGCTGTAATGCCTGAGTCCTGGGGTATACGGCCTTGGCCTCTGCTGTCTAAGAGAAGAGGCTATACCACAATTTAAAAAGTTCATGAGGCCTTTGGGCTCTTGGAAGTGTTTGGGCCTTAACATGGTCATAGTTTCCTATGTAATTATCCACTAAAATTCACCAAGTTGAATATACTTCAAATAAGAGGTTTATTGTATATAAATCATCCTTTACTAACACTGTAAAAATAAAGACAAGTAGCTTAGAGTAAAATGCGTGTGCTAAGTGTGTGATGGAGGAAAAGACTAATGCTGCAGTCCTGGCCACACCAATATTCAAGGACTTGATACCTCAACTCTAAAGCTCCGTGCCTGGGAAACAAAGAAGATAGGAAAATTCACAGAAGGAAAGGATTTTCATTGTTGGGCTTCCTAATAAACCTAGACACGTCCACGAATTAAAAAGGTTCATTTTCTTAACAAAAGATAAGAGAACAGGTCCTGGAATCAGCCTGCCTGAATTGGAATTCCAGCTCCACCACTTACTGATTCTGAAACCTTGGGAAAGCGGGTTCCTTTCTCTGAGCTCTACTCTCCTCTACTGTAAAATGAGGATAATAATCCTACCTTATAAGACAGTGACAGGGATAAAATCTATGTAAAACATTTAGTACAATGCTTGCTTGTTTCATGGTAACCACTGAATAAAAATCAGCTATTATTATTATTGCTAGGATTTGAAAAGACTAGAGTTTTAGTCTAACCAGATTTAGCTATAATCATAAACTTATATTTCTATCTAGGTTTAGTTGGCTCCTATATTAGCAGTTTCTTATCAGAGGGAGAGACATACAATATCAATTGACTTACATTTGAGAATTAAAGCACCAAAGATAAGAACCAGAGCCAGCCCAGCAGAAATCCCTGCTCCAATGTACATGCTTATTCTGGTGGTCACGCCAGAGTCTTGTAACTCATTAGCTGATGTGGAAATTTGCTGTAGAAACACAAACAGAATTGTAGCATCTGGCCAGAAATTGGTTGTATGCTCAGCCACATCCTGGCTTGTGCATTGGAGCATCCTTTTTACAGCCTCATGGGAGTATAGGGACCTGAAAACCACCCCGATCTGTTCCCTTCTAGACAAGCCTCAAAACACCTGGAGAAAGGGAGCAGCGTAACCTTTGGAGTTCACAAGAGAACAAAATGTGCCCTTCTGTGCTGTGGGTAAAGGAGGAGCTCTTAGTAAATGGACTTCCCTCTTCCAGAAACAAAACTGGGCTTTAGAAAAATAACTAAATAAAAATTTTTTTAAAAAAGGGCTTTAGAGTGGAATCTTCATTCAAGATCCCCTGGTGTTCCAGAAAGTTTCAGAGTAGTTGGAGTTTGGTGTCTTGAAGTGACACCTCTCACAGAAAGACAGTGACTTAAAAGCCAGAGCTTTGCAGCCAGACAGTCTCGGTTTCAAACCCAAGCTCTATCACCAAGAGCTGAGTTGTCTTGTAGAGTTATTGGGAAAATGAAGTCACAAAAATATAAAATACTTGGCACAGACCCTGATATTGACTACATGATAAATGTCTAATTAATAACAGCTATTGCCATTGCTGCCATTTTTCTGATTTTTTTTTTTTTGATAACTGAAGGTCACACAGAAAAATCCTCTCCTAAAATTCCAGTCAATGTTCCCTCTTTAAAACCAACAATAGTCAACACTTTTAAAACAAAGAAGTAAAGAGAATAAGCCTCCTATCTGTTCAATAAACATTTACTGCAGGAGTGCCCGTGCAGGGTGTGTGAGGAGGGACTTAGGAGGCGGTGCTGATCATGAAGAGTGGAGAACACATACAAAACGCTGAGCCTCGGTGGTGATCCCTCGAGCAGCAGGCTGAGTCAGATGGATGATGACCCCTGGATAAGTTCCCAAAGCATCTTTAAGTCATTGGTGTAAGTATGTTTTCTAGAGGTTTTCCCTTTTACTCTAAGAAGGTGGTAGACACCAGAAGCGTCATTAATTATAACATTGCCTTATTTATAGTTAGATATATAAATTCTTGTCTTAGAATGACCCTGACTGGTATCTTGTCATACATAAATAAATAAGTTTAAACAAAAAATAATAATCTTTTTCAATTGGATTACAATGGAAGGAAGAAAAAAAACATTTTGGGGGAGCTGGAGGGTCTCCAGATTCTCCACAGTGGTACGCAGCTGTGAACTTTGTGAAGAAGGACAAAATGCTAATGCTTCTTGTTTTTTGTTTTCCAGCACTTACCATGTGCCAGGCACTTCACATGCCTCCCTGTACTCCATGCTGACACCAGGCCTATGTGACAGCAGCTAGAACTGCTATCGTCAACATGTTACAGTCAAGGAATATGAAACTAAGGAGGATAAAGGTGGTTTTCCCCGAGGGAAGAGTGGTCAGGAAGGAAGGCTGAAGTCATGCTCTATTTTCTCTGGGTGCAACACAACGCTTGTTTACACACACGCAAATAGTTACTTACTGTTTGATTTTTATCATCGAGGGTCTCCAGTGTCTGTGCTTCTGCTACAGAGAAGAAGAATAAAGGTTAAAAATGTTTTTCTTTTTAAAAAAATTTTTTAATTTATTTATCTTTAGAGGGGAAGGAGAGAGGGAGAGAAACATCAATGTATGGTTGCCTTTTGTGCGTCCCCTGCTGGGAACTGGCCTGCAGGGAACTGGTCTGCAACCAAGGCATGTGCCCTGATAGGGAATCAAACCACAATCCTCTTGTTCACAGGCCTGTGCTCAATCCACTGAGCTACACCAGCCAGGGCTAAAAGTGTTTTTCTTTTATCTGAGTTTTTAAAAGTCTTAAAGATGCCTAACAATCCTGTCTGGAATTTATTCCACTCCACACTTCACAGCAATGAATTGGGAGACCAGAACACTTTACTAAACACTTAGGAATCAACTTTAGATTTTTTTCATCCAGGTAATGAACCCAGTGCTACACATGTTCTATGAAGTGGAAATTTCGGCCAGGAAGACCGATGTTGAGTATGTAGTGTTTGTTGTGTCCACAGGCCCTCACGGGGTCTGTGAAATTCCAGCAACACTGATAATACTCCGGCAGGCATTGTATTATAATTAGACTTCAACAGATAACAGGAGTTAATTTTCTCGAAAAAATTTGGCATTTTCTCAGAGGGAGACAGGGTATTTGCTTGCCTAAAAATGGAAATAAAAACAACTATAGCTACGATCTACTAGGAGCAGGCATCATGCTAAACTCTTGAAATATCTCATTTGGCATTCAAAACAACTGTCCGAAGGAGGGACAATTAGCTCCGCTACAGGTGAAGAGGCCAAGAATCAGGAAATGACTTAAGCAGATCACACAGCTTAGGGAAGGGCAGAAATGGCCTTCCGATTTCAGTCTGCAAGCCTTCAGCACTCCTTTAAAAAAAAATTAAGTATAGTTGGTATACAATATTATATTAATTTCCGGTGTATAATACAGTGATTCAACATTTACATACCTTACAATGTAATCACCACAATAAGTCTAGTGATCATTCATCACGGTGGAATTTATCACAGTATTATTGACTATATTCCCATTCGCCTTCTTAACCTTCTCCTTCTCCTGGCTACCATTAGTTTGATCTTGGTTACCATGAGTCTATTTTTGTTTTGTTTGTTCATTTGTTTTGGTTTTTTTAGATTCTTCATACAAGTAAAACCATAAGGTAATTGTCTTTCTCTGCCTGAATTATTTCACTTAGCATAACACCATTTAGGTCCAACCACGGATGTTGCAAATGGCAAGATTTCATTCTTTTTTGTGACTGAGCAATATTCCATTGTGTGTGTGTGTGTGTGTGTGTGTCTTCTTTATCCACTCATCTCTCAATAGACAAGTTGCTTGTCCAGGCTTGTCTAGGAAGCCTAGGTTGCTTCCACATCTAGGCTATTGTAAATATAAGCATACCCTAAACTCTGCCGCCTTCGACAACCTTCACATTGGCATTGTCACTACCATTAAGTGCATCACATTACCCAGCTGCCAGCTCACCTTCTTCCCTTTCTGTTATTCGTCTGCCTACCGATTCGATGAACATGTACTACACATCTTCTCTGTCAGGCCCAGTGGACAGAGCAATGGACAAGAGGGCACAGGCCTGCTTGACCTCGTAGATACGGCTTTGGGACAACACAATGAGTAGAGTGTGCCTATTCCTTCTTTGGACTCAGAGGCTCTGAAACTTCCTAAGTACCATTGTCACTTTCTGGAGGCCTAAAAGCCTAAACCCTTTAACACAGAACCCCTGGCTTAACAGACTACGATTTTAATGTCATATGAGCATAGTCTCAGCCTAAAGTTGTTTCTCTAAAAAACAGAAAGGAAAAAGATTACCTTCTAGTCACCTTTGTTTTTATTTCCCAAAAGGCACTTAAAGTCTAAAAACCACATTGGTGGAACTGCTGAGCAAACACGCATCTTAACCACACATGATACTTTCTCCCGTAAACCCAGTGTCTGCTTCCTATATTTATTTGGCCTAAAACTATCTGACTTCTCTCTCTCCTTTTTTACTTTATTTTACAGTGAAAATGATCAATAAACTAGAGCCTTTTTAGGCCATCATGGTTTATTTTCACATAGATGCTTGTCAACCAAGATGGTGGAACAGTTGGAAGAAGTTACAATGTTTCTCCCAGGAAAACCAAGACTTGGCTCTGGTGGAGGCAGCAGTGGGGGTGGGATGCAATGGCGTTTGTTTGTTTGTTTTTAGAGAGAGGGCAAGGGAAGGAGAAAGAGAGGGAGAGAAACATCGATGTGTGAGAGATATCCATTGCCTCTCGCATGTCTCCAACTGCGGACCTGGTCTGCAACTGAGGCATGTACTCTGAGTGGGAATCGAACCAGCAACCTTTCAGTTTGCAGGCCAGTGCTCATTCCACTGAGCCACACCAGCCAGGGCCCAATGGTCTTAAAACAATGTAAATTTAATAGTTACCACCTCGTATGTATTATGTGCCAGATACGGTGCTTAGCACCTTACATGCAAAATTTCTTTTAGTCTTCACCACAACAGGTAGGCACTATTCTTTTCTTATTTTTCAGATGGAAAATCTGAGTCTCAGAAAGGCACTTTGCCCCGAGCACGCAACTATCAATTGGCAAACCTGAGATTCAGAGTCCTCCAGAGTGGAGGACTTACCCATGACCCAGTCCTACCTCCTTCAGGTGGAAGAGAGGTTGCATTTATTTTGTATTCAAGGTAGATTCAGAAGCTTCTGGGATCCTTGGAACCCTCATTAAGGCTCTATTCCACTTTGCAGCAAACATATTAAATGCATCCACATTCTACATTAAGAAGAGGTACATATGACTACATATGAGTTGACTTGAGGGTAACTGTCATAATGTTACCTATTATAGCTATGCGATTTAATAACATTAATTTGTAATTTTCATGTATTTTCCTATTTTTGAGTACACTTCCTTTTTTTGTTTGTTTAAATATGTTGGGGGTGTTTGAAAAGCTGAGATTAGAGATATTATGCCTGTGTTCCCTGGTGCAAGAAATGGTCCCATATTTTTTTTTCCCTAGAAGTAGGGAACAAACAAGGAAGAACTGAAAAGAAGGTGACTTCTGTTTATGGTACAGACAACTCTAAGGAAATGCACTGCCCCTTGAGAAAGTGAACTCCCTGTTCAGGAATGCATGTGGGCATAGAGTGAGTGCCTACTTGGTAGTACTATGATAAAGAAAACTGGAGCACAGGATGGAACAGTGGGCTGAAATGACCCCTGAAGCCCCTTCTAGGTCTGTGGCTACAGGGTTTTTAAAATATCATAATAGTGCCCTGGCTAGGTAGCTCAGTTGGTCCGAGTACCGTCTAGATACCGCCAAGGTTGTGGGTTCCATCCCTGGTGACAGCATATACAAGAATCAACCAATGAATGCATAAATAAGTGAAACAACAAATCAGTGTTTCTCTCTCTCTCTCTAAATCAATAAAAATAAAAATATAATAACAGCATACAATAAATATCTGATATTACTTGATTAGCTCACAACATAGATGATCATCTATCTGTTCCCACCATATTTCATCTTCTTACTAATTGTATACATGATGGTGGCTAACAATCACTAAAGAACCAACAAAGATCAAACCTTTAGAGAGCTGCAGTTAACATCGATACTAATAACTAATTGTGAAGGCTTTCTGTAGGCCAGGTACTATGCTGCACTTTACATACATCATCACATTCGATCTTTATAACAGTCCTATGAAGCAGGCACTGGAGAGGTGGGGAAATTGGGCCTTCCAGAGTTTGAGCAACTTCACTGAGTTCATAAATCTAGCATGAAGAAAAGACATTAGAACCCATTCTACCAGCCACTGCAGCCCTTACCCACAATCTCAGTCTACCTCTGGTGTTTACTGATAACGTCAACAAACTAACACGTATTGAGTATGCTATGATCAGAAGCTGGGCCAAGCACTTTAATCACATTTCTTATTTAAATCTCATGAAGTACAGTTCATGACATTTATGAGATTAGGAAATGGGATTTACCTATGTTTGACTTTGCTTGACGGGATGAAAATGGAGCTCCACAGATTTCCTGAGAGACTGGGTCTCTGGGAAAGTGTTTAAAGTTAACCTTCCCCATCAATGTGACCTGAAGTCTGCCGTTCTGATCCTATCTTCTCTACCAGAGCAGCATGTAAAGGTCCTTTCTTAATTACTTAGAGAATTCGAAGGATGCTGGGCTTTATTCCAGTTAGAATAAAGGACATCACCTAATCCAATCCCAAACATGGCCTGGGGCCAAGTCAAGGCAAAACATCACCAAGCTAGGAATCACAAAATAATAGTGCAATGTAAAGAGTCTTTCGTTACACTAAATTTACTTAATTTAAAAGTAATGGCAATGTTAGACAAAAATTTTGCTTTCCTTACTTGGCAAAATATGTAGATCAAAATTCTTTTAGGTGGGAGTCAGGAATTTTAATGGGTCATTAAATCCAAAATTTTCCAGGCAGAAGAGAAAGCTGAGATCCAAAGAAGTGAAACGCATTGGACCCAGGCCAAGTCTGGCTCACCTAATCCACAGATCCTAGCCTGGGCTCATTTTTCCCAGCACAGGTTTATCTCCATCATCTCCCTCACCTGAAACACTACCTGTGTGTACAAAAACATTTGCACGCACCTCCACTCTTAAACTGTTTCCTTATTTTTCCCCATATTCAAAATCCTCTGAACTCAGATACCACCCAAAGGCTTCCTTCTAGGCCCCAGACATAATCACCTGAGCTGTGTCCCTCGGTGGTGGGCATCCTTGGAAAGGCTGTGGTGATGTCTCTCCACCGGGTCCAGGCAGGGGTGACCTCGGCTAAAGTGAGAAAGCAATGCAAGGATGAGGCTTCTCTGAGAGTGGGAAGCTCGTGTCAGGACTCAAAGGGGCAGCAGACAAAACAAGAAACACACAAATAAAGAGGAACACATGCTCAACTCTCAAACCTGGACACCTTCCTTGAGAGGATGTCGCATATCTAAAATGTTCGTCGTGCACCTGAAGAGCTGTGTTACCGTCATCATTGTCACAGTCTAATTGTTAAGAACAGAACCAATAGCCACACAAACAGCCACACTGATGCTCTTCATAAAACATCTCCTAAAACATTCCAGTGGCCTGTATGGTAGGGATTATCATATTTCACAGAGGAGAAAGTCACAGAGTCTAAGTAACTTATCCCAGGATCACACAGCTAGGAAGAGGCCCAGCTGGAGCAGAACTCAGCTTCAGCAGCCACGAAGCACATGCTCTGTAAACCCCAAGCCTCCAAGCACACGCACCTCCCCGCACACGCACAGCTCAGAGGGGCTCAATCCTGGCTGCACTGGGGGGAGAACCACCCAGGGAAGACTTTGAAAAATCCCAGGGTTTAGGTTCTACCTCCAGAGACACTGCTTTCTCTGGCTTGTGGGTGGGGCTCAAGCATCCTTAGGTGTTAAAAGCTGCGCAGGTAAATCAAGTGGGCAGTTAGGCTCCCAACCCCTGATCTGGGCCTTTCCTCCCACTTTATAGATCCCATCCATGAGCTGCAATACAGACAGAGGAATTACACATGGCTGGGCATTGCTGAAGGGCCTGTAGGTCTCAGGGGGTCACCACCATGGCTGTAACTGGGGAGGCCAGAAGTGAGACCGATCAGTATGTTTAACATAATCTACAGATGAATTTCATTCATAAAGAAAGCACACAAAAGTCCACTCACCTTGTTTGATGTCCAACTGCAGGTCTAATTTTTTATCATTCATTGGGCCTATAAATTGGATGCGGCAGCAGTAGGTCCCACTGTCAGCTAAAGTCACATTCTCTATGGTCAAGGACACGTCTCCATTTTGTAAATACCCCTTTAGCTGATATCTGCTGGATATGCTATAAGTCACGTGCCTTCCATCAGTGTGGAGCACTTCACCCTGACACTGAAACATAGGACAGGGTCCTCTGCCCCAGCACACAGGCACGAGGTCCTCAGGGGTGGATGGAGAGTAGTTGCAGGGTAGGAAAGCATTCTGGCCCACTTTGGCTGTGCGTGATCCTTCCAAAGATCCTGAAGAAAGAGAAAAGAAGAGCAAGATGCAGGCAATTGTTGTAGACCACTCTGCCTGGTTCTAGGAATTGTATCTCGATCCCTTGTGGCTAAGGGCAAGGGACAACCTTTGGAGTGCCAGACACAGGAGACAAAGCTTGTCTCTGGTAGCAAACGCTGCCTCAATTCCTCTCCCCACCTCCAAAGCTTGGTTGGAAGTCAATGACGGGTAAGACCCCTCACAGCGGGGGGCAATATAAGCCAGACTCGATCACTTGGGAGGCCTTCATAGAAGGACTCAGGGGGCTGCAGCAAAGAGCAATGGACTCTCACCCCCTGGCTTTGACATAGCCAGAGTCCTCATATTCTCTGGGAAAAGCCCTTCCTGGCTCTAATCCCCTTAAGCCTGAATACATGATGGGGAGTGGTTCAGCTCCTTGCCTTGCTAGAGCGTGTCCTGGGGAAAAATCTGGCATAAACCTGTGAAATCTGCTCTGCTAAGAATGCTTTCATTCATATGTTAAGGGTTCAAGCAGAAAACCCTAAAACTCTGTTCCTGACAGACTCTGACTCATACTAAGCCCTCAGATTTCTTTGAAATATTATCTACTGTTTGATCCTTGCTGCCCTGTATTCCTGTGTATTACAACCCAATAAAAGGCCCTAGAGGAGGGGGCTCAAGGCCTTTTCCTCCTTGGAGAAACTGGCCGCTGCTGGCCTTTTTCCCTTGTGAAACTGGCCACTGCTCACTTCTCTTTCCTAAGCAGATCATGTCATGTCTCAGTCATATTCACTTTCATCCGTGGCACTCGGGGGGAACTTGTGAGGAAAGTCGCCCCCGCAGGCAATGAATGAATTGGTCCACTACAGGTAAAGTGCAAGTAATGCCTCGTATTCATAGAATAAAGAAGAAACCACTGCTGCTACCCTACTTGAAGGAAGAGCCACTGAGACAGTGCCTCTCAGATTTGAGGGGCATCGGAATCACTGGGAAGTCTGGTTAAAATAGAGATGCCCGGGCTCAGTTCCTAGAATTACTGATTTCATAGTCCTGGGGTGGGGCATGAAATTTGGTGCATCTAACAAGTTCCCCAGAATTGCTGACATGGCTGCTCTTAGAACCTCACTTTGAAGACCAGTGCTCTAGGAGAGAACTGTGGCCCAGGCCTGTGAACCCTGGAGGGCAGGGCTGATGGAAAGAGATAGTCATTGTTGGCCAGGAAAACAGCTCACCCATTCGGGCTAGTTGTCAGTTCATCAACAAAGGCACTTACCCTATCACAGTTCTCTCTTCTCTCTCTTTCTTTAAGCACCAGGCACATAATGAATAAAAACCCTTGCTTGAGTAAGAAACTAACGTATAGCTGTTTTAGGCTTAAAATTAATTGCCTTTAAAAAATATAAACACACATTGTAAGATGGTCAAACAACATTAAAAGGTATATGAAAAGGGCAGACTCCCTCTGCTCTTTCCCATTCCCCGGCCCCCTTTCCAGAGTCTCTACATTAAGAGGCATCCTTGTATTCCCACACCCTGCAACACACACACACAAATAGATGGCTACTACATGTACTATTCTGCTCCTTGCTTTTTTCAATTAACATTATGAATTAGATACATTTCATGCCATTATGTTTAGTCAGTTTCACTGTTTACAGCATGGATATTTCACAATTTATTTATTTTTCCACTCCCCTGTACCCAGATATTTAGATTGCTTCCAAACTTTCACACCTGCGAATATTACGACAGCCATCCTTGTATCTTTATCCTGCACCACACCCCATCGGGAAGGTCCATGCCCAGACTTACTTGTAAGCAGTAGTAGCCACAGAAGGACACAGTCAAAGGGAAGATGTGAAAACATGAGTTCTGCAGAAGAAAAGTCCAGGAATGGCTCTGTCGATGTGCCGTTGTAACTCTCCAGCTGAACTGGATACTTCCTTCACCTGGTCTCTACTCCACAATCACGAGAGGGGCGGCCACTGCCCTGAGGACTAGCCCAGCAAACCAGTACGTCAGCCTACTGATCACTCCTCTATTAATGTGGCTGAGTGTACGGTCACATCAAAGGAAACTCCAGTTCTCTGCTACACCATACCACACACATCCTGTGGGGGCTCTGATATTTATTCTGTTAGTGCCAACAAAGAGGAAGCGACACCCAGAGTCAAAAAAAGTGTCTCTCAGCAAGTATAGGAAGCCTTCTGATACCTTCAAAGAAATGGTCCTCTGCCTGAAATAGACCGTGTCTGGGTCCCGCTCGTTACCAGGGAACAAAGATAAAAACACAGGCACTCATTCGGAAAGCCAGTCAGTTGGCCGGTGGTGTGACCGCTGCTGTGTCAGGCAGTGGACTGGGAGCTGGAGACCACCACAGTGAAGGGCGTGTTCCTTATTCTCCCATTTATGGGCCCCTCCCACTCACTCCAGCACAAGCCTCTTTCTAACACAGACTGGCTTGCATTATAGAAACTTGCTGGATCTCAGTTTCCTCATGTATACAACTTGTAAAGTGAGGAATTTGTGCTAATATTCTTACTTTCACTTGAACTTTCAAACTCTTCTACGTAGAAAAGACACAGTCCTGTCAGCAGTGATTCTTTGCCCCACCTGTGGGCAAAATTAAGGAGACCTCAATGTTCTATTTCACCTTGTATACACAGATGTCTCCTCCCCTCCCACTCCAGGGGCTTCAGGTATCAGTTGTCAGTAATCACTGAGGTAACATCTCAGACCCAAACAGTCCCAGCCCTGGGAGACTGACTTTTATCTGGAAAATTGAAAAGCCAAGGGTTCTTTAGAAGAGACAAGGGAGATCACAGACTAAATAATTTTTCAAAACTCGTGCTCTTTCTCTGTCTTTCCTTCCTGATTTCCTCGTCACTCGCCTTTATGCCATTCAATGCATTTAACATAAATCTCCAGTTAGTTCTATGTGCGCACAAATAGTGTCACAGAGCAAGCAGTTACTCAAGAGATCGAGTCAACTTCTTCATTTTACAGACAGGGAAACAGACACGAGAAGACTGATTTCCCCAAAGGCACATGATGGGTAATTTCAAATGAGAACATAAGTCCTTAAACTCCATATTTTTCCACTATAAACTATGTTTCAAGAGTTTGATATTTGCCCTTAATATGTCTGCCCCCATAACTAATAACAACCAGCAAATGCTCACATTCAAGTGTAAGGTAGAATGAATTAACCATGGGACCAGGAGTCATACTAACTAACAGCATGTGGTATGTGAATTCTTTCTCAATAAAGCTGTTAAAAAAAAATTCACTTTAACATTCTGGCCAGGCCTCCCCTACTGGGTATCTGCTAAGGTCACTCTGCCAACTTCTTCTCTAAGAGGTCCCTTCACACTGCCAGGAAGAGTTCTGGAGATGTTCTCTGGCATGTGGTGGTTTTCTAGCCTTAAAAAAAATTATTGCAAACATTGAAATGCCCATCCTTGTATCTTTATCTTGTGCTTTCCAATGGCACCTAAGTTTTTACTTCATATCAAACTCCCCTGATTATCCAAAAAATGTTCGCCAAAATATACAAACAAACAAAATTGAAACAGACTCACAGACACAGAGAGGGGACCTAATTATTGCCCAAGGGAGCAGGAGGATAAGGAACTGGGTCAAAAAGGTGAAGAGATTAAGAAGTACAAAATTTTTAAAAATATATATTGTATTGTTATTCTATTACGATCGTCCCATTTTTCTCTCCCCTTTATTCCCCTCTCCCCTGCACCCCCACTTTAACCAGCATTACCTGGTTAGGTGGCTCAGTTAGTTGAGCATCATCCTGTGCACCACAGGGTCACAGGTTCAATTCCTGGTCAGGGCCTGAATTGTGAGTTCAATCCCCAATCAGGATGTGTGCAAGAAACAACTGATTAATGTTTCTCTCATATCAATGTTTCTCCCTCTCTCTCTCTCTCCCTTCCTCTCTCTCTAAAAATCAATAAACATATTCACAGGTGAAGATTTAAAAAATAAATAAAATAAAATAAAGTAAAATAAATACATTAAGTACCATATTGAAAATACACTCAATAACACTGTGATAGCTATGCATTGTGCAGGTAGATAGGTGTGTATGGAAATATAGAGGCAAGGGAACAATTTTCAAAGTGTATGAATGTCTAACAACTGTGCTGTATATGTGATACCAAAAAAATTATTTTGAAAGTAAACTATAATTAAAAAATAAAAAATAAACCAAAAAAAAAGTGGCTCTTAATCCTAAAAAAAAAAAAAGATGAAATAAGAAATGTTCTCTTAGGTTTGTTTAAGTCCAGACCCAAGTAGGTTCCTACTTTGTCTTTGGCTCTCATCTGCCTGGTAATCTGGGGCAGATTCCCTGCCCTGCCCCCCCCCCCAGACTGGTTGTGCAACTCAGCTGCCCTGTGGAATGTCCCATGTTCTGGCTTTCTCTCTTCCCTTGTGGTGTCATACTCTTTTCTATTTCTTATAAATAAAACTTAGCACTAGAGGTTTGGCTGGATTCAGGTTTGACTTTTTGGCTAGAGTACTTCAGAGCTAGTGCCAGGGGCTTTAGATTCCATCACAATTGTCTGATTGCTCCATATTTAGAAATGCTAAGATTGATCAGCTTGCACTTTTCTCTTTTGAATGAACGTTATAATCTGAAGATCTCTTCATTTCAGCTTATATAGAATGTCCTCATTCTTCCTTACAGCTACACATGTATATTCCACTTAACAAAACATTGGGTGGTGATGGACAGCTTCAGACCAACCCCATCACCTCCATGAGCAACACACTCAAGGGGTGGGCTCGGTGAGCACTAAAGCCCCACTGAAGCATTTCCTGCTCTGGAGGGTTGGCTCCTGTGGAGCAGCTCCTCTGCGGGTCCTCGCAGCCAAATGGCCTGGAGCTCAATCCTACAGGGAAACCAACAGCAATCAAGCCTCAGCCACAACAGGACAGTGCACCCAGCCCACACAGAAGCACTCCCGGAGCACCCAGCTTCGGTGACTGGGGAGGCTGCACCACTGGGCCCCACAGGACACCTGCTACAGAAGGCTACTGACTTCTGTACACCTAACACAGAAACAAATGTAGGAAAGCAGCCAAAATGTGGAGATGAAGGAACAGGTCCCAAATGAAAGAACAGGAGAAATCTCCAGAAAAAGAACTAAATAAAATGGAAGCAAGCAAACTACCAGATACTTCAGAACAATGGTTATAAGGATGCTCAAGAAACTTAATGAGAACTTCAACAGCATGAAAAAGGACATGGAGACCATAAAAAAGAACCAGTCAGGAATGAAGGATACACTAATGGAAATGAAAAGTAATTTATAGGGAATCAACAGTAGAGTTGATGAAGCCAAGAATCAAATCAGTGATTTGGAATATAAGGAACCAAAAAATTCCCCATCAAAACAGCAAAAAGAAAAAGAAATTTAAAAAAATGAAGATAGTATAAGAAGCCTCTGAGACAACTTCAAGTGTACCAATATTCACACCATGGGGGTGCTGGAAGGAGAAGAGAGAGAGCAAAACATTGAAAATCTATTTGAAAAAAAATGATGACAGAAAAATTCCCTAACATGGCAGAGAAAATAGATATACAAGTCCAAGAAGCACAGAGTCCCAAACAAGATGAATCCAAAAGAGGTCCACACCAAAACACATCATAATTAACATGCAAAAGGTTAAAGACAAAGAGAGAATCTTAAAAGCAGCAAGAGAAAAGCAGAGGGAAGCTCCCATAAAAAAAGCGAGGGAGGCGGCTCCCATAAGACTGCAGGGTAATTTCTCAACAGAAACTTTGCAGGCCAGAAGCGAATGTCAAGAAATAGTCAAAGTGATGAAAAGCAGGGTCCTACAACCAAGATTACTCTACCCAGCAAAGCTATCATTTAGAATTGAAGGGCAGATAAAAAGCTTCCCAGACAAGAAAAAGCTAAAGGAGTTCATCACGACCAAACCAGTATTATGTGAAGTGTCAAAGGGTCTTCTTTAAGAAGAAGAAGGAAAAAAAAGATAAAAAATATGAACAACAAAATGGAAATAATACATATCTATTAACAACTGAATCTAAAAATATTGAAATAAATGAATAAGCAGAACAGAAACAGACTCATAGAGAACATTTTGACAGTTGCCAATTGCAGGTGGGTTAGGGGCATGGGTAAAAAAGGTGAAAGGATTAAGAAGTGCAGATTGGTTGTTACAGAACAGTCATGGGGATGTAAAGTACAGCATGTGGAAATAGCCAATAATATTCTAATAATAATTGTGTATGGTGTCAGATGGGTACAAGATTTATTGGAATGATCACTTAGTAAGTTATGTCTAATCACTGGGGTACACATCTCAAATTAATATAATACTGTATGTTAAGTATAACTGAAAAATAAAAAATAATTAAATGGAAAATAAATTTTTTAAAGAAAAAATGAAGTATAAATATAATATTCAGTATTAAGAAGGTAACAATCACAAGATCTTGAAACAAAAACAGTTAAATGTGGTCATCTTTGCCAAACAGAACTGGGAATAAAAAATGAGAGAGACTTTTATTTAGTGCTTTATACTCTTGTTCTGTTGGATTTTTATTACCATGTTTATCTTATCTTTATAATTTAAAAAAGTGGTGAACTTAGTTTATATTATTTGGATGCTTACAATTGAGTTATGCAGCACAGAAGAATTAAAGTAGCACAGATGGCAGTACCCTTCAGCAGTATACTTATCTCTTTTGAAACATATTTGTCATAAAGTGTAATCATTTTTCTTTAAGAAGTGAAGTTTAGCAGCAGCATTAATGAGGAGACAGGAGGCACTACATTTAAAACTTCTGTGATCAGTATGCAGACAGTAATATCTAACACCATAAAATACTCAGATGGATTAAGGTAAGTAGCAGGACAGCAGTAAGAACATTAACCTAAAATTTGAAAGCAATTTCAATGTTCTGTGGTCAGCTATATTATATAATGGAAAATTATGTCAGTTTCTTCCTCAAGTGGATCAAGGCACTTTAGCATTACTAGTATTAGGCAGATGTAATAGAAAAAATGGATCCTGATTAAGATTTTCTAGAATATGTTTGAGGTTGAGTGATTTTTTTTTGTATCCTCACAAGAGGACACTTTTTTTCATTGCTTTTAAAGAGAGAGAAAGGGAGAGAGAGAGAGACTGTGATGCAAAAAGAATCATCAATTTGTTGTCTCCCAAATGCATGTAAGCATCCAGACCAGGTGCGGAACACACAACCTAAATATGTGACATGACTGTGACTGACTTACAGTCGAATAAGTAAGACTGTGACTTACAGAATTGTACCTGTAACCTTTTGGTTATGGAACGATGCTCCAACCAAGTGAGCCATGCTGCCCAGGGAAATGTTGAGTAATTTTAGTAGAAGTCATTCATTTCTTTCAAAACTAGTCAT